CACATCAGGGGCTACGCTTGCCTCAGAGAGGAAGGAAACCAGAGGAATTTGCTCATGTGGCAGCTTGTGCTTCATGATGAACTCCTTTCGCTTCTCATAAGTAAGATCCTCCAGTGCCCGAATGTCACCCTACAACGCAAATATGAATTGAGATGTTTCCAAACACAATTTATAATTCTCAACTTGTTTAGTACATACACAATGGACTTTCAACAAGCTCAGGCATTGGTGCTATTACCTTAATTAGCTTGCATATCAAAAGTTCCATGATCTTGCGGGTTTCTTTGTCAGCAATTTGGCCTTCACGAAGAATATCAGAAGCCAAGGGAGTGCCACCATAGGGGCTCTGTACCAGTGCTAAACCAGCAACTTTGTCTTTCAAATCACACCAGTAGATTGACAATGCAGCTGCAGCATCAACACCGCCCTTGCTGTGGCCCAGCAGCATCACTTGCTTACCGGATCCCCAGTAAAGCTCCTCGATGTATTGCTTGAGTTCCAATGCATTGTGCTCAACAGATGCCTTCATTCAAGAAAACATATGATAAGGGAAGACAAATTTCACAAAACTCAGTCAGCAATGATCACAGAGTAATGACTCATTACCTCACTGTGAATTTTTGCAATATGGCAAGCTAGACCCATCTTTGAAAAGAATTTCTTTGTTCCAACAAAGTATAAGGGGCAATGATTGCTAAAGAGGCCTGGAAAATCAAAGTTCCCATAAATATAGGTGCCACAACGCTAAATGTGGATTGAACAGGGGAGAAGAACAAAGTCCAAAGGGAAAAATAAATTTTCTTTACCCGGAATAAGCAGATACACAAATGAGCTAGGCAATGTGTGCTCCCCATTTCTGAAGTATATAGCATGACATACAAGCAAAAGGAATATACAAGAATGGATTAAACAGATATGATAACAAAATTGAACACAGTTCCTTAACAGGTCCAACCATCTAGTGTAGTGGAGCTATTATATTAGATTGGTACCTTATTCCTGCAAGCAATTCCAAGAATCTTGCTGTACCATCCTCCACACCAGGCATGCCAGGAGCGAGTGGCAACCATCCAATATCGTCAGATGAACCTTGCAATGTTTTCTGTACTCGAGATGCCAGGCTGACAAACGCAAAAATGAAGCTCAACTATGAGAACCTAAAAGAATGAAACAATGACTTGTAATTAAAAGCAATGAATTATTATTTGCACTGAGTAAAACAGAATCCTATCTGAACTAAAACTAAAAGAAACTATTCATAGACTCTATGGAATACGAGTCCATCAGTTTGCATAATTGAAATAAACTTCTTTTACCTACAAATTCGAAGATGAGCACATCTAACGTACACGACAGAACTTCTCCAACAAGAAATTGTCAATCTGTAAGCAAATTGTAAACCGTGTAATGGTAGTGTCAACCTACATCAAGATGAAGCAACATCACCAATCTATCAATGAAGATGACTAGATTGAGATTTGAGAGGGAAGGAGGTGAAAAAGATTAAATAATACAATTAATCATTCAGTTCACTTAGATGGGCTCATGATGTTTTCTCATGAAAACTAGATTAATTGCCTGACCTCAGTTTTTTAATGCATACTCAAGTCTTCAATGATTGATATTGCAGGAAGCTAATAGCACAAAAAGGTATTACCCTTTAAAAATGAAGGGGACATCTGTATAATTGAAATTGGTTTCTACAATTTCAGATATTGTATCTTCCGTAGGCTCTGAGGCTCTTCTTTCACAGGTTTCAGGGTTACAAGGTTTTGAGGATGATGAACAACCTTCAGAAAATGATTTACAAATGCCGTGTCTCAATGATCTTAAATGCTGTCCAGCAGAAATGATCAGCAAATCATCAGAGTATCTATCAGCATCTCTGACCGCAAGATCCTCTGCAATAACATCATTTCCAAATCCATCCATAACATTATAAGAAGATGCATGAGTGTGCATACATGTAAGCATAGTAGAAAGAACTCACCTATAAATTGAATAAATCGACGACTTATATAACTAGCCAGTGTCAATAGACGGGTGAAAATGTCATCCATTGATGAGTAGAATCCCAGACTATCAAAAAGAAGACTTGTGTTCCACACAGTGTCATTATAGGCCTGATACAAGGACCTATATTAGATCTTTAAGCACAAGGTCTGAATCAAACTGACAAAACTAAAGATGCCAAATTGAAACTTCAAACCCCCATAACCTTATTCCTTATGTGGGATAACATAAAAAAGAAATAAGAAAATTGATAAGCTAATTATAATTTCTTAGCTAATCTTGATCAAGAATAAGAAAGTTACAGTAGAGAAGAGATACAATAAACATACAGAAAAAGTAGAGATAATTTGCAATAATGCACAATCGTAAAGTTGAAAAGTACTCACTGCGAGAGGCATTTCAGATATTTCATTTTCAATATAGACATCACCCATTAATTCTTCGAATCCTGAATTATGCAACAAACTATTAAGGTGAAACTGCAAGACAACTTAAAAGGACGAAACTTCGACACAATCAGTAGACAACAATAAGAACCCAGATGAGTAAATCAATCATATGAAGAGAAAAACACAAACAAATCAACCCCATTAATTCTTTCAACATACTGAACTTACGTAACTCATCATCAAAACAAAATGTAATAAAGATATCAGATAGCAACTTACAGTCAAAGGAGGACAATCTGCAGAACCCAGAAACAGCTTGTGGCTCAGCAGAAGCAAAGCCAATTTAATTTATAGAGGGAAGAAGAGAAGGAACAAAAATCTGCAGACCCCATTTCCAAGGAAGTTTAAGTTTCAAACTTGAAAGCATAAATAAGTGAACTTAATAAATGAGGAGGACATACAAAAGTGCATGTTGGGAATGGAACCAACCGAAAGATAAAGAGAGTCATGGGATGAAATGGTGCAATAGATGATCGTTATCCAGTTGCCTTTTTTCAAAGATTTTCAATATCTGCTCTGGCCCCACCATACCATAGGTCTCTTTAACGGAAATTGCATGTCACGAGATAGTACTAATTTTGCTATCCTTGTCTAATCACCCTCACTTGTGTCGAAACCAGACGAAGGAAGCGAGGACGCAACTGCAAAAATGAACTATACGGCTAATGACCAAAGTTTATATTAGGAAAAACAAAACAACCCTCTTGAATGAAGCCATAAAGAAATTCTGTGGCGAAAAGAGAAGGGTAGAAAAACATTTGAGAGAGAAATCTTAAATCTTAAATCTTAAATTTTCTTTGAATGACACCATACTGTGAAAACCAGATTATGAGCCTTGAAAGCAGTACTGTGTGGCGTAAGATTGGAGGCAAGAAGTACACATGGTGCATTTCTGGTGTATGCTGAAAACAAAACAGTCAGAGAGTGAAGGGTATGGGGCCCACAAAGTAGAGACGTCGACGTCTCAGTTATAACTCAATCACGTGGATAGCTCGGAAGAAACACGCGGCGTGTTGGGAACGAATTCATGTGGCTGGCTTGGAAAAATCTCATTCGGTTGAATGAAGCGTGCTGGAGATCCAAGTCTACTGTCAGCTGTGTTTGAACAAAACCAAGTCATTTGGTTTAACTCCAGACAGTGGCCAGTTTGGTCATGTTTCGGGTGCAACAGTAGCTTTTAATTTTGGCTTGGTGATAGCTTTTACATGTGTACTTCTTAGTCAAAAGAAAAAAAGAAGATAGCTTTTAGGTGTGAGTTTGTGAGTTTTTTCTGGTAGTAACAAGTACAGTTTTGAGCTTTAGCGTCAAGATGAAATCATTTACCAAAAAGGCAAAAGGGAAATATGTAATTACCATTTACAAGGTGAAAGCTGAAAATAGTACAGAAGCTTTACCTGCAGTTATTTCATGGGCTAGATTTTTAACTGAAACTATTTCTACAAATTCACAGGGAGAATAAGAAGCTGATAATTACAGAGAAGAAAAACAGTCCCGTTTCTATTTCTGGGACTGGCATTTACATTTTCACCTCTGCCGTCTGCTCTTAACATTTCCCCATGCTTAAGCAACCTTACCGGATTTTTATCTGAAAAACTCTGTTGTACTAAATTGAGTGAAGAGTCATGTGGAAGAGATCATACTTGAGGGGTTTAGCATGCCAGAGAAAATGCTTTTGAACCTTCCTGACCCCTACCTGCATCTGAAGATACTTCTCTTCTGGTATTGAAAGCAGTATCTCTTTCAAGTTTGGAATGTCTCTCTCTGCAAGAATTACTGAGAATGCCCCCCAATCCAAAACCTCGAAAAATGGCAGAACAAAATTGTCGGATGTGATCACAGGGATGCACTCGTAAAGAATTTAGCATTTTCACATTTAATATTCGTATTGCACACGTACATACTTATTTTTCATGTTTAATACACTTATTACAAAATTTTCAATAATACACACAAAATACTCACATTATTGAATAAAAATAAAATGTATTAAAATATTAAAATACTAATTATTCACTAAGTAAATAATAATTAAAACATAACTACTAATTTAAGTAACTGAAAAGGAGAAATTTAGATTATGCTATTCAATGGGTATAGCCGCACGGCGAAACTGTTGAAAAATTCTATTCGTAGATTATAGCCGCTCGGCTATACGCTTTTTACAAAACCCCCGCCCAACGCTACGCGATAGTTATTTTTTATATAAAAAGAGTATAGCCGCTCGGCTTTACAGGTCTTTTTTTAATTATTATTTTTTATAAATAGTATAGCCTCTCGGCTATACTATTTACAGGGGGCTATGGTTGCCTCAGAGTGGAAGGAAACCAGAGGAATTTGCTCATATGGCAGCTTGTGCTTCATGATGAACTCCTTTCGCTTCTCATAAGTAACATCCTTCAGTGCCCGAATGTCACCCTACCATGCAAATACGAATTGAGATGTTTCCAAACACAACTTGTAATTCTCCACTTGTTTAGTATATACACAAAGGACTTTCAACAAGCTCAGGTATTGGTATTACCTTAATTAGCTTGCATATCAAAAGCTCCATGATCCTGCGGGTTTCATTTTGCTGCTCTTCTTATGCTGGATGTAGTTCATTTTGCTTGCAACACCAGGAGGCATTGGACCAAAGATCTTCATATCAGGGTCTTTGTCTTTCCAGTACTCTAGCAGAATTGGATGTAAATAGCCATGCGTATTTCCAGCATAAAAGACAAGAATCTGCCTATGAGAAGGAGGTTTGCCGCCAAGATCTCTAAGAGGATTTCTCGCAGAACGAACATATGTTTCTGGAAGGGACACATCCCTTCCTATTCCAAAGCCGCTGGTTACATCAGCATTACAGGGCTTTGATGCAACGTTCCATACGGTGCCTTGTTTCATATGGAGCCTATAAAAGCCAACCTTTCATATTAAGAACACACGCACACAGAAAGAGACACACACATACACATGTAGGAAATTGCATTCACTATGGGCTGAAACAAGCACGCATTTATGGACAGAACATATGGTGTCCACTTCTGAAAATGGTACTTTGGTTGGTTTAAACGAAGTCCAAAGATTCATTTGAAAGTGAATAGACATTAGGTCATGAATCTCAAAACCAATTTTGGAATCTCATTCTACTCTTAGCATCTTACCAAAATAACAAAGAAGACATTAGTCACCCAAGAAAAAGCAGATGTGCCTTTCGTGGATATAGAGTGCACTCTAGCATCCGTGAACTAAATGGCATATAAAACAGATGCGCCTTTTGTGGATCCTTCACAACAAAGCGCTTATATTCCTGCATCCGTTTCATGAACCATCCCTCTGAAGCAGATAACCCCTTGAGTATTGGAATAGCCGGGCGGCTATACTTGTCTTTACATGTGTAGTGTAGCCTCGGGTAATTTTTTATTTTCCACAAAATAGTATACCCGCTGGGCTTTGCTAAGGTAATTAAAAAATGGGCGGCTTTACTAGGGTTATTTATTTATTTTGAAAATAGTATAGCCGACAGGCTATACGCTTTATATATAATGTAAAACAGAATTCAAGCAATTTCAGTTACAATTGGCAGGCATTCTAGTCCAGTTTATGAATCAAAGCCTTACCAGAGTGACTGAGAAACACTAACATTCTGGAGGCATTAGCAACAAGAAATGCTATTCTTGTTTGGTTCCCGAGAAAATGAAAGATCACGATTCACTACTGACTTGAGTACTGCAAAGTACAAAACTTGAGGCTGAATTTCTTTTGAAAGATCATCTCAGGTGAAACATTTTACTCTTGGTTTACATTGAACTTGTATACTTAATGCTGGAATACTTGCTCTATTGGTCGTGAGCCTTGATTGCTATGGCTAATGTCTTAATGAAAAATTGACCTACAATAACCCTCATAGCTAGTCATAGTCCAATTTCCTGTAAGCTTCTACAATCTGCCTGTAGTGTACAGAAAGTGCTTGCTCTATGAACCCTTCTTAGTTTTATAAGCCGCAGCATTGGAATTTCCTTCTTGATTTGATATAAAACTGTGACATTGATCTCCATCTTCACTTTTATGCCGAGGCTGCAAACTGTGTGCGCTGCGCTGCCATAGAAATGGTTACAAGCCATGATTCTGGCAATGTCTTTAACTTAACATTCAAGGCCAAACACATGTACAATAATTTATGCATGTATATTTTTAAAATCATTAGAAAACATTATATAAGCTACTCATACGTAGAAAAGAAAATAACATTATACAGCTGAATTGAAAAAAAAATTCAAACCTCTATACATAATCAGGATTTGGACCTCATCGTGATCAAGGCTATAGCCTTTTGAAAGTGAGAACCTATCATCTCAGGTGAAACATTTTAAGTCATGTAGATTTGTCCTACAGAATTTTATAATCTTGGTTGCTTATGTATGTTCCGGTAGAAGCCTCTGCTTTTCATCTGCTACGAGTATATACACCTGCAGTGAGCTCTATGTATGCAAAACTTTACACTGGTACAGGATCTTGTTCGAGGATTTCCTTTCTTGTAATTCCACCTTTCAAAGTTTTAAAGTAAACATTGTAGTCCTTCTCGGGGGTGGATTTTTAGGGTCCACTGTAAATGGCTCACTAAATGGCACAACACTTTTAACCTGCAAATGAGTTTCTAAGAATCTCAGAATCTGCAAAAGCTTTTAACTTCCAAAAATAGCAAATTACAGCCACAGCCACAGCACACAACACACAATTAAGGGACATAAGTCGGGCTGTGACCTCAAATGTCTTGCCAGATGCATAGGGGCTTTCCAACGCAGCTACACAAATCTAAGCAACCTCCTCTCTTGATATCTTACCCTGCATATTTATAAATACTATAAATCATAACATTCAGATATTATTACTATTATAAGGGAAAGAAAGAGCAATACATGTCATCACAGGCATACAACAAAGAGAGGATAGTGATCTTCTATTTGATTATATACCGTTATATTGTCTCCTTGGTTAAAAATGAGATCTGCTCCGGCAGGCTCCTCAGGTAATGCACAAGGCCTCACAACTGTATATGGTATTCCACTTTCCCATATTAAATCCTCCCCCTGCCCTGCTCCACAACTTATCAATGTCCAAAATCAAAAGAGCTAAATCTGACCCAGAAAAAGGAAAAGAACAGAAAAGAGCTAAGAAGTTCTATTTTGATACACTGATTATATATAAAAATATCAAACAGCTTGCACTGAATTAGTATGAAACCTTCAACTTGAATGTTAGGATAAAATCCAATTCCTTGTTTAAGCGAACAGCAGGAGGTTGTTTACTCAGATCAAGTCCAGGCATGTCAGGTCGGGTAATTCCTGCAGAACCTACATGTTCGAACCTACACGGAACACAAGCAAAGAGATTCTTTAAAGACTAAAACAGAAAATGCACATAGCAGATCAATTATGTCTACTCATACGAAGATAATCCAACAAAATGAAAAGAATGTGAAACCTGGGAGTAATAGGCTCTTTTAGATATGCTCGTATGCTTGATAATGGGAGCTTAAATGCCCCTTCCACAAAAGTAGGATTCAGTTTCCCATCAAATTCAAACTTGCTAAACATGAGCTGCTATAATTTTGAATCCATCAATAAACATAGAAGAAAATGAAATGAAAGAATAGACTAAAAGAAAGTGGCTGCAGAACTGTGCCTGCAATGACGCAATATTGCTGGGTTCAAAAGGTGGTGCATCTGATACAGTTCTTGCTCGAAATATCGGCTTCAACGAAGAAAATGGCACACGTACCTGGAAAAAATATGACAGACCCACCCTAGCACCCAGACCCTAAACCCTAATGAACCAGACCCACCCTGGCACCCAAACCCGCCTAGGGCCGCCTAGACCCGCCTAGCGCCGCCTAGAACCTCCTAGACCCGCCTAGCGCCGCCTAGACCCGCCTAGCGCCGCCTATAACCTCCTAGACCCGCCTAGCGCCGCCTAGGGCCGCCTAGACCCGCCTAGCGCCGCCTAGACCCGCCTAGCGCCGCCTAGGGCCGCCTAGACCCACCTAGCGCCGCCTAGACCAGCCTAGGATAGGGTCATTAAGGTTTGATCTATGACTTAACTAATTCTAAAGTGATTGTGCAGGTTCAAGTTCAATGTCAGTTGTGATTTTTCAATATTCTGCAGGTGTGGGATGCGGCCGCCCGGCTGTACCTCTGAAAAATTCTATTCATGGTGTATCGCCGAACGGCTATACTTTTACGAAAATTCTATTTATGAATTATAGCCGTGTGGCTAGACTTCTGAAAAATTCTATTTATACAGTTTAGCCGGCGGCTATACCCTTTTTTTTTCCCTTTTTATAAATAGTATAGCCACCCGTGGGCTGTTGAACTCGTAAGTCTTGGGGCAGATACACTATTTGCTTCTCTTCATATGCTGGATGTAGTTCATTTTGATGGCAACACCAGGAGGCATCTTCATATCAGGCTCTTTGTCCTTCCAGTGCTCTATCAGAATTGGACGTAAATAGCCATGCACATTTCCAGCATAAAAGGCAAGAATCTGCCTCTGAGAAGGGGGTTTGCCTCCAAGATCTCTAATAGGATTTCTCGCAGAACGAACATATGTTTCCCGAAGAGACACATCCCTTCCTATTTTAAAGCCGCCAGTTACATCATCATTGCAGAGGGCTTTGATGCAACGTTCCATATGGTGCCTTGTTTCATATGGAGCCTATAAAAGCCAACCTTTCATATTAAGAATATATGCACACAGAAAGACACACACACACACACACACATGTAGGAAATCGCAGTCATTATGGGCTCAAACAAGCACACATTTATGGACATAACATATGGTGTTCCACTTTTGAAAATGGTCCTTTGGTCGGTTTAAACAACCTCCTCACTAGATTTGGTATTCACATGGGCCATATGATAAGATAAGATTCATTTGAAAGTGAAAGCTTAGGTCATGAATCTCAAAACCATTTTGGAATCTCATTCTACTCTCTTTGTATCTTATCAAAAAGCTGCTGGTTTTAGACTCTCTTGCTTTTAACCAATATGTTCTGTTTCTGTCCTTGAACTTCATGCAAGTGAAGCTTCAATAGTTTGACTAGGTGTTGGTAATCACACATTTATAAATTGCCTATATGATTGTAGAAATGTGATGGTGGAGACGAGGATGATGGTGGTAAGACTGCTACTATAGGTGATTAACCCAAGCAATGAGCACAAAAGGCTGGTGGTGGTGGCGAGCAAGCTAAAGTTCTAAAAATATGTTTTCATTTTTTTTTAAATGTTTGTGTTATGTTGATGTTTCCAGGTCTGAACTTGAGTCACACAACAAGGCCAAGCATAGTGTTGAGGGTGATACCTTAATTTTGTGAAGGTTTTGGTGGTAACCGGTTGTGGTTTTATATGTTTAAACCTCAGTTTTTCTCTTTCTTTAACTTTGATTAATAATTTACTTTAAGAACACTACTTTTAACTGTTTCTTTATTGTCAGCCACTTTGATTTACCACTTTTTCATTCCAAAATGAATCTCGCGCGCGCACTAATTGGGTCAAATTACTCTTGGTTTACATTGAACTTGTATACTTAATGCCGTAATACTTGCTCTATTGGTCGTGAGCCTTGATTGCTATGGGCCTATGGCTAATGTCTTAATGAAAAATTGACCTACAATAACCCTCATAGCTAGTCATAGTCCAATTTCCTGTAAGCTTCTACAATCTGCCTGTAGTGTACAGAAAGTGCTTGCTCTATGAACCCTTCTTAATTTTATAAGCCGCAGCATTGGAATTTCCTTCTTGATTTGATATAAAACTGTGCCATTGATCTCCATCTTCACTTTTATGCTGAGGATGCAAACTGTGTGCGCTGCGCTACCATAGAAATGTTTACAAGCCATGATTCTGCCAATGTCTTTAACTTAACATTCAAGGCCAAACACATCTACAATAATTTATGTATGTATATTTTTAAAATCATTAGAAAACATTATATAAGCTACTCATATACGTAGAAAAGAAAATAACATTATACAGCTGAATTGAAATAAAATTTCAAACCTCTATACATTATCAGGAGGTTTGGACCTCATCATGATCAAGGCTATAGCCTTCTGAAAGTGAGAACCTATCATCTCAGGTGAAACATTTTAAGTCATGTAGATTTGTCCTACAGAACTTTATAATCTTGGTCGCTTATGTATGTTCCTGTAGAAGCCTCTGCTTTTCATATGCTACGAGTATATACACCTGCAATGAGAGAGAGAGAGAGAGAGAGAGAGAGAGGAGAGAGAGAGAGAGAGAGAATTAATATATATATATATATATGTTGACAGATTTTCTTCTCATTAGTCATTGACTCATTGCTGAGAGAATTATCTCAGATGAAAATGGAAATATATTACGCTCCATTATATATACTTACAGAGTTAAGGTTGAAATTAGAGCTCTATGTATGCAAAACATTACACTGGTACAAGATCTTGTTCGAGGATTTCCTTTCCTGTAATTCCATCTTTCAAAGTTTTAAAGTAAACGTTGTAGTCCTCCTCAGGGGGTGGATTTTGAGGGTCCACTGTAAATGGCTCACTAAATGGCACAACACTGTTAACCTGCAAATGAGTTTATAAGCATCTCAGAATCTGCAAAAGCTTTTAACTTCCAAAAATAGCAAAATACAGCCACAGCACACAGCACACAATTAAGGGACATAAGTCGGGCTGTGACCTCAAATGACTCGCCAGATGCATAGGGGCTTTCCAACGCAGCAACACAAATATGAGCAACCTCCTCTCTTGATATCTTACCATGCATATATAAAAATACTATAAATCATAACATTCATATATATTATTACTATTATAAGGGTAAGAAAGAGCAATACATGTCATCACAGGCATACAACAAAGAGAGAATAGTTATCTTCTATTTGATTATACACCGTTATATTGTCTCCTTGGTAAAATGAGATTTGCTCTGGCAGGCTCCTCAGTTAATGCACAAGGCCTCACAATTGTATATGGTATTCCACTTTCCCGTATTAAATATTCCCCTCCTCCAAAACTTATCAATGTACAAAATTGAAAGAGCTAAATCTGACCCAGAAAAAGAAAAAGAACAGAAAAGAGCTAAGAAGTAGTATTTTGATACACTGATCATATATAAAAATATCAAACAGCTTGCATTGAATTAGTATGAAACCTTCAACTTGAATGTCAGGATAAAATCCAATTCCTTGTTTAAACGAACAGCAGGAGGCTGTTTACTTAGATCAAGTCCAGGCCTGTCAGGTCGGTTAATTCCTGCAGAACCTATGCGTACGAACCTACACGGAACACAAGCAAAGAGATTCTTTAAAGACTAAAACAGAAATTGCACATAGCAGATCAATTATGTTTACTCATACAAAGATAATCCAACAAAATGAAAAGAATGTGAAACCTGGGAGTAATAGGCTCTTTTAGATATGCTCGTATGCTTGATAATGGGAGCTTAAATGCCCCTTCCACAAAAGTAGGATTCAGTTTCCCATCAAATTCAAACATGAGCTACCATAATTTTGAATCCCATCAGTAAACATAGAAGAAAATGAAGTGAAAGAATAGACTAAAAGAAAGTGGCTGGAGAAATGTGCCTGCAATGACATAATATTGCTGGGTTCAAAAGGTGGTGCATCTGAACTAGCCTTTTTTTTAATTACTTTAATTAGTAATTATATTTTACTTATTATTTATTTAGTGATTATTTAAATATTTTACTGATTTTGTAAATTACTTGGTAAATAGTAATTAATTGTTTTGAATTATTTTGTGGACTTTGTTTTTCGGTCTTTGATATTGAATAATCATTAAAATATGTGCGTACTTGTACAATACGTGTATTATACATTTGCTTTTATTATAACGAGTCTTTAAGAAGTATATGGAAAATGAAAGTATTATTGAAAAATACGTACGTACGTGTATAATACGAGTATTAAATGGGGAAATGCTAAATTCTTTATACGGGTAATAACTCTGGGAAAGTAAAAAATCAAAAGGGGACAATAGCTATACATTGGTAATGGCCTAAATGTAATGGTACAGGCCGAGCTATACATTGGTAATGGCCGAGCGGCTATACTCTACAAATAGAATATTTTAAAGGTACCGCCGCCCGGCTATACTCTATAAATACCATAATCTAAATTTCCCTTTTTTAATTACTTATGTTTTAATTATTGGTCACTTAGTGAATAATTAGTATTTAATACTAATTATTTACTAGAGAAATAATAGTTAGAACATAATTACTAATGAAAGTAATTAAATCAGGCTAAGATATTATTCAATTACTAAAAAGAATATTAAAAAAAATTATTGACCTAAAAATACCAAGTTTATATTTAGGTCTGCGCACCTGTGCTTCTTTATTAATTTTTCACTGGTGCTTCTTTAGCTCACCAAACGATGGGTTTTGCAGACAGAAACAGTTGACTTGTCTGATCAAAAGAGCAGGTCAGATGGTTCTCGGAAATATTTCAGGGAAAGTAACATTGAGAGGCATCGTTCAATTGGTTCAGATGGGCTTCCTTGTGTTGATCCGGTTAGCATTCATGTTCTGGATTTTTATTTTCTGGTCTATATTGTATTGTTCCGTATTGTGTTCAACCCATATAGTTGGGATCACGGTAACTGGAAATGATGGTCTGAGTAAATTCACAAAGAAATGTATAAATGTACATGTACAGAGAGAAAATTTAATTGATGAAATCACGCAAATGTGGGATGTGAGTGGCTGGTTACACGGCCATGTTTTTCCGATTGCCTAGCCTCTCACATCTTGCACTGCTGGCCCTATGTATGCATGTATTGACTCTATTCTGTGCTAAATTTCAGACAATAAAACCAGATGAAGAATATTATAGCATCTATAATTGTAAAATTGTAATCAAAGGAAGAATATTTGATTACTTGATAATTTTCTCTTTACAGTGTCAAGGGTATCTATACCCAAATTTCCTATACAATCAAGAGACTAATAAAGGAAAGCAAATCATGTACAATCAATTACATATAATCTGGCTAATCACTCAATCCCAAATATATTGGGATTTAGTTGACTTCTCAACACTCCCCCTCAAGTTGGAGAGTGAATATTGTGAACTCCCAACTTGCACACCATAGCCGAAAAATCTTCTTTTCCCAAGGCCTTCGTAAACACTTCTGCTACTTGTTGTTGAGATGAAATATATCTTGTAACCACTGTTCTGTCCAGAATTTTATCCCTGATAAAATGACAGTCGATTTCAATGTGTCTAGTTCTGTCATGGAACACTGGATTGGCAGATATGTGCAGCGCAGCTTGGTTATCACAGTGTAAAGTAGCTGGTCCTGGGTCTGGGAGTTGTAGGTCTTGCAATAGATAACGCAACCAAGTAATTTCACAGCAAGCACCTGTCATTGCACGATATTCAGCCTCTGCTGAAGAAAGAGATACTGTTTTTTGTCTCTTTGTTCTCCATGAGATTAAAGAATTTCCAAGAAACACACAATAGCCACTTGTTGACCTTCGTGTGGTTGGACATCCCGCCCAATCTGAATCACAGTATGCCGTCAACTTCATCTCATTTCCAGCAGGAAAGAAGAGTCCTTGTCCTGGTGTACTTTTCAGATACCTCAATACTCTCATGGCGGCATCTAAGTGTGGCTTGCGAGGCTCATGCATGAATCTACTGAGTATATGTACTGAATAGGTAATATCAGGTCTTGTTATGGTGAGATAAATCAGACGTCCCACCAATCGTCTATGCTTTGCTGGATCATGAAGTATCTCACCTATATCAGAAGAAATTTTGGAATTTTGTTCCATGGGAAAGCTTACTGGATGTGCTCCCAAAGCTCCTCCATCTTTAATAATATCCAGTGCATATTTCCTTTGACAAATAGAAATACCTTTCCTGGAACGTGAGACCTCAATGCCCAAAAAATATTTAAGATCACCAAGGTCTTTGATCTTAAAACGAGTATTAAGAAATCGCTTGAGAGCATCAATGGCAGCCAAATTATTTCCTGTAATCAAGATGTCATCAACGTAGATCAAAAGAGCGGTGAAGGACTTGCCATTTTTGTAGGTAAAAAGCGAATAATCGGCTTTGGACTGAGTGAAACCAGCAGCTTGTATGGCTTCAGTGAACTTAGAAAACCATTGGCGAGATGCTTGCTTCAATCCGTACAAGGATTTGTGAAGGCGACATACCAAATGCTCCCCCTGTCGCCGAAGACCAGGAGGAGGTGACATATAGATTTCCTCATGTAAATCGCCATGAAGGAATGCATTGTGGACGTCAAGTTGATGCAAAGACCAGTTGTGGGCAGCGGCAAGAGCAAGAACACACCGAACAGAAACCATTTTGGCAGTAGGAGAAAATGTGTCATGGTAGTCAAGACCTTCAGTTTGAGTGTATCCTTTGGCCACGAGACGAGCCTTATAGCGCTCAATGGTGCCATCGGAACGATGCTTGATTTTATAGACCCATTTACATCCAATGGGTTGCTTCCCAGGTGGAAGAGAAGTGAGGGACCAAGTCTGATTGGATTCCAAAGCTGCAAGTTCAGATTGCATGGCCTCTTGCCAATGTGGATTAGAAACAGCCTCTGCAAAAGTGTTAGGTTCCACTGGCCGACTAATATTAGCAATGAAAGCAAAGTGTGATGGTGAGTAACGGTGATAAGAAAGAAAATTAGAAAGGGGATAACGAGTACCTTTGGTGCGACATGGCAAGGAGTCCGACGATTGGTCAAGCGTAGGTAAAGTAACCTGTGAGCAAACATAATCGTGGAGATGGGCTGGTTTAACCTTGTGGCGAAGAGAGTAGCGGATGGGGGATGGTGGTACAGAAGGAGAGGAAGGCTGTGACGGAGCCGGTACGGCAGTGGTGTGGGAAGGAAAAATGGGGGCAGCGGTGTCGAAAGAAGCTGTGAGATCGGGTGGGGTAGAAGGAGATGGAGGACGTGGTGAGGGTAAGGCAGGAGATAGACATGGAGGAGATGACAAATCAGATAAAGGAAGAGGTAAAACAGGAGGTGAAGGTTCCGTGGGAGAGGAAGAAGGGAGAGTTTGGAAAGGAAAGTGACTCTCATGAAAAACTACATCGCGACTGGTAAAATTTTTTTTGGTGGTAAGATCAAATAATTTGTAGGCCTTTTGACCGAGAGGGTAACCAAGAAAAACACATCGTTTGGCTCTAGGATCAAATTTATGGGAAGGTTGGACAATGGTGGCATAGGCTAAACAACCAAAAATGCGGAGGTGGTTATAAGAAGGAGGTTTATTGTACAGCTTCTCATATGGGGATATCTTGGATAAAAGGGCAGTGGGAAGACGATTGATCAAGTAAATGGCGGTGAGAACACACTCTCCCCAAAAAGAAATAGGGAGATGTGCCTGAAAACGTAAAGCCCTAGCCATCTCTATGATATGTCGGTGCTTGCGCTCTACAACACCATTTTGTTGTGGTGTATAGACGCAAGTATGTTGATAGATGACCCCATGTTCGTGAAAGAAGCGACGCATGGAAGAAAATTCACCTCCATTATCAACGCGTATTTGTTGTACTTGAGTATTGAATTGTGTTTGGACAAAGGCAAAAAATGATTTAAGCAGGTTCTGTGTTTCAGATTTAGTTTGCATGAGAAATAACCATGTGAACCTAGTAAAATCATCCACAATAGTTAGAAAATAACGAGCCCCTGAAAAAGATGCAATTTTATGTGGCCCCCAAATGTCGCAATGAATAAGAGAGAATGGTTTAGAAGAGGAAATAGAACTTAAATTAAAAGGTAATCGAGTTTGCTTTGCCAAGGGACAAACCTCGCAAGCATTATTTGAAAAAGGGAAATTTAAAACATTCTTAGCTAAAAATTGTAAACGAGAAGATGATGGATGGCCTAAACGGCTGTGCCAGAGGTGAGTTGAGGCATGAGCATGGTTGCAAGATGGTGGGAGAAGGGAAGGCTTGTCTGACGCCAAAGAAACCAGGTAGTAAAGACCTCCTTGCTGTTTACCCAGACCAATCGTCTTCCTCGTAGCCAAGTCCTGCAAAATGCACCAATTAGGAAAAAAAGAGATGGAACAATGAAGTCCTTGTGTAAGTTTGCTCACTGACATCAAATTAACTTTGAAGCTAGGCACATACAAGACATTGTTTAAAGAAAGAGATGAGTTGAGAGAAGCATTCCCAACAGAAATAATAGAAGCCTTTTCACCGCTAGGCAATACAACTGGTGGAATGGAAGGGTTGTTATTTGTGGACGTAAAAGAATGTGAGGTGGATGTAATATGATCTGTTGCGCCACTATCAATCAGCCAGCGGTGTAAAGGTAAAGGATAATATGACAAACCTGCAGAGTTTGCTTGTGGCTCTTGCTTATCATTCATCATGGTAAGAATCTGTTCATACTCACTGTCAGATAGATTGGGCATGGCAGACTTCAATTCTTGCATAGTGGGATTGTTCTGCACGTGATTGGCAGAGGAACTTGAGCCTTTCTTGTTTTGATTGGATTTGTGCAGTCGATGCCCGGGAGGATAACCATGAAGTTTATAACAGGTATCAATTGTGTGATGGTCTCGATCGCAGTGAGTGCAATGAAGAGGCTTGCGATTAGAATTCGAAGGTCCCTGGTGTTGGCGAACAGCCATTGCAGCAGGTTCCAAGGTAGTATGAGGAGTCCCCAGTTGTCGTTGCTTCTCCTCTTGGGAAATTAAGGAATAGATGTTGCGTATGGATGGTAGGGGCTGCATAAGAAGAATCTGTCCACGAGCAGCAGCATATGAATCATTCAGACCCATGAGAAATTGCATCACCCTATTCCTCTCATCACGTTCAGCGTGATCTTTCATGGCACCACAGGTACAAGTCGGCACATCACTGTATGATGCCAACTCATCCCATAGCCCCTTAAGTCTTGTGTAATAAGCAGCAACCGACATTTGGTCTTGAGTAAGGGAAGCAATGTCACGTTGGATCTGGAAAATTCGAGGAACGTTGCTTTGAGAGAAACGCTCCTTCAAATCTTCCCATATATCGTGAGCAGTGTCAAAGTAGATAACGCTATCAGCTATGTCTTGATCAAGGGAATTCAAGATCCAAGATAGGATCATATCATTGCAACGTTGCCAAAGAGAGAACTCATCAGGATCGGTTGTCTTTGAAGGCTTCTTGACAGTGCCATCAACAAAACCAAGTTTGTTCTTGGCACTCAAGGAGATTCGCATGGAATGACACCATGTCCCATAGTTGTCTCCATTCAACGGTTTGGATACAAGAACCATGCCAGGATGGTCAGAGTGATGAATGAAAAAAGGGTTGGAAACTTCAGACTTGTTTCCATCCTTGGAAGAAGTTTCAACTTCTTTGTCATTAGCCATGGCAGAAAGCTAACGTAAACAAAGAAGGAGAAAGCTGGGATTTTTGACGGTAAAGAGAAAAACAAGAGCTAGGTTTTTCCTTGCTCTGATACCATGTAAAATTGTAATCAAAGGAAGAATATTTGATTACTTGATAATTTTCTCTTTACAGTGTCAAGGGTATCTATACCCAAATTTCCTATACAATCAAGAGACTAATAAAGGAAAGCAAATCATGTACAATCAATTACATATAATCTGGCTAATCACTCAATCCCAAATATATTGGGATTTAGTTGACTTCTCAACAATAATGAGGTAAATAATGAGCAACATGCCGTCAAACAAAAAGGTTCAGAGGATGTTATCATTGACTATGTTACTATAGAATTATAGATGGGAAGAAGCATCTTCAGAATCATCCGCAGAAGGTAAGTGGACAACCCAATTGCAATATTAAGCTACTTGATGTGTCATTGTCGAGTGTTTACATCTATATTCAAGAATTCTTTATCCCATAATTTATATTTTACATAATAGCATATGTTTTTACTGTCTGGTTTTCCTTTGTTATGCCCTTTTTGTGTTGCAGGGTTTCATTTCTTGTGTTAAATTCTTTTCTTTTGAGCAGGTGAACATAAGCTTTTGACACCCTAGAAACCCTGTCATTGGTGATAAGTTTAGCAGCCGACATGGACAAAAAGGTGTTTGCTCCCAGTTGTGGCCTGATATTGATATGCCATTTTCTGAGGTTAACAGGAATGCGTCCAGATCTTATATATCATCAATACACATGCATTTCCTTCAAGGATGACAATAGGAATGCTCTTGGAATCGATTGCTGCAAAGGTACTAGCACCTAAAGAATTTTCCTTTTATGATTTGTTAACAGTCTTTTCACAAAAAGAAATGCATTGCTGGTGCTCCCCCCGTAGACAAAGTACAGATGTTTATGTTCTGTAGTGCCCTGAACTGTTGTATTGCAGCAGTAATAAAGTGATGGAAAGCTAATTTGTGCAATGGTTGGGGAAAATGTGAGAGTTTATTAGGATTTGGAAATGTTCAAATAGGACTTTAGGCGAATAAATCTCGATTGCCATTGAGTTGCTGGAAAGGGAAATTCAGATAACAGGATTTTTGGGAAGTTTCTGGAAAATAAAAGTTAACTGTTAGTTGCTACTCTTGGGTTATAGAGTTAAGTTTTAATTACTGGATGAACATAAATACTAGGACATAAATTTTCATTTTCATAAAGTATTGCACAGCAGAGTCCATTGAACTTCTTGAAATAATAGTTTATTTAACAATGAAAAGAAAACAATCAAAGATGCTTCCTTGTTTTTTGTCACAAGGAGGTAGCTTGCATGGAGAATATGTTGACGCAACACCGTTTGCTAATTCAAAGAAGGCTAATGAAAAGACTCAACCAAAATCCGAAACCCTTGTTGATGAACTCGGTGAAATGTTAAAGGTTAAGGGGTTTAACTACTATGGTTTAGAGCAAGGTCTAAAATATCGAGAGTTTCGGAAATATCGATGGTGCAAAAACACGGATATATCGATGGAAATATCAAGGAAATATCGATATCGATAAAAATTGAATAAAAATCACGAAAATTGTGAGAAAAACTTGGAAATTTGTTATTGTAACTTTATAGGATGTTTATTTAGTCAATTGTCTATTATTTTATCATAAAAAAATTGGAATGCATGGCATGGTGGGTTTGAGTGATTTAAGTTGATTATGTAGTGACCTGACAAACATTGTGCCTTTAGAAAATATGTATTAATTAGTGAAAGAAAATTAAACACACTATAATTTTTTAGTTATAATAATTTACTACAATATATTACATATGATAAGATATATGAGCTTGGAAAAAATATATATATATATGAGTAACTTCGTATCACATAGAAAGAATTCGTTAAAACTTAGTATCACATATAATGAACAATATTAAAACTCAATAGTGACTAATAATACAACTCCATAATATATAACCAAAAACAAAAAAATACAACTCCATAATAAAATAATAAATAACATTAAACATATGCCTAAATTTATCATTAGGGATTTTTTTTAATGGAAATTTATCCCAGATAATATTAGCTTGCAGAAATTTTAAAGACCATGTAAATATTACACGTCGTAGCTTTATTAACAAACTTGTCTGCAGCATATTGGATAAGGCTCAGTAGGAGGATTAGAGAGAGAGGGGGTTCGAGTCCCCTTGGGCTCAAAACTGCCATTTCTCAACAATTTTAATTTATTTTTCAGTTTATATATTGACGATATTTAAATGGATATGTGCTATAATATCGCCCATTCAAAAAAAACATGTGAGATCTTTATTGGTCCTGTTTATTATCAACGACTACAACATATGGTTTCAGACAAGTTTCAGGTAAACAACTTTAACATTCCCTCCCACCCCTACAGATAAAAAGTCACATGAAATTTTAAGATTTTCTCAGTATAATTTTGCATGTATATTTCTCCAATTTCGTTTATTGGTTTCCTTACATGCCACTCCAAATTGGAATGGTAGATTAGATCACCTGCCAGCCCATCAAAGGACTAAAGCGAGGTGGAGGTATACGTTTTGGTGAAATGGAACGAGACTCGTTGCTTGCGCATGGGGCAGCCTATCTATTGCATGATAGGCTTCATACATGTTCTGATTATCACATTGCTGCTGTATGTTCTATATGTGGAAGCATCCTAACACCCTCAGTCATCAAGCCAGAGAAACGGGTTGCACGTGCAGTTAAGGGACTGCCCCCTGTAAGAGCTCCCAAGGTCTTCCGTCATGCTTGTGATACGAATAAAGGGATGGAGACAGTTGCAATGCCCTATGTCTTCAAATACTTAGCTGCTGAGTTAGCAGCTATGAGCATAAAAATGACCCTCCAGCTAAGTATTTGAAGCTTGATCCTGTTCCAAGAGGGAGGATCAGTGTAAAAATTATACACTAAGATGAATAGATCTTAAAGTTTTTTTAATTAGTTTTTTATTCTTTTCTTGGCTGGGTATCATTTCATGCAGAATTATCCACCAAGCACACAAATAATTAGTGAATTTCTTCATCTTTCTATTAAAAAAATTGGTATACTTCACAAAGAGCTTTGTCAAAGTATTCCCATAAAAGAGTAATGCAGCGTGAAATTGATAATACATAATGACATGAGCTGTGTATACATAAGCTTCTAACCTAATTCATATCAGAAGACGACCCATGAAGTTATAATTGGTGTGGGATGGCTCTGAATCAGAACTTCTGATCAGGCATTATTACCATTATCAAGACTCATTCTTCAAGATGATTGATCAATATGTCTTCTTTTGGAATTGTACATTGATTCATCTTCACTTGCACTTCTATTTGACATCCTTTCCATTTGCCGTCTTTTGGATCGACTTTTTACTTCCTCTTCCTTCTCATCAACAAATGAAATAAAGGTTTGAAGACGTGCAGACATCGAGCTGCCGGCAGAAATCACTTCCTCAGTGTAGTGCTTGCTGAACTGGCGCAGCATATTGATGAAATATATAATCAGAGCAAGAAAACAAGCTGAACCACAAAGAACAAAGAGGCCCCAGAAGCTTTTAAGTTGAAGCCTGTCAACTTGTAGCTTTGCGCCTTGTGAGGCACAACCACTGCTTATAAGCCATTTATCATGGATCCTTTGTAGATCCCCATTCTCTGACAGCTTCAAAATAGCAGTAGACATGTCCACTGATAAAGGTGAGTCCCTTGCAAAAGCCTGATTTGAAATTAACATGATAACTATGAGAATCCAGAACATAATATTTGGGCAACCAGTTCTGCTTATATAACACTTAGCAATATTAAGGTTGTTCTATCAAAATGTCTTGAAGGGTCTGATTTGGTAATATAACATGTCAGGTTATCTGATAAAAGAGTATTACCATGGTCATAGATATAATAGATAAAAGAGAAACTTACAAATCCCCAACCGGTTTTGGTGAATTCTTGACCTACAATACTGAAATCACATCTGCTTGAGAGGAATAGCTCAATGTATGCACGCTCATCAATCACTGCAGCAACACCACCTCTTTGGGGACCGTCTTTCAAGGCTTTAGCATAATCGTCTGGCATGATAAGGGGAACGAGTCTGGACTCATCAACGTTGAGTTCGTCAGTTAGATAACCCCTGGAAAATGAACCTTGCTGGTAGCCAATGGGGTCATTGCTTGCAAGCAAAGTATCAAGGCCTTTGACGGAGGAAGAAAGCTGTTGCACTGTAAGGATTGAGGTCAAACTTGCAGTGTAGCTTGAATTGATTATAAGAACGACAAACAGCCATATAATTAGTACTAAGCGACCCAGGGTGCTGACTGTATTTTCTTCTGCATAAGATCCCAACAAAAAAAAGAAGAAAAAAAGAAAGAAAAGTAAATAAGCATTACTGAAGCAGCTATTAACCCATGGTTGCTGGAAAAGCTACTAAATTAGTGCGAATTTACTTACTATGGGCAAAGAACCAAGTTGAAAAGCTAAACCTGCAGAAGGAAAACACAAATTTTAAGTGATTGTGGGATTTATACCAAGAAGATGCCAATCCTAGTATGGTGAAACTCCACAAATAGACATTATGAGAAAGTAACACCAATTGACAGACAATATCTCAATGTCTTGAACAAAGTAGAGAATTATAAAGTTTCCAACATAGAATGAGATAACATGAGATACTTCTTATTACTCACCACAGAATAGTGACAATTTGTTTTTTAGGAGGCCCCCGAAAATCATCGTTCAACCTATGCTCTAAAATCCAAACAACTGTTCCAACAATGAGAAAGAAGGCAGCCGTGATGCCCCACATCATTGGATTGAATGGCCTCAGAAAAGCCCAAGGATTAGAATTCAACGTTGTCCTAACAGGTGCAACAACTACTAGCCCAGATTCAATAAATGGCTGTGTAAAATCTGCCATCCTTGTTCGGTTGGTGATGATTGCAATGTCACCTATTGCTCCATCAAATTCCTATAGGGAAGAAGCAAATGGAAAATCAGAAAAAATATTTACCTTCTTAAGTTTAAAGAAATGCTCTGTATATGATACTTACACCTGTTTGGATTTTGTGCACAAGTTCAGTGCTTCTTGGGTTCTTAATGCCATCACCAAAAGGAATCAACTTGTATGGAACAGCATAGGGCAACATGTTCAATGCAGCAGTAAAAACATCAATGCAGTACCCAGTGAACATGTCATTGCCTTCTGCGTATGAAACAAATTCACGAAAACTAACATGTTTTGGGACTCCAATCTTCAAGTGCCTTCCATTGTTTGGAAATACCCAACCACGAGGCTTCTGTGTTGTTTGTCCAGGCCAAATTACGCCATACAGGCTTTGATTTGAACTAGAACGGTTTGGTGGCTTTGTGTATTCTGGAGGCACAACTGATAAACCCGAATAATTGGACCAGTAACCAATCTTCCTAATCCCTGTGCCAATCACATTTATGATTTCAAATACTGGATGAATGAGGTTCCTATCCGGAGTGAACTTAACAGGGCCAGTTATGCCAGTCATATTAACCTGTAAAATGTTACGCAATAACAGATTCCCTCCATTAAAGATACTCATGGCATCAAGATTCAGATCCCCTCTGCGCAGCTGAGTCAACCTTGAATCATTTGAAAATGAAATGTTTCCTCCTTGATCAAAAAAGGCATTAATTGCATGAGCAAGCAACCACACAGTGTCGTAGGCATAAAGACCATAAGCATTCAACCCAATTTTGCCTTTAGATGTCTGTCCACTAGTCAAGTTGCTCCACCTAGAAACAAATTTTCTTTTCAGTTCTGTCTCTGGTGTGTACATGCGCAATGTTAGAACTCCTTGCATATCATCCATCATACTTGATGGGAGAGGAGAGTTGGTATCTATTTGAGTAGTTAGCCAGTGAGTAGCTATCCAGACATAGCCAGTTCCCATCATGCCAAGATACTTGGCCACAGTAAACACCTGAGGACCCCAACCAGCATAAGCGTGAAGAACAATAATCCGAGACTCTGTCAAAGCCACTTTAACCAGTAAATCAGTGATGTTACTCTGGTTAGGATCAAGGACCAAAGGTGCTTTGTATGAGATCTTACAACGTCTCTCAGCAAGCATATCCCCTAATGCAGCAATCCCATTTCTCCCATAGTCATCATCAACATAGAGTGCAATTACCTCTTTCCATTCGTAGTGGTCAATCATTGCGGCTACTGCAGCCATTTGATGCAGATCATTCTGGGTGGTTCTAACAAAGAATGGGAACTGAAGTGAAGACAGGGTGGGGTCCGTTACTGAAAATGATAATAGAGGAACTTGGAGCTCATTTGTAATATGAGATATTATATGAGCTGTGACAGCATTCTGAGGTCCAATTATGGCCACTGTGTCTTTCTCCATGAACCGTAAGGCTGCAGCAAGAACAGCTGGATCTGAATTCACAGTGTTCCTATATAATGCATTTAAGAGAGATCTTACGAACTGTGAACAAAGTCGCAAGATGTACCTTCAACGATGCCCAGAAATCCACTGTAATTTGAGTCTTGCATTTGAACTATCATCTTAGTTCCACCAAGAACAGCTGGATCAGAATTCACATCTTCAATGGCAGCTTCTATTGCCACTTTAGCAACTTTGCCAACAATGGAATTGAAAGAGAAAACAGCCCCAACATTTACAAATTCTGGTCTTGTAGAGACATTCGTGCTACCCCCATTTGAGGCAACCCCATTATAGAAAACCATCAACACCAAGAGCCAAACTATATTCATCGTAAACCCCCAATTTTCAACTTGCTTTGCAAAGGAAGCAAACCAGCCACCCAGAAAGCGGTAGAATCAACTGGACTTCAAACTCATACACTGGCATAGTTAAGAAACACCGAAAAACATGCAAGCAACTAAGAATTTCATCCAGTAACATGAAGAGAACAAATAGGTGCTGAAAGAGTATGTACACGTAACCTCAACATCATAAACTCCACAAGAAGTAGATAAATAATTAGAAATTCCCACTAATAACTAGATCTAATCATGAAACATAAACAGACAAATGATAAGTTGAGCCCATAAACTAGAGTTTTCTGCTAAATTACCAACTAATCAGACCCATGAAGAGACAAGAGACACAAAATGAAAGTAAAAAGCAGCTTGTGAGGAAAGATTTTTACTTTGAGGAAAAAGGAAGAGCGTTTAATATGGACACAATTGTGGGCTCACACCAATATGCATATTCTAGCAACAATTAACAGTAAAAGAGAATTCCACCAACTTTATCAAAAAAGAGAATTCAACCAAGGGGAAAAAAACAGTGAAAAAAGGAAAAGAAACCTTTAGAAGTGTTAAAGTAATGACTAGGAGAAGAAGCCAAGTCCACCGACTTGGACAATGGCGGCAGCTTAAGTGTATAAATAGACGTAGTCTCTTGTACAAAGCCAAGAGAGAGAGAAAAGGCCAAATAGCCAGCAAAGAGTGAAAAGGCCAATAAGCCTAGCAAACAGTTTCTAGTTGTTGAAGGCCAAAAAGCCTAGTCCTCTATAAAGCCTTGTACCCATCTATTGTTGAATAAATAAAATCACTCTTTTGTTCTCTAAAACCAACAAGAAGTTTGATTCCAGATGAAAAGACAACTAACAGTGCAGCCATTGCCTTAATCCAAAGAACTGAACCAGAACTTAGACCCAGAAATTTCTACTCTCTTACTAGATTAAAACAGTAACACAGCATTTGTGACTTAAACCCAAAGAACCCTTTTGAGAAAAAACTCATTTCCCTAAGGACAAGTATAATCAGGAAATTGGCCAACTGGGTTTTCTAGCAAAGAAGATGAAAGGAATTTAAAAAGTAAAAAGTTATAAACTTTAGAGCTTTATGCATCAAAAAGGTCAGGCTTATACGCTAAGCAGTATTGGTCAAGCATGTACACCGGAGAAAGTTTCTGAAATTGCTCATGTATAATGAGGATAATAGTATTATTGTCAATGCAGAAAATGTGGGTTGGAAATTAATACCAGGTAGAAAGAACGAGACACTGTTGGTTGTGATGAAAGTGGGTTCCATGACATGGAGATGACGACCTCCGAATTTTCAGTGGCAAAATAGTTTTTGTGGCTGTCCTCTCTTTTTCACCGTTACAAGTTGAGAGGGGCAAAATTCTCATAAAAAATGATTGTTGCAGGACTATTCTTTTCGTAGATATTTTGTACCATTCATTAACTGATAACAACGTACACAAGTGCAAATGTGATATATAATTCATTTTCTCTTGACTTTTTCTTGAGAGAATTTTGTTTTCTCTTAACTTAAAAAAGTGATTAATCATTTCATATTAATTACCATCATCAGCAAGATCTGATGCAACTTATTATCCTTTTTTCTTTTCCAAATGAAACAAAATCTAAAATGAGATGACTTACCAATAACCTTATTTAAGTTATGCTCATAGTTAGTAGATTTTAGTAACATCGGACATTCTCCAATAAGTATTTAAGTTAAAGATTTATTATAGAATTCTAATCTCAGCAGTTGAAACAATGACTTGTAATTAAAAGCCATGAATTATTTGCACTGAGTAAAACAGAATCCAATCTGAACTAAAACTAAAAGAAACTATTCATATACTCTATGGAATACGAGTCCATCAGTTTGGATAATTGAAATGTACTTCTTTTACCTACAAATTCGAAGATGAGCACATCTAATGTACACGACAGAACTTCTCCAACAAGAAATTGCCAATCTCCAAGCAAATTGTAAACCGTGTAATGGTAGTGTCAACCTACATCAAGATGAAGCAACATCACCAATCTAACAATGGAGATGACTAGATTGAGATTCGAGAAATGCAAGACAGTTACAGTAAGTCATACTTCTGATAAACACTTGTAATTAGAAAGGGAAGGAGGTGAAAAAGGTTAAATATTACAATTAATCATTCAGTTCACTTAAAAGTAGATGGGCTCATGATGTTTTCTCATGAAAACTAGATTAATTGCCTGACCTCAGTTATTTAATGCATACTCACGTCTTCAAAGATTGATATTGAAGAAAGCTAATAGCACAAAACGGTATTACCCTTTAAAAATAAAGGGGACATCTGTATAATTGAAATTGGTTTCTACAATTTCAGATCTTGTATTTCCGTAGGCTCTGAGGCTCTTCTTTCACAGGTTTCAGGGTTACAAGGTTTTGAAGATGATGAACAACCTTCAGAAAATGATTTACAAATGCCGTGTCTCAATGATCTTAAATGCTGTCCAGCAGAAATGACCAGCAAATCATCTGAGTATCTAACTGCAAGATCCTCTGCAATAATATCATTTCCAAATCCATCCATAACATTATAAGAAGATGCATGAGTGTGCATACATGTAAGAATAGTAGAAAGAACTCACCTATAAATTGAATAAATCGGCGACTTATATAACTAGCTAGCCAGTGGATACATTGATGTGTAGAATCCCAGACTATCAAAAAGTAGACTTGTGCTCCCCACAGTATCATTATAGGCCTGATACAAGGACCTATATTAGATCTTTAAGCACAAGGTTTGAATCAAACTGACAAAACTAAAGATGCCATAACCTTATTCCTTATGTGGGATAACATAAAAAAGAAATTAAAAAAATCGATAAGCTAATTATAATTTCTTAGTTAATCTTGATCAAGAATAAGAAAGTTACAATAGAGAAGAGATACAACAAACATACAGAAAAAGTAAAGATAATTTGCAATAATGCACAATCGTGAAGTTGAAAATTACTCACTGCGAGAGGCATTTCAGATATTTCATTTTCAATATAGACATCACCCATTAATTCTTCGAATCCTGAATTATGCAACAAAACTATTAAGGTGATACTACAAGACAACTTAAAAGGACGAAACTTTTACACAATCAGTATATAACAATAAGAACCCAGATGAGTAAATCAATCATATGATGAGAAAAACACAACAAATCAACCCCATTCTTTCAACATACTGAACTTAAGTAACTCATCATCAAAACAAAATGTAATAAAGATATCAGATAGCAACTTACAGTCAAAGAAGGACAATCTGCAGAACCCAGAAACAGCCTGTGGCTCAGCAGAAGCAAAGCCAATTTAATTTATAGAGGGAAGAAGAGAAGGAACAAAAATCTGCAGACCCCATTTCCAAGGAAGTTTAAACTTGCTAAAGATGAGCTGCCATAATTTTGAATCCCATCAATAAACATAGAAGAAAATAAAGTGAAAGAATAGACTAAAAGAAAGTGGCTGCAGAAATGTGCCTGCAATGACACAATATTGCTGGGGTCAAAAGGTGGTGCATCTGATACAGTTCGTGCTCGAAATATCGGCTTCAACGAAGAAAGCGACAGACCCACCCTGGCATCCAGACCCTAAACCCTAAAGAACCAGACCCACCTTGCACTCAGACCCGCCTGGCGCCGCCTAGACCCTCCTAGCGTTGCCTAGACCCGCCTAGCACCGCCTAGACCCGTCTAACCCCGCCTAGCGCAGCCCAGACCCTCCTAGCGCCTCCCTGACCCGCCCAGGCTGCCTAGGCTGATTTTTTAAACCTCTCCCGACGACTATTCGTCGGAACAGGTCTATCCCGGTGAAATTTGCCGGATTAGATCTCTCCCGAGGAAACTTCGTCGGCATCGGTAGCTTTCGTCGGCAGAGGTTCTCGCTTTTTTGAAAAAAAAAGAAAAAAAAAGAAGTTTCCTTACTCTTTTTTTTTATTTTACCAAATCCTTAATTAAGTAATATTTTAGCCTTTCTTAATTACTTTCATTAATAATTATGTTTTAATTATTATTTCTTTAGTGAATATGTAAATATTTTACTCATTTCATAAATTACTTAATAAATAGTAATTAATTATTTTAAATTATTTTGTGAACTTTAAAAAAAAAATCTTATACAAAATTAGTTTGGGTAAATTCAAGTCTCGTACAAAAAATTCTAGCTTCCGAACTTGTACCAAAACCTTTCTCGAGCCTCGAACCCTAACCATAAGCCTATTGAGGAGTAGATGCTTTCTCATCTTTTTCAATGTGGGACTCAAGTTCATGTATTCCAACAAGTAATTAATATTATCGAATCATGTTGTGACTTGAATTTAAGTTTCGAGGCTAAAATCCATTTTTGGAATACTAAAATATTTGGGTAACAAAACCAAATTTCTAGGATTGTTATTAAAATATTTAATACTAATTATTCAGTAAAGAAATAATAATTAAAACATAATAACTAATGAAGACATTAGTCACTAGTCACCCAAGAAAAATCAGATGCGCTTTTCATGGATATAGAGTGTACTCTAGCATCCGTCTGAACCTGATAACCCCTTGAAAAAAAAACCCCTTGAGTATTGGTATAGCCGCGCAGGTATACTTGTCTTCACGTCTAAATAGTACAGCCGACCGGCTATACTCGTGTAGTTTTTAATTTTTTACAAAATAGTATAGTTTACCATAGTAATTTTTAAAATAGTATAGCCGACCGGCTGTACCTGGGTTTTTATTTTCCTAAGTAGCATAGCCGGTCGGCTTTACTGGGATTTTTTATTTATTTATTTTAAAAATAGTATAGCTGACGGGCTATATGGTTTATATATAATGTAAAACAGAATTCAAGCAATTTCAATTACAATTGGTAGGCATTCTAGTCTAGTTTATGAATCAAAGCCTTACCAGAGTGACTGAGAAACACTAACATTCTGGAGGCGTTAGTAACAAGAAATGCTATTCTTGTTTGGTTCCCGAGAAAATGGAAGATCACGATTCACGACTGACCTGAGTACTGCAAAGTACAAAACTTGAGGCTGAATTTCCTTTGACAGATCATCTCAGGTGAAACATTTTAAGTCATGTAGATTTGTCCTACAGATCTTTATAATCTTGGTAGCTTATGTATGTTCCTGTAGAAGCCTCTGCTTTTCATCTGCTACGAGTATATACACCTGCAATGAGAGAGAGAGAGAGAGAGAGAGAATTAATATATATATATATGTTGACAGATTTTCTTCTCATTAGTCATTGAATCATTGCTGAGAGAATTATCTCAGATGAAAATGGAAGTATATTAAGCTCCATTATACTGACAGAGTTAAGGTTGAAATTAGAGCTCTATGTACGCAAAACATTACACTGGTACAGGATCTTGTTCGAGGATTTCCTTTCCTATAATTCCATCTTTCATAGTTTTAAAGTAAACATTGTAGTCCTTCTCGGGGGTGGATTTTGAGGGTCCACTGTAAATGGCTCACTAAATGGCACAACACTTTTAACCTGCAAATGAGTTTATAAGCATCTCAGAATCTGCAAAAGTTTTTAACTTCCAAAAATAGCAAATTACAGCCACGGCACACAGCACACAATTAAGGGACATAAGTCGGGCTGTGACCTCAAATGTCTTGCCAGATGCATAGGGGCTTTCCAACGCAGCAACACAAATCTGAGCAACCTCCTTTCTTGATATCTTACCCTGCATATATATATATACTATAAATCATAACATTCATATATTATTCATATTATAAGGGAAAGAAAGAGCAATACATGTCATCACAGGCATACAACAAAGAGAGAATAGTGATCTTCTATTTGATTATATACTGTTATATTGTCTCCTTGGTCCAAAAAATGAGATTTGCCCCTTCCACAAAAGTAGGATTCAGTTTCCCATCAAATTCAAACTTGCTAAACATGAGCTGCTATAATTTTGAATCCCATCAATAAACATAGAAGAAAATGAAGTGAAAGAATAGATTAAAAGAAAGTTGCTGCAGAACTGTGCCTGCAATGACGCAATATTGCTGGGTTCAAAAGGTGGTGCATCTGATACAGTTCTTGCTCGAAATATCGGCTTCAACGAAGAAAATGGCACATGTACCTGGAAAAAATACGACAGACCCACCCTAGCACCCAGACCCTAAACCCTAAAGAACCAGACCCACCCTGGCACCCAAACCCGCCTAGGGCCGCCTAGACCCGCCTAGCGCCGCCTAGAACCTCCTAGACCCGCCTAGACCCACCTAGACCCGCCTAGGGTCGCCTAGCGCCGCCTAACCCCGCCCAGACCCTCCTAGCGCCGCCTAGAACCTCCTAGACCCGCCTAGACCCGCCTAGAGCCGCCTAGGGTCGCCTAGCGCCGCCTAGCCCCGCCCAGACCCTCCTAGCGCCGCCTAGCGCCGCCTAGACCCGCCTAGGATAGGGTCATTAAGGTTTGATCTATGACTTAACTAATTCTAAAGTGATTGTGCAGGTTCAAGTTCAATGTCAGTTATGATTTTTCAATATTCTGCAGGTGTGGGATGCGGCCGCCCGGCTGTACCTCTGAAAAATTCTATTTACGGTGTATCGCCGAACGGCTATACCTCTACGAAAATTCTAGTTATGCATTATAGCCGTGCGGCTAGACTTCTGAAAAATTCTATTTATACAGTATAGCCGGCGGCTATCCCCTTTTTTTTTCTTTTTTTTTCCCTTTTTATAAATAGTATAGCCACCCGTGGGCTGTTGAACTCGTAAGTCTTGGGGCAGATACACTATTTGCTTCTCTTCATATGCTGGATGTAGTTCATTTTGATGGCAACACCAGGAGGCATTGGACCAAAGATCTTCATATCAGGGTCTTTGTCCTTCCAGTGCTCTATCAGAATTGGACGTAAATAGCCATGCACATTTCCAGCATAAAAGGAAAGAATCTGCCTCTGAGAAGGGGGTTTGCCTCCAAGATGTCTAAGAGGATTTCTCGCAGAACGAACATATGTTTCCCGAAGAGACACATCCCTTCCTATTTTAAAGCCGCCAGTTACATCATCATTGCAGAGGGCTTTGATGCAACGTTCCATATGGTGCCTTGTTTCATATGGAGCCTATAAAAGCCAACCTTTCATATTAAGAATACATGCACACAGAAACACACACACACACACACACACATGTAGGAAATCACAGTCATTATGGGCTCAAACAAGCACACATTTATGGACATAACATATGGTGTTCCACTTTTGAAAATGGTCCTTTGGTCGGTTTAAACAACCTCCTCACTAGATTTGGTATTCACATGGGCCATATGATAAGATAAGATTCATTTGAAAGTGAAAGCTTAGGTCATGAATCTCAAAACCATTTTGGAATCTCATTCTACTCTCTTTGTATTTTATCAAAAAGCTGCTGGTTTTGGACTCTCTTGCTTTTAACCAATATATTCTGTTTCTGTCCTTGAACTTCATGCAAGTGAAGCTTCAATAGATTGACTAGGTGTTGGTAATCACACATTTATAAATTGCCTATATGATTGTAGAAATATGATGGTGGAGACGAGGATGATGGTGGTACGACTGCTACTATAGGTGATTAGCCCAAGCAATGAGCACAAAAGGCTGGTGGTGGTGAGCAAGCTAAAGTTCTAAAAATATGTTTTCAATTTTTTTTTTAATGTTTGTGTTATGTTGATGCTTCCAGGTCTGAACTTGAGTCACACAACAAGGCCAAGCATAGTGTTGAGGGTGATACCTTAATTTTGTGAAGGTTTTGGTGGTGATCGGTTGTGGTTTTATATGTTTAAACCTCAGTTTTTCTATTTCTTTAACTTTGATTAATAATTTACTTTAAGAACACTACTTTTAACTGTTTCTTTATTGTCAGCCACTTTGATTTACCACTTTTTCATTCCAAAATGAATCTCGCGCACCCTGGCACCCAGACCCACCTAGCGCTGCCTAGACTTGCCTAGCGCCGCCCAGACCCGCCTAGCTCCGCCCAGACCCGCCTAGGATAGGGTCCTTAATTAAGGTTTGATCTATGGCTTAACCAATTCTAAAGTGATTGTGCAGTTTCAAGTTCAATGTTAGTTATGATTTTTCAATATTCTGCAGGTGTGGGTTGCGGTCATAGGGACTGCTAATTAATTGGCGGCTATACCTTTGAAAAATTCTAGAGTACCGCCAAACGGCTATACTTTTACGAAAATTCTATTTATGAATTATAGCCGTTAGGCTATACCTCTGAAAAATTCTATTTATACAGTATAGCCGGTAGGCTATACCCATTTTTTTCTTCTTTTATAAATAGTATAGCCACTCGTCGGCTGTTGCCCTCGTAACTCTTGGGGCAAATACAGTATTTGCTTCTCTTCGTATGCTGGATGTAGTTCATTTTGATTGCAACACCAGGAGGCATTGGACCAAAGATCTTCATATCAGGGTCTTTGTCCTTCCAGTGCTCTATCAGAATTGGACGTAAATAGCCATGCACATTTCCAGCATAAAAGGCAAGAATCTGCCTCTGAGAAGGGGGTTTGCCTCCAAGATCTCTAAGAGGATTTCTCGCAGAACGAACATATGTTTCCGAAGAGACACATCCCTTCCTATTTTAAAGCCGCCATGCAGAGAGCTTTGATGCAACGTTCCATATGGTGCCTTGTTTCATATGGAGCCTATACAAGCCAACCTTTCATATTAAGAATACATGCGCAAAGAAAGAGAGAGACACACACACATGTAGGAAATTGCAGTCATTATGGGCTCAAACAAACACACATTTATGGACAGAACATATGGTGTTCCCCTTTTGAAAATGGTCCTTTGGTCGGTTTAAACAACCTCCTCACTAGATTTGGTATTCACATGGGCCAATATGATAAGATTCATTTGAAAGTGAAAGCTTAAGTCATGAATCTCAAAACCATTTTGGAATCTCATTCTACTCTCTTTGTATCTTATCAAAATAACAAAGAAGACATTAGTCACCCAAGCAAAATCAAGGACAAGGAAAGATGCATGGAGAGCATACCCAGTCATGGCAAGCAACAAGAAAATGATCTGCTCCACCAGTTCTGTTCCAGTAAGGATACTTTGCTGCAATTTTTTCAGAATATTCCTTCAAAAATTGGCGTAGGTTTGTACGGTTGTGAGAGTTACGTACATATAGAGTGTACTCTAGCATCCATGAACTAAATGGCACATTAAACAGATGCGCCTTTCGTGGATCATTCACAATAGAGCACTTATATCCTTGCATCAGTTTCAAGAACCATCCCAATGAAGCATATATAACCCCTTGAGTATTGGTTAATGGAAGATGGGCTTGTTTCCATCCTTGTAGATACAGATTTTCAGTGTGCGTTCCATAAGTTCATAACTCCTGATAAAGAATCACTTTCCTAATAAAAAAATAAAAAAAGAGCATCACTTGATAATGGCTAATTTGCCGCGCGGCTTTACCAAGGTAATTGTTTTTTTTCTTAAATAGTATAGCCGCGCGGCTATAATTGGGTATTTTAAAAAGAAAATTAGGATAGTTACCTGGCTACACGTGTTTTCACTCGCGGACGCCTAGGCGCTAGGCGGGTCCCTGCGGCTATACGTGGGTATTTTCACCCCCAAATAGTATAGCCGCCCGGCTGTACTCAGGTTTTGTATTATTTAATTTTATAAAAAAATATAGTATAGCCGCTTGGCTATACTCTTAACAACTTAAAGGTGTATCGTCTTGTTGTTGCGACACATCGATCTGAACCTAATCAGTTTGCATAAGGACTTACAGATGGTGGAGTGCATGTACTTAAGCCATTAGAATCAAAAGGAAGATGGGGCACTTCCCCTACGATTGAGAATTGTGCTGGGTCACCACTTCTGGAGCAGTGTTCAGATCAACCCCAAAGGTGACATTTCCATGTGCATGACTCCCAATGAAATGAGGATCTTGAGTGTATCTCTTCTATGTGTGATCCCCTCTTGGTCTCACCATAGTTTATTTATTTATCGAGGAGAAGCTGCAGATTTAGGTATTTATAGTTTTAGAATACTCGAATTAACCCAGTAGAATTCTTTATAGTAGCATTTGAATGTGAGACAATTTCCCTGCATTTAGGATAATTCGAGAAGTGATGGAACCATAGTGTAAGTTTTGAAGACAACGCATCACCCTGAATAATGAGAATGTGTAAGTGTATGCATTTTGTGATTTTCTTTTGGCTTCCCTTGACAATTTTGTAATAGGACAATCATTGTAATTTCCCAAGCTCTAAGTTTAGATTAAGAATTACTTCTCTAGGTGTTCTTATCTGGCTACATTATGATGGAAAACAATGTGTTTGACAAAGGTAAATTCTGCATTGCACTACATTGCATTAACTAAATTTCTGAAGATTATGACTAGTCATCTTTCCTTCGTATGACTAGTCAACCTTTGTTTCAATTAGGATTTCCAGCTCACTGTTTCCAGCTGGGTCCTAACCATCTTTTTGTCCTTTTCTGTGAATTTCTCAGCTACCATGTGTCTATTCTAACCTAGGAATTTTTAGGTAAAAGCCAAAGATTTCCTCATTTAGTAGCGGTCTCTTTTGTGGGCAAGTTTTGGAAAAGTTTCTTTGCAAACTTTCTCTTCTTCTTCCTCAAGAGTAACCTTCATATTTTTCATCTTCGAGTTTTCCAAATTGATTTTTCGAAAACTACATTTGAAATATGAAAACTTCATCTTGCTAGATCAAACACTCTCTCATATATATCTAGGTCAGATTCAAGATTGATTTCTTCAAGAGTATGGTTTCTTGAAGAAATTGGTCATTTTCTCCATGAATCCAAATTTCATTTTTGCCTGAGTTGGAGCTAGCTAGCTGGTGCCATGGGATGAAAGAGCTAAAGAAGGAGCTGTCATTGCCATGAAGGACTAAGCTGCTGGTTTTGCTAAGCTGGAGAAGAAGATTGCATAAAGGATGTATAGCTCATCTTCCTAAATAGACCTAGGATTTCTTGAGCTTGTTAGTGTTTCTTTGTAAGAATCGTTTTGCTTAATAGATTGCCTGATCGGTTGATGAACCCCAGTTTTTCCCAATGGTGGGTTTCTGGGTGAACAATTTTTGTTTGCATCTTTGTAATTTTCTGGGTTTGTGTTCTTGACAGTTGACTAGTCATCGCATGATGTTCATGTATTTTTGGGTTTGTGTTCTTGAGGTTGACTAGTCATCATTTTCTGCTGTTTGGTGTTTACTTGATTATGATGTCTTCACACACTTTCACCATAGTTGTTGCTAGCACATGTGATGCCTAGATTGATGGGTCTTTCTGAGTGTCTAGGTTGTCACTAGTAATTATCTAGACTTGCAGGTACATCTTGGTATGCTCTGTGTATGTTCTTAGTTGTGGTAATTCATGTCTGACAGTTGACTAGTCATAAGAGTATTTTGTCAAGGTCTGTAGTGTGTGAAGTTTGTTGTGTCTTGTTTGAATATCATTTAAATTTACCCCTCACCACCTAAGTACCAATTTCAGAATGGAGCATCAAGCTAACAACACCCACATTGTCAAAATTTGATTTATGAACTTGCGTCATATCAAATTTTCTCAATCTTCAATTCTATGTTGAATGCACAATATTCTGCTTATTCAAGAATAGTTCATATGCTTTTTTTTATTTCTTCAAATTGTGTGGATGTTCAGTTTAAACCCCGTCATCTGACACTTACCCTTGTTTTACAGATCGCGACTATCACAATTCCTCCTACTCTTCACGGGAAAGGGATCGCCATAGACATCATTCTTACGTTTGAACTGATCATCAAGTTCAAGACATCTCTCTTTTTCTCCTAAACTTCAACGGAATTGAAAATACTTTGGGCTTTGTATGTTGACAGAAAATGTAAAAGTGAGCAACATTGAGACTAGTTAAGGATAAGCATGACTCTTTTAACACGTGAGGTGTTTTTATATAAACTTGTCTGTGCAGGAAATGCTAACAATATAGGAAAGAAGTCCTAATTACAATAGGAACTATACAAAAAGGAAAGTAAATACAACTTCTAATATAAAAATGGAAACTAAAATTACCTGCTCACAGAGGGAAAGATCACTATATAAAGTCCCACAACTCAATTGGTTAATCCCATAAGTTGCAAAGCTTTCTTTTTGAGATTCTTGCAACGTCAAATCAATCGCTCTCTAGTTTTCGTTGTTAAGTCTTGTGCATTGTCTTCTCTTCAATCTCTCACTCATGGAGAAAGCAAAATCATCCTTTCATGGTCACGCTAACGGAGGTCTCACCACTGTTCTTTCTATTGATAGAGGTGGAATAAGAGGGATTATTCCAGGAGTTATGCTTGCATTCCTAGAGTCTATGCTTCAGGTAAATAATCAAAACTAGAACTCTATTATGAGCAATTTATAATATCAAATTTTGTTCACCAAACAATATTTCTTTCTTTAAAATATGAGCCCGATCTGCATTTTGTCTCCAAGTGCTCCAAAATTTTATCATACCACATTACCACTGCATGCATGCCGCAATGTACATATATATTGCGTTTTTTGCACTTAATTTATTAGTGGTCACTTTTATCGAATGTGCACGTATAGCAGTAGATAAATAAATACGCATATTATAATATGAGTAAACTAGTCATGTCAGTATATGTAGTGTCATACCTAACTATCATGTTTATTTCATTAGTCACAATTTGATATTAGTGTGTTTATCATACTTTTTTCTTTCTTTCTATAATCTAATACGACTAATTTTTGCTTAACTTGTTTGCTATATGCAGAAGATAGATGGTGATCATGTAAGGCTTGTAGATTATCTTGATTGGGTTGTAGGGATGAGCAGGCCTTATGGCGTCTATGCTTGCTACCCCAAATAAAATAATCGTCCCTTATATGCTGCTAAAGATATCGTCCCCTTTTATCTCCAATACTGCCCTAAGATTTTCCCCCAACCCAAGTACGTATAGTTAATTGTTGACAGAGAGTCTTGTATTGTGTACCTTTTATATGCATAACGAGTAACAATAGTGACATGAATGAGTACCTCAGACGTTCCTTTTTTAAAGCTCTTCAGTCTAATGGCAATTACCTTCGAATTCAGGTAACACAATAAAATTGAGATAAATGTCAAGTGGTCGTTTGTTTGTTTTTATGTTATGTATATGTACACAATCAAAATACATGCGCCTAAATTATGTACAACACAAACTCATGGAATTGGAAATGAATGCAGGACGATACACTAAGTGGAAATATTGGCTTCTGTGGATATTGCCACAGAAGAAAACTTGAATGATCTTGTAAAAGTTGGAGAGGCATTGTTGAAGAAACCCGTTTCGAGATTGAATTTTGGTATCGGTAAACTCAAGCTTGTTTATCCTGAGGTTACAAATGAAGAGGCTCTCGTGAGGTACAAATTTGCTCTTTTATTCTCATTATTAAGTTGTGTAAATTCAATAAATTATCATACTAATTACTTTTGTTTTGTCCATTAATTTGCATGATCATGTAGGATGGCAAAAATGCTCTTTGAGGAGAGGGCTCGGAGGAAGAGGGTGGTCGTTCATGAAAATGCTGCTCTGCTCTCACATAAGTCCTTGTAGTTGTGTTTTTTGTCAAGAGAAATAAATAGCTCAATAATTTTTATTTATTTTTTATTCATGTAATTCAGTTCTGAAACTAATTTCTCCCAATGTTATGTATATATTTGTAACTGGGAAATTATTCAATTTATTCATGACGTGGCCAATGAAAGCAGCTTGAGTTGTTTTAAGTCTTCTTCTTCATTATGTTGTTGGAGTTTGTGTGCACTGATAAAGCACTATGAAATTAAAAACGAAAACAAAACAAAAAGCACTTTGAAATTAATCCTTAGTAACATGTTTGATAATGAACAGATTCTTGAGATTGAACTACTGCATCTGTAAAGAAGAACGAACCTATGATGTAGATGGTTGGCTTGCTGCATGGAAGGTGAGTGGCTTCATGTCCATGGAACGCATGTAACTTAAAAACTCTCCAGGCAGCTCTTCCAAAAGACCTTGAACAACAGAAATCTGCCCGCTTGTTCCATTAATCGCGCTATATTTAAATAGCATAACCGTGTGAGACTATAATATATCAGGAATTATTATCCCCACAATCTTGATTTCCGAGGCCGAGCATACCCAATGCATCCACTTATTCAAGCTGTTTAGGATCATGATCTGTTACTCATTTTTATATTGTTCTCCTATCATTGGCCATCTTTAATTGTAATACTCTAATTAGGTAATAATTATATATGAATATTTGAATTGGGTTATATTAGTTATTGAAATTTGAAGTTTTGTAGCATGTTGAGCTTTAAGATGGTTTGGTACTCTAGAAAATGAGTTAAGCATAGAGCAAGTTGTGAATTTGTTTTTTGCACTTGAACTAACAATACATACATAAAAGGTATAGCCGCGCGGTTAAACTCAGTTTTTTTTAATTTTTTTTTAAATAGATAGTATAGCCGTGCGGATGGTTCTGGAGAAGACTATAAACTGCTACCTAGTGGTCCAGCTTCATTGCCAGATGAGCAGGTAAGTTCCAAGAATATCAGAACTTCTAAGCCTGTATTCTTTTGCAACTTCCTTGTTATCTGCAATTTTTAAGTGGTTTCAGTTTTTGTTTTATTGATATGATGAACAACTCTATCCAGGTGCCTATATCACACAACGACGACAACGTTTACTGGAAAGAGTTATTGATGCTTGTGTATGTCTGGGTGGCTTTTCTTATTGTTCATATTGTTAAGGTAAGTTATTTTACTCTGTAGTTCTGTACGACTAAAGAAGCTTTTCTAGGAACTCATCTATTCGCATACCGGACCTTAAAATGCTCTCCAAAAGATACGATCATCACTAGCAATGCAATCAAGTTCCATCTTTCTAATACCTCTGCATTTGCTTCCAAAGCACCATATGATTTTAACTTTTGTTACTGAATTATTGGGTCCTAAACTCCTTGCAGGTAAGGTTAACAACCAGAGTAGTAAGATTTCTTTCACGGACACTATAGAAACACATAACTATATACACTCAAGCATACATAAAAAGAATGATGTCCAGTTGAACATAAATATTATCATTTCGTAGGTACCAATTGCAGTCTCCGTTACGCTCTTTGAAGCCAAATTCTTATGCAAAGGCACCAGGGTGATTGCATCCAAAGGAAAGGAAATCACAATTGGAAGTTGCATCAGATTTTTCCTTACTGCAGCTGTGGGATAGTAGCTGGTATGGTGGGTAGCCTACTTGGGCTGGGAGGCGGTTTCTTCTTGGGACCCCTTTTTCTTGAATTGGGATTTCCTCCTTGGGTATAGTTCAACGCAAGACAAAATTCACTCTATTCTTTTTGTCAGTCAGAAAATCTTGTCAAGAAATCCTTGGCAAGGAAAAATCACTGAAGAGGTTTGGATTCAAAAATCCTTGATCATTGGTTTTGATCCCAAGTCTTCCACTGCCATTTCCAGGTGTTAGTAATCACCTTTCTTATTAATCTTTTCTTTTTACTTGTTAACTTAATCTTAATGTCTTCAGTTTAGACAGAATTAAAGAATTATATATATGCCATCCTATTGGTCATGCAGGTATGATAATGGGTGCTTCAGTTTCAACTGTATACTTCAATTTGAGGCTTAGGCACCCAACACTGGACAAGTGCCCCTTATAGATTATGATCTGGCATTTCTCTTTCAGCCAATGCTCATGCTGGGCATCAGCATAGGAGTGGCCTTCAACGTCATGTTCGCCGGCTGGATGGTCACAGTTCTACTTATTATTCTCTTCTTAGGGCATTACATTTTGACCACAATTTATTTGTTATTTGTTACTTATTAGTGGTTACTTTAGTGATTTCATAATGCAAAATCCATTTAATGTTGTATTTTCTGAAGCCCAGGCCCTTCTCTCTCGCCCAGGCCCTTTTCTAAACCCTAAACATAACACGCAACCTCTCTTCTTCTTCAATCTCATCGTCGTCTCTCTCTCTCACCTCATAGCACCATCGTCATCTCGTCCCAGAACTTGGAGTTCCAAAATGGCCTTTTCTTTCTTCTAGGCGCCAGCGCCCGCCTAGCGCCAGCCTAGACCGCCTAGCGCCCGCCTAGCCCGCCTAGCGCCCGCCTAGACCGCCTAGCGCCCGCCTAGCCCCCGCCTAGACCGCCTAGCGCCCGCCTAGCCCCCGCCTAGGCCATGTATTCAGATATGAGTGACAGTGTGTTCAAGGATTTAACTTTTAAAGAAGATTTCCGAGAATTGGAAAAGAAAGAGATGATGCTTACATTGTTCCTACAACCTTTTGGTTTATTAACTGTATCTGAACTTTGTGCAGACATATACTCAAACTTGCTCCACCAGTGAGTTTGATCTCTCTTAAACACCGTAGTTAATGCATCTCCAGCAAGATCACACACACGCATAGAGAGAGAGAGAGAGAGAGAGAGAGAGAGAGAGAGAGCATAAAGGGGATTTAACTTTTATGTCTAATTTTAGGGTATTTTGACTTGTTCCAATAAGATTTTATGATTCTTCCTTTCATGTTTACTGTTGTGGTATTTTTACTTTGACTTATGTATTTTGGTTGTTCAGGAGATCAAGTTTGGTTGGAAAATTGTAGTTGGCTCAATAGTTGGATTCTTTGGTGCAGCATTGGGTAGTGTGGGAGGTGTCGGGGGTGGAGGCATTGCTTGCCTTGATCATTGGTTTTGATCCCAAGTCTTCCACTGCCATTTCTAAGTGTCAGTAATCACTACTTTTCCTTTTAATCTTTTCTTTTAACTTGTTAATTTAATCTTAATGTATTCATTTTAGACAGAATTGAAGAACTGTATGCCATCCTATTGGTCATGCAGGTATGGTAATGGGTGCTAGGTTCAACAGTATACTTCAATTTGAGACTTAGGCACCCAACACTGGACATGCCCCTTTATAGATTATGATCTGGCATTGCTCTTTCAGCCAATGCTCACGCTAGGCATCAGCATAGGAGTTGCCTTCAATGTCATGTTCGCCAACTGGATGGTCACAGTTCTACTTATCATTCTCTTCTTAGGTAATAACATTTTGAACACAAATTCGTTATTTACTTTGAATACTCCCAATAATCTTATTAGATATTCTTCTGAGTTCTGGCAGGTACAGCAGCAAAAGCTTTAATGAAGGGCTTAGAAACATGGAAGAAAGAGACAATGATGAAGAAGGTAAGGTTTTCACTTAACTATTTCCTGAACTATCAATGAATATATGGTCTGTTGCCAATCTAATAACAAGGAATTTGAGGTTTCACACGATTTTCAGGAAGCAGAAAAGCAGTTGGAATCAGAGTCCAAACCTGGCGGTGAGTGCTTATCCAAGCAACATTCTTATATATAGACCAACTTTAGAGTATACTAATATCAACTAAAGGAAAACTCTAAAGTGCGGTTCTGGAGAAGACTCTATCCAAGTGCCTATATCACACAACGTCTACTGGAAGGAGTTATTTATGCTTGTGTATGTTTGGGTGGCTTTTCTTATTGTTCAGATTGTTAAGGTAAGTTATTTTACTCAGTAGTTTTGCACAACTAAAGCGTATAGCCGGGCGGCTTTACTTGGCTCTGTTTTTTTTACTTTTTTTAAATAAATAGTATAGCCGGATACTCGGTGTTTCTAATTTTTTTTAAAAAGAAATAGTATAGCCGCGCGGTTATACTCCTTTTTTACTAATTTTTTTTAAAAGCCGCGCGGTTATACTCGTTTGTACTATTTTTTTTTAAGGAAATAGTATAGCCGGGCGGCCATACTCGGTTTTTGCTAATTTTTTTTAAAAAGAAATAGCGGCTATACTCGGTCGTTTCTAATTTTTTTTTATAAAAGAAATAGTATAGCCCGGCAGCGATACTTTTTTTTATTTTTTTATTTTTATGAAATACGGCTATACTCGGTTGTTTCTAATTTTTTTAAAGAAATAGTATAGCCGCACGGTTATACTCAGTTTTTTCAATCACTAACCTGAGAAGAAGATTTCATGATCTTTCCTCTCTTGGCAAATTCCAAAACAGCTCCATGAAATGAGCTCAACCTAGAAGAAGGTACAGAAGCTTTGAGAATAGGCAGTATCGCTGCAATCCAAGCTGTTCTGAGCAACCCAACAAGACCCATCTCCATTTTAGCAAAAACCCATATCAGAACAGAGCTTAAAGAGTTGAAAAAGGCTAGTCTCTACACCCTGCTGAAGTGCTCTGTACTTAGAGGATTAGAGGGCATAGATTCATCAAAACACAGTCTCTTTTGAAGTATGTTGGTTTTAGTTCTCACTTACATATTGAAGTATGTTTGAAGTCTCACATATGCGTTAAAATATGCTTGCAGGGGTGCATGATTCTTTCTGGACTCATGCATGTGATGTGGACCAAATGAACGAGATACTTCTGGACAAATTTGTGGAGCTTTATAGCATGCCGATACTTGAAAATGTAAGTGAACTACGTCCTATTTCTCTTCAGGAAATTGGGTCTCATAAATTCAGATCTTTCTCTGGCTTGTTTAAAAGCAACTTGGGTGGAATGACTTGTATTTGACACAATGATTTCTCAAGGCTACTTAAAGTTCGTTTTGATGTCTCCTTACAAGGTTTCAAGATGAAGTTTAAGAACTTACGAATGCGTCTTCATTGTAGAAAACTTTTGCATTGAAAGACTGTATTCAGCTTCTCCCTAATTTTTACTATATGATATAATGAAATGGTCAAACTGCTTCTAATTGTTTGAGAACTTGCATTTAGAAAGTTGCTTTGCACACATTTTATATGTAGACCCGAATTAAACTATTTGTTTATTTCCATTGATTTCTTGATAGCTCTGCCTCTTCCCCGTTGCTTGAAAGTTTCCAAGCATCATATCCAGCATTGACTTTTCCTCCACTTGTAACATCCCACATCGACTAACGGAGAGGGAGTGATATGCCTTATATGTGTATGCCCACCTCCATCTAGCACGAGGCCTTTTGGGAGCTCACTGGCTTCGGAGTCATGGGAACTCTGAAGTTAAGCGAGTTTGGGCCGGACAATATTGTGCTACGGCAGAGCTAATCTGGGATGTGACACAATACAAGTATTTTATAGAAAGGAAAAGGTGAAGTAGCATTGGGTGTTGTGAAAATGCATTGCATTCTCATGAGACAGATGCAGTAACATTTATGTTGGGAAAACTAATTTAAACAGATAGTTGGAACTTGACATGATACGGTTTTTCATCCAACATTTATGTACATTGTAGTTTCATGAGAAAAGTATTTTGCTTCTGCTTAAGTTCACGAGAAAAAGGTTAATATGACATAAAATATTCCTCCTTTTTGGTATTGTAGAATAAACGTGATTGTTAGGAAACTGTATTTCATAAAGATTTTGTCCCTAACTCAATCCAAGTGTAATGGAACAACATGCGCGAGCTAAAATAAAGAAGGAAAAAAAAAAGCCATGAATGTATCATGCATAAGCTTTGTTGGTATATTAAGTACAAGAAATTTTTGAGTGTGACATGTAAATTGTTAGTTTTCCGCTGTTAAAAGTACAACACTGATCTAGTAGCAACTGTATGTATCTCAAAAAGTTTTGTTCTTCTGTTCTGTATATGCATTTGTAACCATTACATGGTAGGAAATATTGTCTCCTGCTGTCAACTGCTATTGCCATAAAAAAATAAAACAAAAGAGGACCTATTTACATCAAAGTTGGGAAAATAAAAGGAAAACAAAAGGAGCAAAATTTTACATTAATTTATTGAAAGAATAGAAACATACAAGTATATTAACTAGCTCAAAATTTAGGGATGAATCACATAGCATAGAAATTTCTTCGTCTGCCCGAATCAGCGAGTTTCGATGACTACCACAATGCTTTGTGGATCTACATCTGAACTTGAAGGTTTATGCATTGTCTTAGGGGATGACTGAGCAAGAACAGAAAGGTTAAAGACAACTTCTGCCATTTTTGGCCTAGCCAAGGCCTTTTCTTGTGTGCATGTCCATGCCAGGTCTGCCAAACTCAGAGCCCTATAAATAGGATAGCTGTTCTCCAGTTTTGGATCCATCCACTTGATTAACCTGTCCACTCTCTCCTCTTCATTCTTCAACACCGCCCTTAGTTCTTTGCACAACATAAAGATTTCGCCCTTGTCTTTTGTTTCCAAGGCCTTCTTTCCTGAGAGCAACTCCAATAGTACGACCCCGAATGCGAAAACATCCACTTTTGGCATTATGGGATCTGCAACAGTTCTAGCCATTGAGAAATTTGCTATCTTGGCCTTAAAATTTGAGTTTTGAAGGATGTTCTTTGCTCTGAGATCCCAGTGAACAATGCTTGGTTGAGTGTGATCATGCATGTATTGCAGGCCATTGGCAACCTCTAGTGCTATGTGTATTCTCTGACTCCAAGTGAGGCTGGCCACTGCAGAGCTTGATGAAGAAGCTGCAGCAGAGTTGGGGTGCAACCACTTTTCAAGTGATCCGTTCTCAGCGTATTCGTAAACCAAGAAGCGAGTTCCATCTGTTTCGCATGAAGTGCCCAGAAAACTTACCAAATTCACATGATTTACTTTCTGCAGGATGTTCAGCTCCTCCTTGATATCTCCCTTGGTTCTCTTTAAGGCTAAAACCTTCTCATGCATAGTGCCTTTGTAAATTGAACCCCCAATTTTACAATGTTCATCAAGGTTCATTGTTGCCTCCATAATAATTTCTTTTCCGTACATGATTGGCTTACCTAGATACTGTGAAATCCCAGTAAGTAACTTATCCTGAACCATCTCCGGCTCATAGTTTGTGACCTTGAAAGGTTTCCTCTTATTTGATAATTTACAAGTATAGACCACCACTGAAAGTATAATCAATAAAGCAACTACTGAGCTTTCAATAGCAATGTGTAATTACCATTGACAAGGTGAAAGCTGAAAATAGTACATGAAGCTTTACCTGCAGTTATTTCATGGGCTAGATTTTTAACTGAAACTATTTCTACAAATTCACAGGGAGAATAAGAAGCTGATATATTACAGAGAAGAAAAACAGCCCCATTTCTATTTCTGGGACTGGCATTTACATTTCCACCTCTGCCGTCTGCTCTTAACATTTCACCATGCTTAAGCAACCTTACCGGATTTTTATCTGAAAAACTCTGTTGTACCAAATTGAGTGAAGAGTCATGTGGAAGAGATCATACTTGAGGGGCTTAGCATGCCAAAGAAAATGCTTTTGAACCTTCCTGACCCCTCTCTGCATCTGAAGATACTTCTCTTCCGGTATTGAAAGCAGTATCTCTTTCAAGTTTGGAATGTCTCTCTCTGCAAGAATTACTGAGAATGCCCCCCAATCCAAAACCTCGAAAAATGGCGGAACAAAATTGTCGGATATGATCACAGGTACGCACTCGTAAAATATTGCTTCGACCACCCGTGGGCTGTTGACCTCGTAACCCTTGGGGCAGATACAGTATTTGCTGCTCTTCATATGCTGGATATAGTTCATTTTGCTTGCAACACCAGGAGGCATTGGACCAAAGATCTTCATATCAGGGTCTTTGTCTTTCCAGTACTCTAGCAGAATTGGACGTAAATAGCCATGCATATTTCCAGCATAAAAGGCAAGAATCTGCCTCTGAGAAGGAGGTTTGCCGCCAAGATCTCTAAGAGGATTTCTCGCAGAACGAACATACGTTTCTGGAAAGGACACATCCCTTCCTATTTTAAAGCCGCCGGTTACATCAGCATTGCAGAGGGCTTTCATGCAACGTTCCATATGGTGCCTTGTTTCATATGGAGCCTATAAAAGACAACCTTTCATATTAAGAATACATGCACACAGAAAGAGACACACACACACATGTAGGAAATTGCAGTCATTATGGGCTCAAACAAGCACACATTTATGGACAGAACATATGGTGGTCCACTTTTGAAAACGGTCCTTTGGTCGGTTTAAACAACCTCCTCACTAGATTTGGTATTCACATGGGCCAATATGATAAGATTCATTTGAAAGTGAAAGCTTAGGTCATGAATCTCAAAACCATTTTGGAATCTCATTCTACTCTCTTTGTATCTTATCAAAATAACAAAGAAGACATTAGTCACCCAAGCAAAATCAAGGACAAGGAAAGATGCATGGAGAGCATACCCAGTCATGGCAAGCAACAAGAAAATGATCTGCTCCACCAGTTCTGTTCCAGTAAGGATACTCTGCTGCAATTTTTTCAGAATATTCCTTCAAAAATTGGCGTAGGTTTGTACGGTTGTGAGAGTTACGTACATATAGAGTGTACTCGAGCATCCGTGAACTAAATGGCATATAAAACAGATGCGCCTTTCGTGGATCCTTCACAACAAAGCGCTTATATCCCTGCATCAGTTTCATGAACCATCCTTCTGAAGCATATAACCCCTTGAGTATTGGTTGATGGAAGATGGGCTTGTTTCCATCCTTGTAGATATAGATTTTCAGTGTGCGTTCCATAAGTTCGTAACTCCTGATAATGGAACAACTATTACTTTAAAAAGAATCACTTGTTAAAAGAGAAAAAAGAGCATCACTTGATAATGTCAAATTAGGCTTCAATGTAGGATTAAAATCAAATCAACTCCTATTTTAATTCCAATTACCTTTTAAACATAGAAACATTTCGAAAGAGAGGGGCATAAAGTTCTCGATCATTTATTGCAACAGGAGGATGCTCGATCTGTGACTTCACAGCTAGGATATCCTGGTCACGTACAGAGGACCATCGTGGTCTCTGCAACAAAATATAAGAAGTTAGGAACCCCTACATAAACTGATTAAGGGATGATTAGGTTGGCAACAGAAATATTTATACCAATGAACGTGAAGACGCACGGTGCCGCACTAGTATATGATTCATCTCATATATTGATGTTATTGACTTTGGTGGCAATTCGCTCTTCATCTTCTTCCTCCCAGGATTTTTCATCACCACAGAACCATTTTTTGAAGTCACAACATCACTTTTGAAGGAAGTAGAACCAACAGAAGCATTGGTCGCATTTGCCAACGAAGCTGCTGCAGGTAAAATGAGTGGAGAGGATGGAAAACCAGTCTTGACACCATCAGATTTTTTGGCTGTCAGATTTGAATTTTCTTTCAAAGTATTCTCAGTAGAAGTTTCATAGTTTGGTAACACCATCCGCTCCAAAGGGAAGCCATACTTAGCCACATTAGCCTTATCCTGAACAGAACCATTTTCTTGATTTTCAATGCTGACTAATGCTAGACTTCCATTTGTGTCTACCACATTCTCAGACGGAAAATTGTGATCTACATTTCTATGAATGGTATTTGCAAAAGTATTATCTATCCCTTTTTCTTCTAATATTAAATCAATTTCCTTATGTACATCCTTTCCCTTCCGTCCACGATCATGTCCAATTTCTCCTCCAAGACCAGAGTTACCAGCAGCTTTCTCCACCCCACTGAACATTGAAACATCAATAAAATCCGATGAAGAATGTACTGTAAGAGGATTGCGGACCATCACAGACTCGGCAGAAGAATGAATAGAGAAGACGCCGCTACCTTTGAATTGTTCTTGAACCTCATTCTGAGGCAACAGAGACCGAAGAGCATTTCCATAGGGAAGCAACAATGACTGAAACAATACGTAAGTAACAGCCAGTACTCCCAGAAGAAAAAGCCATCTCCGGGTTTCTACATGGCATATCTTAGGAAATTGAAATGAGTACTTCATACCAGGCCCTAATACTTGCCAAGTCCTGCATAAAGTTCCCACAATGATAAAATTATACATACAAATTACAATCAGATAGGCACTATAGACAACCCAGAATCACACATTGGAAAAATAAATACAAGAATTTGAGGCATTAATATTTGGAATTGTTAACATGTAATCAGGGTAGAGACCAAAACAAACAGTGAAGTTCATGAACAGTTAGAGAGCAGAGAGCACCAATAAGGCTAACTTTGTTATAGTGAAAAAACTGAAACAACAATTCAAAATCACCTCACTCACATCATATAAACATGATAGCAAAATCCTTAATTTAATTACCAAAAAACAACAATGAAAGCTGGCTGGCTGGCTCAATAGAGATTACTAATTAAGGCTAATTTGATAGTTATACACACATTAATTAAGCTTCATCATCAATAATGTAAAACAGAACTCAAGCAATTTCAGTTACAATTGGCAGGCATTCTAGTCTAGTTTATGAATCTATGCCTTATCTGAGTGACTGAGAAACACTAACATTCTGGAGGCATTAGCAACAAGAAAATGCTATTCTTGTTTGGTTCCCGAGAAAATGAAAGACCATAACTGACCTGAGTATAGGAAAGCACAAAACTTGAGGCTGAATTTCCTTTGAAGCCAAGCAGAAAAACCCAAAACTGAGCAGTTCAGTATGTATGAGTATAACCCAAAAAAGGAAATAAGAAACCTTTTGCAAAGAACACGGCTTTTCTTTGTTTTTGGGAAGTAAAGAAGACAGCTTTTCCAAGTTTGGTCCTTTGAAAGTCCGTTTAAAGAAGGAAGAGCATCTCACTCTTCAGTCTCATCAAATTATTGATTTAAAATACTTTTCCTTAAATGAAATATAAATTTTTACAATTGATCGGGACAAGCATTTAATATATATATTTTTTGCTAAAATTCATTGGTTTTTGTCTTCACTCTGACATGATGCCATCTGGCTTACTTACTGTATTCATTATCTTCTTTTTTTTGTTGGCTTAAAAGGACCACTACAAAAGTGAAAGTACACTTTGGTTATTAGTTGTTACTCAATTTACACGACTGCCACTGTTCAGTGTTGACCATTAACTAACATTTTGGCATCCTCTGGTCTGGTGCTCCACCAGAAGTAAAAATACTAAATAACTAAAAAGTAGACAAAATGATTTCGTACGTATCCCATCAGCGTCATTTTCATTTATCCTTTTTGGGTGGTCTCTATATATTAGTGCTACAAACTTTTCTTTAAGACAAAGGCCTACCATAAATATGATTTTTTTTTAATGAGCCGGTTGTATAATCTCTTATTGTCAGATCAATCTACATATAATCCACAGGTAGAGCAATTTCTATTATTTGATCTTTAACTAACACTACTTCAAGCTCATAAGAAGCAAAAACACAATCTGTAGTTACTTTTTTCTTATTCTGTTGAATATTTTGACACAATTGGCCATTTACATACACAATCCCCACTAAGCTAGAATTTCCTTGTACTTTAACAAATCTCTCTGTCAGCTTCATTCTCAATTTCAGGGGCAAGAAATCATCGGTAGAGTCAGTCTGGTTTCTAGCTCTCTATTTCTTTACTGCTTGTTTACAGCAACCTTTAGTTTACAGCCCCCAGTCTTCTTTTTTAGTACCAGAGAACCTGAAAATCTCACATTTTCATCTGGTTTTTATCTGAAGAACTCTATTGTACCAAACTGAATGAAGTATCATATGAAATAAATCATACTTCACGGGTTTCTTGTGCCAAAAGAAATGTTGTTGCACCATCTTTACACTCGACATCATCGTAAGGTACTTCTCTTCTGGGATTGAAAGCAGAATGTCTCTCAAATTAGGGATATCCTTCTCTTGTACAAAAACTGCAAATGCCTCCCAATTAAATACCTCAAAGAAAGGAGGCATGTAGTTATCTGATATGATGACTGGCACACACTCATAGAATATGGCCTCAACCACTCGAGGTGTGTGAACCTCGTAACCCCTGGCACATATGCAATACTTGCTGCTCTTCATGTATTCCCTGTAAATTCTTTTGCTTTCAATGTCATGTGGCATTGGGCCAAAGATTTTCATGTCAGGTTCTTTGTTCTCCCAGTAGTGTAGTAGAATTGGTCGGAGATATCCATGCATGCCCCCGGCAAAGAAGGCAAGAATAGATCTTTCTGAAGCCGGTTTTCCTCCAAGATCCTGCAAAGGGTTCTCAACGGAACGTATATATGTAACAGGTAGACTGGTGTCCTTGCCAATTTTGAAGTCTCTACCAACATTGGCATTGCAAAGAGATCTGATGCAATTCTTCATGCACTGTTTTGTGAGTTTTGGGGCCTGAAATTCCATATGACAAGGCTGTATTAGATAAAGGCTTTGATAGAGGATGGTATAATGCAGTTCAATATGACTGATAGTGTCCATTTACCGCTTGAAAAGGCAAAAGGCAGAAACATATAGGAGAAAACCGCATCATTATCACCCAAACTAACAGGAGAAAACCAATTCACCAACATCCATCTAGTTGTAATCCATAATTCAGGAAGCACAGCTCCTCGATTAATAGTTATTCTAGACTAACAAATAATGCTCATGGTGCTGAATAGGACTTATACTCCACACTAACTCATCAACTTTGAAAGAGAAGAGAAAGATTGGTGACTCTGAAACTATGACATTAAAATTAGATTGATGCATGAGAACCATACCCAGTCATGACAAGCAACAAGAAAATGATCTGCTCCTTCCGTTCTGTTCCAGAAAGAATACTTTCTTGCAATTAACCCAACATAGCTCTTCAAGTATTTCTCTAGGACCTTCTTACCATTTTTGACATTTTGTCCAGAAAGGGTCAACCTTAGCATATGAGAATCAAAGGGTAAATAGAATAAATGAGCTTTTTTTGGGTCCCTCACAACAAATTTTCTATTCCCCTCAACTAGTTTCATAAACCACCCTTCTGAGGCATAAATTCCTCTCATCAAAGGCTGATGGAATACAGGCTTCTCACCTTCCTTGTAGATATAAACTTTGAGCATGTGATCCATCAAGTCATAACTCCTGCAACAGAATACATATAAAATATCAAGATAAAATTTGTAATGGGTTTCCACAAAGAAGTCTACATTTCAAACTTTCAACTCCTTGAAGAGACAAACAAGGCAACATGGAATCAGAGCAATATTCACAATTCCATATCTAAATAGAGGATGCTCATATATCTCTAAAAGCACGAAGAGAATCTGTAGAGATTGATAAGTCCCAAATTGAAAGTAAAAACATAGACATAACTGAAGCAGTACAAGCAACCACTAAAAGAAAATGAAAATAAAGCATTTTATACATGCATAGTGGACAGATTAGGTATCTAAACAAAACGGGCTTACCTTATAAATTTGGAAAGATTTCGGAAAACAGAAGCACTAAGTCCTGGATTGTTCCTTATAATGGGAGCATTCTCAATCTCTAGTTTTGCAGATTGAAGTTCACGATCACGTGTAGAATACCGCCGTGGACTCTGGTACAAATAAAAGTACAAGTGAGTATTGAGAAACTTTAACTCATTCCTTGTTGCCCAAATTGGAACCTCAAATTTAAATTCGTACCATTGAAGGAGAAGAAACAGGAATTCGAAGCAATAATGCATTCATCTGGGATAGTGATGTTGGTCGTGGATTCCACTTCTTTAGTATGGAAATACTAGTCATTGTAGAATTGCCATTCAAGGTGACTGGAACAGGTTGCCATAGCTCAGTCTTTTGATGCTCAATTTGGGTTTCTGTAGTTTGTTTCACATTGCCCTTTGAATCTGCATTTAAGGTTTCCGGACTCTCTGTAGAGATTCCTTGCCATACAACTGGCACAATGCCAGCTTCATTTCTACCTTCACTCACTGTTAAACCAGAGCTTGTTTTAGGTCCATTGTCTGCCTTGTAACTTTCATCTGTTTTATCAGTCTTCTGTAAGGAATCATTTCTAAAATCGATAGGCTTTTCCTGAACAGAAATATCATCTGCATTTCTATCCGTCCCCACCGGAAAATTCTCATCAAGGGTTAAATTCTTCTCCAACATGAGCTCCTTGTGTGAATTACTGTCATCGTCTGGTGCCAAATCTGAAACATCAGTATCATTAGCCACTAGGCCCACTACAACACCAACATTAGACTTGCTAGGCTTTGAGTTGTTTGAGCTGCTAACATTGGCAAAAACTGTGGATGTTGAAGTTGAACCCATATCAGCAGGTGAAAAGTAAAACTTTTTACCAGGGGGAAGCTCAAAACACTGAGATACAACTACAATAACAACCACCCCACCGATTATCAACAGCAGTCTCCGGATTTCAATGTAGCCAGCAATATCCATATCACTGAAATTGCACAGTCAACCACTTGTTTTTAACAACACTTCAATATCTGAAAGAAATTACATTGTAATTTGTAAATGGAAATTTCGCCAAATCTAAAACAGGAAAGACTGTGATTTTATAAGGAACCTACACAATATATTCAATTTTTTATTATAAAAAAACCCATAAATTTAAAGACTTTACAAGATCAAATGAGGTAAAGAATCAATCTTTCTATGGAGTACCTTGAATGTGCGAGCCCAGAAAAGATCTCTTCAGGCTTTTGTCAAGTGTCGGTTCATGGGTTCTGCAGCTGAAACTGCTACTACTACTTTGCCAATGCCAACTTATTATAATCCTAGAAAACTCCGACTTTGGAAGCGGAAGCAGCAGGTACTTGCTAAAATGACCTTTCTGTTTCATAGTATTACGGTGAAGCCATCCTTTCGTCATTCATGCGTTTTACATACATAAGTAGTAAAAACATGGCAAAGAGCAGAACACATAGTGCAGGCAGACATTGACCTACGACTTGTGTCATGTCGTCTACAATGTCCGGGACGTGGGGATCTAACTTCTGAATGTAAATACGGCACGTCGTTCTTTTTGTTTAGTTAACGACGTCGCTTCGAAGGGACTTGACACTTGGCCGTTGGCAGTTAGCGCCAAGCTAACCTTAAACCTCTCTCTCTCTTCCCCTCCATCTGCAAAACTCAAACTTGAAAACCCCTACCATCAACTGCTCTGCCTCTGCGACGTCGTTTAACTGGTTTGCATCTAAACCCAGCAAAATGCCTCCTTTCTTCTTAAAGTTGTAAGCGTTGGCTTTCAATTTGAGGATCCCAAATCGTACTTTCCCAGTAAATGGCGCTAAATTTGCCCACTTCCTGCCCAATTTTCGCGCCACTATTGAACCTGAACCCGAACCACAACCCCACCCCGAACCGCCCGCCCACAGAGGTCCGGTTCGCGCGGTGGAACAACGCCAACGCCGAGAAATTTAACCAGCGGCGGAGGGCCCAGCAAGAAATCGAGGACGATATCCGCCGCGAGCGCCGCTTTGACTCCGCCACCAGAATTGCAACTATTTATGACTCTGCCACTGACACCACCACCACGAGTGAAACATTCAAATCCATAGGCACACCTTCGTTTCCCTCGAGCCCTTCCATCCCGGGCAAAAAATCCAAATACTCTAAAAACCCTAACCCTAACGAATCGCACCCCGCATTTCGCCGAATTATTAGACCCACAAAGCTCTCTAAAATCCCAAAAGATAAAGGTCCAACAGTTGACAGAAAAGCCAACATTTCTGTCGGCGATGATGGCCTTTCGTACGTCATCGACGGAGCCCCATTTGAATTCAAGTACAGCTACACTGAGACTCCTAAGGTGAAGCCCCTTAAGCTCCGAGAACCGGCGTATGCGCCATTCGGGCCCACCACGATGGCCCGGCCGTGGACTGGTCGGGCCCCATTGCCGCCGAGCAAGAAGAAATTGAAGGAATTCGACTCGTTCCAGCTGCCACCACCGCATAAGAAGGGGGTTAAGCCGGTGCAGTCCCCTGGTCCGTACTTACCCGGGTCGGGTCCAAAGTATGTGAAGTCTAGGGATGAGATATTGGGTGACCCACTGACGCCTGAGGAGGTTAAAGAGTTGGTTAAAGGGTGTATCAAAACCAGGAGGCAGTTGAATATGGGTATATAATCTTGTTCATTTGACTTTATAGCCTTTATTTGTTTTCTTTCATTTGGAATTTTGATTCATTCTTGGTGAGATTGTGAAATTGGAGGCAGTTTTAATTTCAATTGTGGTGGTAGATGATGTGAGTTTTAGATTTAGAACTTCAAAATGCCAGAGATTTGTAGCCTCAAGTTTTCAACTTTGCAAACTAAGCTTATGAATTTTTATTTTATGATTCTATTCATTTGGTTTTTTAGGTAGAGATGGTTTCACCCACAACATGTTGGATAACATACATGCTCACTGGAAGCGCCGGAGAGTGTGCAAGATAAAATGCAAAGGAGTGTGTACAGTCGACATGGACAACGTGTGTGAGCAAATAGAGGTTGGTTCTTCTTGCTGAATATGCTTGTCACTTGTGATTTCATGCATTCATCTTAGCATTGATTTTTGAAGTATATATGGCATGATAACAAAGTAGGTTGAGTAACTGCCAAACTATGACTCACTATTTTACAAATATAAGATTACCAATGAATGTCAGGTTGTTTGAGATTTGGTTTGTTTGTCATTTGAGTTAATTATTATTGGATTATATTGTTTGATAGGAAAAAACTGGAGGGAAAATCATTTACAGAAAAGGTGGGGTGATATACCTTTTCCGAGGCAGAAACTACAACTACAAAACTCGTCCGCAGTTTCCTCTCATGCTTTGGAGACCTATCACTCCTGTATACCCTAGACTGGTTCAACGGGCTCCTGAGGGTCTAACACTAGAAGAAGCAACTGAAATGCGCAAGAAGGGACGGAATCTGATACCAATATGCAAGCTAGGTACCATATGCTTATGCCTAATGTAATCTTTAGAATGGCAATAAGAATGTTTCAGTTTTTCCCTCAAGTAAACTCATAATGGTGAGTTTGTTTTTAACAGGGAAAAATGGGGTATACTCTGAGTTGGCAAAAAATGTCAGAGAGGCCTTTGAAGAGTGTGAATTAGTGCGAATAAATTGTACAGGGATGAATGGGAGTGACTACCGGAAAATAGGTGCTAAACTAAAGGTCTGCTATTCTTTAAGAGAACTTTTCTCTTGTCATGATAATTTTCATAGCAAAGCATGCTAAGAAATTCTCTTAACTATGTGAATGCAGGATCTTGTCCCTTGCGTGCTAATTTCATTTGAACTTGAGCACATTCTTATGTGGAGAGGTCGGGAATGGAAGTCTTCTCTTCCAAATCCAGAGAATGATCTCAAGGAAGTCAAAGGATCTGACGTTGATGATTCAACTTCTATTGCACCTCCCTTGGAAGGCCAGGAAGAATCAACATCATGCACTTCAACAGTTTCAGTCAAGGATGCAAGTCTTGAAATACTCAATACAAGCACACCCTCTATTGGTTCTGAAGTTGTGGGTGCAGAGGGAAGTGGGGATCTATCTCCTTCACAATATGTTGAGCCATGTGCCACAGTTGATAGGGTTTCAGCTGTTGGAGAGACCCATGTAACTGAAACCATTTCCGATGTTGAAGATGATGAATCAAAAGCCATATTGGATCCATCTGGAATTGAGCGCATATTGGATAATACAGGCTGCGCTGCTGATGAAGCATCACCAACTACAGTCATGGGGGGTCCGAGAAGTAATGAGAACCCACAATGTGCTTCAATGGGCTCAGAAAATCTCAGTGAGCCAGCAAGGTCGAGTGGACCTTGTATGGAGAACGTGCTGTTACTTTTGAACGAAGCTGTTGGGAGTGGGAGTGCACTTATTTTAGATGATTCTGCCTTGGATGCCGACATAATTTTTCAAAGGGCAGTTGCCTTGGCGCAGTCTGCTCCCCCTGGCCCTGTGTTCAAGCATCATCGACCTAAGAAAGTAGCAGTTCAGAAGAGAATAAAGATTATGAAGCAAGAAGCCAGTGTTTCAGAAGTGAAAGAGATAACAGTTCCTGTGAAGAGAGGAAGTGAGAAGATTCAGAAGAAGGATACTAAAGTTAAAAGAATAAGGGATTTTGGGGAAAGTCTAGATAATGTTGTACCACAGGGAAGTTTGAGAGTTGATGAACTTGCTAAGCTATTAGCATGAACTTTCTGAGATGTGATTATGAATGCCATGCACAGTTTTTGGTGGTACAAATTTGGCTTCCATTTGACATCCCAATTTTTGTCAATTCTGACAATGCTTTGGCTTTCCGGGCCAATAGAACTAATTTTGTGTACATTATTATACTATTATTGACCATAATTATTTAATTGTGGGTTGTCTTTAATGTAGTTTTCATACTAATAAATATATGTCGGGTCACTGACACCGATTAGGAAAGAAATATTAACTTTAAAAAAAAATTGGTCAGAAAAGAAGGGAGAAAGAGGAAATTTGAACATATCCATTTAGATAAAGTCCATATCCATTTAGATAAGGACGATGAACATCTGACCACTGTATATTTTTAACGGAAAGTTGGTTCCATACCGATCGAAAAAGTTGAAAAAATTTCTTTCACGATATTTAATAATTGGATTTCTAAAATATTTAGTGCTACAAAAAGTCAGATGAAAATGCAATAATTTATAACAAGGTTATCCTGTGTTCTTTGGATAAATGTCACATCGCTAGTTAGTGACAAACCAAAACGTATCTGGTGATGCTGTCGGCAATTATGATGTTTATTTAACTTCTAGTCAGAAATTTTTACGCTGTCGTCTAATTTTAAATGGAACTCAGATGCTTGTTTGGAATGTTATTGCCATGACAAGAACAAACAGGATAAACATATATCCAGGACCAGAGAGATGTGTAGTTATTATGAAAATGGAGGTTGTCTGCCATGCAGATATGACATTTCCAGGCCATTTTGGTTCTAAATTTGGCGACTTATCCAGGACCTAAATGATATTAATTCTTTGAACTTTTGAAATTGTTGAAATTAATTCTTAATTATATATAGAACTGCATTCAGAAAACAAACTATGAATAAGAAATCTGAACAATGTTTTCTTCTTGTGCTAGCCAGAGATTCTAAACTTGTGCTCCTGGCTTCCCATTGGGTCCAACTTGCTCCCCATCTCCTACTATTCTTTTCCAAAACCAGTGTTTCTGAAAGAGAAGATATATTTCTTCTATGGGCACCTGCTTTGTTTCTGGCAGGAGGAAGAAGATGAAGCTGCTCATAATCATTATCAAGCCTGCAAACAGCAGAAAAATCCCATATTGAAGATGGCATAGCGACGCGAGGAAGCACTGTGCTATCAGAGCTGTGAAGAGGAGATTGACACAGACCACCACACTCTGTCCAGCTGATCTTGTTTCCAAGGGAAAGAGCTCACTTGGAACTAACCACCCCAAAGGACCCCAAGACCTTCCATAAGCCAAAACAAATATGCAAATGACAATAACAAGGAAGATCCCAATTCCCTTTGGGAGGACTTCTCCTTGTCCAAACTTCAGGGCTAGAGTTATGGCCACAGCAATCTGCATAGATTGAAAAAACAAAATTATAGTGAGTATATGCAATAGAATATTGTAGGCATTCTGGTAAATAAAGTGAGAGTTTCTTAGTCTGCTTAAATGTGCATTTACCAAGCAGCATATCATCTCAGTTCCAGCTTCTAAGAAGAAAGCTCTTCTGCCAAACTTATCAACTAAAGCCATTGAATGAATGCAGCGAGAACAAGCGCTCCACTAGTAATGACAGATGAATATAGAGCTGCCCCTGAGCCAAATCCCAAGCTCTGAAATATGACGGGTGCATAGAAGAGGATAGAGTTCATGCCGGTGAGCTGTTGGAATGCAGGAATTCCCAAGGCTCCTATCACCAATTGGGGACGATTTTTTCGTGCAAGTAGATTCCTGAACGGGTGTTTGATGGCTCGAGCTGCATTGCTGGCATCAACCAGGTCAGCATACTCAGCATCAACTTTTGTGGTGCCTCTCACTCTCTCCAGTACTTTTCTTGCTTCTTCTAATCTGCCTTGCTCTACAAGACTATTTGGGGTCTCAGGAAGAAAAAGGCCCCCAACAAACATAAGAGTTGCTGGGACTGTAGCTAAACCAAGAGACAATCTCCAACCCCATGGATGAATTTTATCGGTTCCATAGTTTATCAAGTTAGCTATCAGGATGCCTAAGCAGGTTGTTAGCTGAAAAAGTTGGTTAACTGCTCCTCGAATTTTCGCAGGAGCCATTTCCGAGAGATACAAGGGAACTGCCTGGATTATAGAACAAGAAAGTTGTTAGTAAATCAGAAAGATGCTGTTAATTTTCTTTGGTGGAGAGCATTAGACTTACTTGGTTTCCAAATCCAATGCCAATACCAAGAAATATGCGACCGATGATCAGCATTGCAATGTTTTTTGCAGCAGCATTCAGGACTGCTCCTATAAAGAAGCTGACTGCTCCAACAAGAATGCTGGCTTTCCTGCCCTTGTTTCTGGTAACATGGGAAGCTCCAAATGTAGAAATGAGTCCCGCAAAGTACAGGGACGATGTAAAGAGTGTCAGAATTTGGTTATCATATTTACAGTAATCTGTCTCATTGAGGTGCAGTTGCTTCCTTCTGTAAATTTTCGGGAAGAATTCCTTCAAGAAATCATCCATGGAAGTCACCCCACCTGAAATTTAGCATCAAAAGTAACATTCTTTATCTTGATTTTGGAATTATATGCCAAAAGAGGCCTCTTCCCCACAGTAGTATATAATTCCATTTTCCTTCCCTTAAACCTTGAAGGGTAACATTCTTTTTCATACGAAAAACAAAAATCTTAAGCATTATGGAATATGCTTGTTGCAGATGGCAGGTATGCATTCAATGTCTTATCTAAAATCATAGAAACTTTTTTATCTATGAAGGATTCTGTCCATTTTTGTGGATAAGGAAATCACAGAAAAGGTATGTTCATTTTTGTTAGGTGAGGCAGCACATCAGTGATGGTATGTTGCACCTAAGGTATTGTATTGAAAGACTTTGCAACCATTTGGAAAATGAACAGTACAGGAATAAAAAATCTGCCCCATAAATTACATAGAAGAAATGCAGAACTAGGATTTAGAATTCCTTAAAGCATCATAATATGTTTTTGTGAACACAGACAAAGCATTCTATCATCATTTCCTGTATTTTTTTTTTTCTATGAAAAACTAGTTGAAAAAATTCTAAGTTTCAATTTCACCCCCTGTCATATTCCTCCAACCTCTCAAATTAGTTTTGTAAAAACAATGGTAATGATCATGATGATATTGGTCCTTCAATACTTTATCAAGAAAAACATCAGTCTAACAAACCTGCTTCACAGGATATGCTGATATCCATGAATTACAAACACCCAGATCAAAAGAGAATTTAATGTTTCAAATTTTATTTTAGAATCATAAACCTGTGAAAAGAACTGACCTGAAACACCCAGATCATAACCAAAGAGAGAGCCTCCAAGGGCTGCAACAATGCAAGCAAAGATGAAATACCCAGTAATCCTATACTCATATTGATGAGCCCTTTCTGATAGCACCCCATCACCTCCAAATCCTCCTGCCATTCTCCTAAAATCTGTTTTTCTCACCCTCTTTGCTTCTGCCTCTTGTCTCTGTCTCTCTCTTTCTCCAATAGGTCTGTTATAACCTTAAAAACAAATGACTTACAGAAGGGTATGATCGTTCGCTATGAGGGAGAGGGAGGGAAGGGTACAAGTATATATACACACAGGAAGTTACAGAGAGTTGGAGTCAACCAACCAACCCAATTAGATTGGACTGAAAAACAGCTCAATTTATACTATATATATATATATATATATATTGGTATCCAATGAAAAAAAATATCAGTGTTCTGTATCTGTTATTGTATCTGTTATCTTTTATCTTTTCTTTTTTTCTACACATAATGCAAAACAAGTAGAAAAAGTAAGAAAAGGACCTGCATGGACTAGCTGTATTATTTATAAAATAACTCAACTTTAATATTTTTTTATTATTACATTGTATCTTGAATTCAACTCTAATGGCTGGCTGTTTCCTCCATACCGAAAACCCAAGTAGGTCATGGACTCGTCATGCATTTTGTCCAGTTGACCTAAACTCCCCAGCACTTGATGCTACAAGTTATTATGATTAATTTATTATATTAATTCAATTTAATAAATAAATAAATAATTTGTGAAGTAAACTATAATGGCCCAAAAAAAAGAAGATAAAATGGTAAACTGGTAGAATATTTGTTATAGAAGAAGACATGAAGATTTTCCCTTAACTGAATGGTTTCTGTGGGAATCCGCATGACAGGGACGAGTGAATTTCGAGATTATCCATCCAATATTTTGTTGAAAACTTTTCAAACTTGTAAGGAATAGTAACAGCTATTCGTTTTAATTTTCAACACTACAACTATTTGGATAAGGAAGAAGAAGATGAAGGACCAAAATTCTGAGTATACTTTTCGCTGGCACGAACTAGAAGCGCAAGCCGTTATCCAATTTGGTAAAATAATCTTTGCCAAATGGTGAATTGTAATAACATGCAATTCCTAATATTCCCAATGGTCTTTTTGTTTTCTGTTTTTTCTTACAACGGTGGAAGGGATCGAAGCTTCACCTCTAACCTCAAATTATGTAAACCATCTATGCACATAACAACCCAAAAAATAACCATCAAAGACTGTTGTCCCTCATTGACTAAAAAAAACACTGTTGTCCCTCTGGTGAAATGTTGGGTAAGTTATGCTACGGTCAGTCGCCCACATCAGTATTTAACCGTTATATTTCGCCCACCGGCTAGCAAATTACTTTGTTATTTGGGCTTTTGTAATTGTATGATGCCTACTGGGTTTCTCTTTGGGCCTGGTAATCCTTTCTGGGCTTTAATCAAGTTATTGTAAACTAATATTTGTTGTAATAACTAAGGGACCCACCAACGAAATGAGGCCTAGGGCATTTTCAAGCAGCCCACCATTGGAGATTAAAAAGGACTAGAATCCTATACAATATCAAGACAGGATATTTGATCAAAACAGTCCCCCCTGTACCCCACATCCTCGCTCTCATATCAACTGTAACAGAACTTTTGTAAGACTCTACCGCCTTCTCATTGGTCATTATCAAAAACTGCCAAAACTATCGTAAGACTCTAACACCTTCTCATTGGTCACGATCACATTATTACTTGAAGACCAAGTAAACACCTCAAATACCCTAATCGTTTGGTTCCTTCGCAACCCTATTTTATTTCTTTTTCCCCTTCTCTTGTCCCCAGCTTTAACAACTAGCGGGAGCCTTCAGCAAATCTGCCTATAAAGCTTTTTTTTATTTTCTTTTCTTTTCTCTCGAGAATCCTGAGAAAAAATTATGATGTTCACCAATGAGGGAGAGAGCAAAAGGCCAGGCATGACTAGTCAAGAAGACCATGAAGAGCCCGGTTGTGGAGACGGAGAGATGACGAACGGGACTGAGGGTGCTTATCTTCTTCTATTTTTAAAGCATACAATCTTGAATCCCGTAACAGCCAGAGATTTGGAGCGCATGAAGAGCAAAATTCTTTCTGGAATTGAGTTAAACTCACCCAGCAGAAGTAAGCGAAAAGCACTACGAATACAAGAACCTGAAGCCCCGCGAGCCCGAGAATCCACTAATGGTGCTGCACGAGGACGAAGCTTACCTAGAGAACTGCAATTTCAACAACAAGAAAGAGGAGGTTTGTTCTATGGAAACTATAACCCTCCTGATTTGCCACCAATCCCAAGCCTACAAAACTTAATCCATGATTTCAGTAAGCCTTTTGAGAAACAGCTCACATGCAGTGATGTGAAAGAAGACCAATGCAGGCTCTCCATGAACAAAGAAGATGTCGAAAATAACATCATGCCATTGTTGAGAAACGGTGACAACCTTAATGAAGGCGTCGATGTGACAACTTATGACATGGCTGGCAACGAGTACCCAATGGTGCTCAAGATTTGGGCCACCAAGGTTCATGTCCTCACTGGAGGCTGGAAAACTTTCTGTAATGATCTTGGACTGGTTGAGAACCAGGATTTTGCGACCTTGTGGGTTTTTCGCCATGTCGACAATGGAGGCCTCTGCTTCGCAATCTATTCAAGAAGGTTGCCGGTGTTCGAACCCATCAAGAAAAAAAGACCGATAAGGAAGAATTACCATTAATATTAATGGAGGTTTGCTTTAGGAGTTTGTCTTCATATTTCTGATTTTTTTCTTTTTTCTGTTTTTTTTTGGGCATAATGTCCATTTTGCTAGGAGTATGATGCATTTTCAGGCATTAGGGTTATTAGGATTTGATAGCATTTGAGTGGTGATAGGAATGACTTTTGAGAAGAATAATATATATATATATGGCCAAATTTAAGATGTGAATATTGGTATGGGAATAAATGATTTATATTAAAAAGAGATATATTGCTTTTGGTTTTCATTATTGTTCGTATGTTCCAAGAGCCTAAAACTCAAATTGACTTACGTTTACTGTAATTAATAAATTTCACCCCAGAAAGATGGTTAAATTTACAAGTCAGTAATAGTCTCCGTCAGTCAAAGTATATAGGTTGTTAACAGTTGGTTGTTAATACTTAATCTGTAAGTCCAGAGACTAATAAGTAATTTGGGCTCCATTATCAAGCAAAAACGAAAAAATATTTCCATCAAGAAATCCAGTGGCCAGTGGAGGTGTCTAAAATATTCTAGACATTGCGTGGCAGACACCAAAGGGTAAATTATTTGGAACCACAAACACATCTCCGCTTATGTACACATATGCTAACAAAGAAAAATGAGATTTAACATTTTTTAAAAGTCATATAATTATTAGCTTGTGATTTAAAATCAATTAAGTTTCATATGACATAGACCTAATATGAAAGTGAAACTTTATCTTCATAAAATGTTAATAATATAAGTTTTTAACTATGTATACTAATTTTTCTAATATTTTATGTTAATGATTGGTTACATATTTCTAATTTCAGTCGTTGGATTACATATATGTTGCATATTAAATCTCCCAACACATCTAATGGATACAATTCAACGGCCGAGATTAGAAATATGTGTAGACATCCTAAACTTAAATACTTATTGGAGAATCCCTTATCAAAACAGATTGATAAATGTTAATAATCTAAGTTTTTGTTAACAATGTACACTAATTTTTCTAATATTTTATGTTAAAGATTGGTTACATATTTCTGATTTCGACCTTTGGATTGCATGAATGTTGCATATTAAATCTACTAACACATCTAATGGATATAATCCAACGGCCGAGATTAAAAATGTGTAGCCATCCTTAACTTAAATACTTATTGGAGAATCTCCATCAAAACAGTCCCCCCTCTACCCTACATCATGACACTCACATCAACTGTAACAGAAGTATTGTAAGACTCTAACACCTTTGCCAAAATGGATTCGGATTCTTACACACAATTATTACTTGCCAATCAAGAAGACACACCAAATACCCTAATCGTTTGTTTGCTCCGCAACCCTCTATATATTTCCCCCCCTTCTCTTGTCCCCAACATTAACAACTAGCAGAAGCCTTCAGCAAATCTGACTAGAAAACTTTTTTTTTTTTCTTTTCTCTCGAGAATCCTAAGAAAAAGTACGATATTTGGAGAGAGCTATAGTGCAGACATGGCTAGTCGAGAAGACCGTGAAGACCCCGGTTATGGAGACGGAAAGATGACAAGCAGCACCGAGGAGGGTGCTTATCTTCTTCTACATTTAAAGCATACAATCTTGAATCCCAAAACAGCGAGAAATTTGGAGCACATGAAGAGCAAAATTCTTTCTGGAATTAAGTTAAAGTCACCCAGCGGAAGTAAGCGAAAAGCACTACGAATCCAGGAACCTGAAGCCCCGCAAGCCCGAGAAGCCACTAATGGTGCTGCACGAGGACGAAGCTTACCTAGAGAACTGCAATTTCAACAGCAAGAAAGAGGAGGTTTGTTCTATGGAAATTATAACCCTCCTGATTTGCCACCAATCCCAAGCCTACAAAACTTAATCCGAGATTGCAGTAAGCCTTTTGAGAAACAGCTCACACGCAGTGATGTGAAAGAAGACCAATGCAGGCTCTCCTTGAACAAAGAAGATGTCGAAAATAACATCATGCCATTGTTGAGAAACGGTGACAACCTTAATGAAGGCATCGATGTGACAACTTATGACATGGCTGGCAACGAGTACCCAATGGTGTACAAGATTTGGGCCACCAAGGTTCATGTCCTCACTGGAGGCTGGAAAACTTTCTGTAATGATCTTGGACTGGTTGAGAACCAGGATTTTGCGACCTTGTGGGTTTTTCGCCATGTCAACAATGGAGGCCTCTGCTTCGCAATCTATTCAAGAAGGTTGCCAGTGTTCGAACCCATCAAGAAAAAAAGACCGATAAGGAAGAATTACCATTAATATTAATGGAGGTTTGCTTTAGGAGTTTGTCTTCATATTTCTGATTTTTTTCTTTTTTTCTTTTTTTTTTGGGCATAATGTCCATTTTGCTAGGAGTATGATGAATTTTCAGGCATTAGGGTTATTAGGATTTGATAGCATTTGAGTGGTGATAGGAATGACTTTTGAGAAGAATAAATATACATGGCCAAATTTAAGATGTGAATATTGGTATGGGAATAAAAAACAAAGAAATATTGCTTTTGGTTTTATTATTGTTCGTATGTTCCAAGAGCCTAAAACTCAAATTGACTTATGTTTACCGTAATTAATATATTTTACCCCAGCAAGATGGTTAAATTTACAAGTCAGTAATAGTCTCTTTCAGTCAAAATATGTAGGTTGTTAACAGTTGGTTGTTAAGACTTGTTTGTTAGTTATAACAGATTTAGTCCAGAGACTAATATGTAATTTGGGCTCCATTATCAAGCAAAAAAGAAAAAGAAGAAAAAGATTTCCATCAAAGAAACACTTTTCTCTTGCGATCAGAAGAAGCGTAATGGCTGATGATCATAATGATGACCTCCCAAATGAATTTGCAGCAGCCTTTTCCGATTCTGAATCCTCCAATGACGAGTTGGAAGGAAATAATGAGCCTGCAGAAAATGCACAAGAAGAATTGGTAGCAGCAACCTTACAAGGCACTGCAGTTGAAGCCATTGTTGCACAAGAACCCGCAGTTGCAAGCCTCCAACGCTCAACTCGGTTTCAGGAATCTGCAGTCATGGCAGCACATGACATGCCTGATCAACCTCAAGACCGTGAAGACCCCGGTTATGAAGACAAAGAGATGACGGACAGTATCAAAGGTGCTCTTGATCTTCTATATTTAAAGCATACAATTTTGGATTACAAAACAGCGAGAAAGTTGGAGCACATGAAGAGCAAAATTCTTTCTGGAATTGAGTTAAACTCACCCAGCGGAAGTAAGCAAAAGGCGCTACAAATCCAAGAATCTGAAGCCACTAATGGTGCTGCACAAGGACGAAGAGAACTGCAATTTCAACAAGAAGAAGGAGGAGGAGGTTTGTTCTATGGACACTATGCCCCTCCTGATTTGCCACCAATCACAAGCCTACAAAAATTAATCCAAGATTGCTGCAAGCCTTTTGAGAAACAGCTAACACCCAGTGATGTGAGTAAAACTCCCAGGCTCTGCTTGAACAAAGAATACGTTGAAAATCACATCAAACCAATATTGAGAAACGGTGAAAACCCTAATGAAGGCATCGATGTGACAACTTATGACATGGAAGGCAACGAGTACCCAATGAAGTTCACGACTTGGGGCACCGATCTTTATGTCCTCAGTAAAGGCTGGAAAACTTTCTGTCATGATCTTGGACTGGTTGAGACGCAGGATTTTCTGACATTGTGGGTTTTCCGCCATGCCAAGAATGGAGGCCTCTGCTTCGCAATCCATTCACGAAGGTTGCCTGTGTTCGAAACCATCAAGAAAAGAAGACAAAGAAAGCAGAATTGAGATTGTGGACTGCCATTAATGTTAGTGGAGGTTTGCTTTAGGAGCTCCTCTTTCATATTTCTCATGTTTTGGGCATATTATCCCCCCATTTTTGTAGGATTTGATAGCATTTTCACAGTTTCTGCTTCATAATGCAGAGTACTGATGATGATCAGTTCTTACTAGCTTAAAGGGGTTCAATCTTTTCATTCTTTAAATTGTCCCTATTGTTTTCTAGTACTAACGCAGCTGTGAATTTTTGTTAAGAATGTAGAAAGAAAGAATCTTAGTTTTACTTGTACTACTTGTCATGGCAAATTAAGTGTAGCAAGGTAGCTCTTTTTTAACAGTGTATAAATTTTTGTTTGCTGAAATATTGAATGCTCTAATTAGACCTCTCTGTCTATAACCCTGGTCTGAAAACCAGGTACACTATTTTCTTCAGCTATCTATATTCTATATTGTAAATCAACTGAAATCTCATGAAACATATATTTTTCAAAAATTGTCTTCAAAAGTTTACTGTAGCATGTAGAGAGATCAAAGCCACATTACCGAAAGGGTATTGCTGCAAACAGCTCAAGTTGCAGACAATTCTGTAAAGAGATCAAATTTCAGGTTTTATGGACATTTTTTAATGCAAATTTGTAAGCAGAAATTGAAATAATCAGTATATATTAATTACTTTGAAAGATTGTCTGTACAAGTTTTCTGTAGCATGTAAGAGATAAAAGCCACATTACCCAATAAGGGTAATACTGCAAACAGCTCAGTTTTGCAGAAAATTCTGTAAAGAGATCAAATTTTAGGTATTCTAGACATTTTTTTATGCAATTTGTATGGATATGTGACATTATTGAGAGAGAGAGAGAGAGAGAGAGAGAGAGAGAATTAAAGATAACTTAAGAGTAACTAGAAATTGACATACTGGAATTTAAGACAAATCAGAGCAGGCTCTGGATCCGACCCGCTCGAGTAACCTTTAGACGATTTCGGGTTGGATGTGGATGCTCCAGCTCTTTGGTGGTGGAGAGAGTCCATGGCAATCGACAGTGTGGGAAGGAGAAGAAGAGGAAGAAGAAAAAAGGGCGCGCTTTGCTCTAGCAGAGTTCATGATTTTGGCGCAAAATGTTAAAAGCAGAAAAAAATAACTTGAGAAGCCAATAATACCCCTGCCCGCTAACTCGTCTGTTCATGTAGCAGGACAAAAACGACATTTAATATTTAACCTTGTGTTGTGACAACCATGTTGGAATCCTTGCTTTGTAGGCTTTGGTTTACTTGATAATTTTACCCAGCAAGATGGTTAAATTTACAAGTCAGTAATAGCTTCCTTCAGTCAAAGTATATAGGGTGTTAACAGTTGGTTGTTAGTTATAACGGATTTAGTCCAGAGACTAATAAGAGCTAATTCGAGCTCCAAAAAAAAAAAAAAACAAAACAAAAGAAAAAAGGAAAGTGGGTCCATCTAGAAATATCTGATCTTGAACTGTCTATGAAACTCAGTGCAGAAAGAGAAAGAGCAAGTGCCTTCCATTTCCCATTTTTCTTCAACCAAATTAATCTCCCAAAAAACACTTTTCTCTTGCGATCAGAAGAACCATTGTGAAAGAAAACAACACCAGCAGCCATGGCTGATGATCATAATGAAGGCCCCCCAGATGAATTTCGAGCAGTTATTTCCTACATAAAGCGCATGCTTTTGGATTATGAATCCTCCAATGACGAGTTGGAAGGAAATAATGAACCTGAAGAAAATGCGCAAGAAGCATTGCAAATGCTAGAAGAATTTCTTCTTGATCAGGAAATGCAAGAAGAATCTGTTCCTGATCAGCAAATGCAAGAAACTGAAGTTGAAGTCATTGTTCCAGAAGAACAACCACAGCAAGTAGCACAATTTTCCTTCAACCCTGTCTCTCCTCATCTCCTGCCAGTCCAAAGCCCCCGAGACGTAATTCAGTTTCAAGAACGTGAACAACTAGAACAAGGCTCCTCCTCTGGAATCAACAACTATGTCCCTTCTTGTACCTCATCAATCGCAAGCCTCCAAGGCATGGCTGCAGAATCACAACAACCAGGACAGACTTCACTCTATGTACCTGGTTCTCTCCCAAGCCTCCAAGAGTTCGGTCAATTTCAAGAACATGCAGCCCAACATGACCAAGAAGCCATTGCAGCAGCACAAGGCATGGCTGCACAATCACAACAACTAGAACAAAGTTCGTTCTACGGAGGCTATGTCTCATTTGGCCTCCCACCAGTCCCAAGTCTCCAACACTCAACTCAATTTCAAGAACATGCAGCCCAAGAAGCCATTGCAGCTTCGCAAGTAGAACAAGGTTCGTTCTACGGAAGCTATGCCCCTCCAGTCCCCCGAAGCCTCCAAAATTTGATCGGAAGGTGCAGCGAGCCTTTTGAGAAGCAGTTGTCAGGCACTGATGTGGCATTGGGCTCAACTTCGCTGACCATTAGCAAAGAAGACGTGAAAAGGCACATCTTGCCATTGTTGAAGGCTAATGAAGTTCCTGAAGAAGGCATCCAGGTCACAGTGTATGACATTGCTGGTGAAGAGTACCCTATGCTGTTCAAACGCCGCCGCTATCGCTATTTCCTTTTAGGTCCAACATGGAGACGTTTGTATCAACGTCATGGCCTGGAAGGAGGCCAACATTCTCTCACATTCTGGGCTTTCCGGAAGGTCCGACCTGAAAGCCTTTGCTTTGTCATCACTTGGAGAAGGTTGCCTGCCAGGTAATCAATGTCATTTGTTTAGGTTGGGTAAGCAATAAGAATGATGGTTCAGGAAATTGCTTTTGGTTTCATCAATTAATAATGTTCCTATTTCCCCAGTTTCTGCTTCATAATGCAGACTAGTGAACTTCTTGCTAGCTTAAAAAGTTCAATCTTTTCATTCATTAAACTTTCCAGTGCTAAGGCAAATTAAGAAAGAATCTCATGAAACATATATGCAGATAATTAGTTTACTGTAGCATGTAAGAGACCAAAGCCAACATTATCCAATAAGGGTATTGCTGCAAACACCTCAAGGTTGCAGAAAATTCTGTAAAGAGATCACCTTTAAGGTATTCTAGACTAATGTCGTATGGATATGTGATAATATTAGAAGAAAAAGAGGGATAAAATGTCAAAATGAAAGATAACTTGAGCGTAACTAGACATTCACATACTGGAATTTAAGACAAATCGGAGCAGGCTCTGGATCCGACCCGCGAGAGGATCTAGTCCTTTTAGACGATTTTCGGGTCCGATGTGGATGCTCCAGCTCGAGTACACGGCAATCGACAGAGAGGGAGGGAGGGAGAAGAAGAGGAAGAAGAAAAGGGCGCGCTTTGCTCGAGCATTTTGGCCCAATCTGTTCAAACACGTGTGATTTATTTTGTTTTTGGAACCACACGTGAGAACGTATAAAATGAAGTTGTGTTTCTCTGTGGAAAAAAGGGCAAAAAAAGTGAGAATCCAATAATACCCCCTTCTCTAACTGGTTCTGTAACTGATAATGCAGCAGGATAAAAACGACATTAGCTATTTAGCCTTATTCACCAATTGACCCCATAATCTGCTGTCTTATTTGAAAACTATGGTCAAATTGTCAATTAGTCCTTTTGCAGTTGAGGACATATACAGCCACTTCTGCGGATGTTCTTCTTCTTCTTTTTTCGGTTGTATACTAAGAAATAAAATTATAAGGAACATCTTCTAAGGATCCTAATACTCATAAGCTTTGAAGAAATAAACAACAGAAAGTTAGTAAACCATATACAAATATTACGTTTGTTATGACAAATAGTCGTCAGATCATCAACTACCATGTTAGCTTCAGTAACGAAGCTCTCCAAAGTCAATAGTCGTCTTAACCTCACCTCATTTATTAACACTCCATTATATTCACATGTTATAAGATGAAAATGAGTACATTACATTTGGCCCACCCCCACCATATGATGCTAGCTCCACCCTTAGTAGACATGCTTTATTTGAATAATTTGTAAGCTTTGAATTAATCCCTTAATGTCATTTTCAGATAGATAAGATGTTGTTGAGGGGTAGATTGAAATTCTTGTAACAATTACCAATGCAAATAAATAATTTACTCAATAAATTGCTTGTACAATTTCAATCCATAACTTTAATTAAAATTTTGCTATAAAAATTTAAAAAAAAAGCGCATGATATTCACGTGCGGTCAGAAAATAGAAAAATGGAAAAGTAAAAAAGAGAAAGAGGTTGGTTTGATTGAACCCCATCATTTTCTTCCACTATACCATACTCTCTGTACCAAATTTCACAACTTTTCTCTCCCCCTCACTGTTCTCTGGACCAAGCAGCTGGATTTAGGGTTTCCTCATTTCTCTTCGAATTCAGGTATCCCTTTGTCTCACCTAGTATGTTTCCCTTCTTATATGTTGGTATGTTTTATGGAAAAATTTCAGCTAGGCTGATTAAATCTGTTTTATTTCATTGATTTCCTTTTTTGCTTGTCAAATATTTGGGAAATCGATATTTTTTTAGATCGAATCTCATTAATCAGTTAATTTTCCATCTTATCTGACTCTACGTTGTTTAAATTCTGCATTTTTTATTGTTGAAAGTTCATAGCTTTGAATTTTGTCGATTTTTTATTATATGTTTAGTTAAAGAATGGGATAATCTGGTGAGGAGCAGATCTGGGCGGGTGCCCTTGTTTGGTTGCTAAGCAAATGGAGGGATATTAGACTTAACAAAAGTCTGGGTCTTATGCTCTTTATTCTTTTTGTTTCCAGCAAGTGGAAATCTTTGGCTCAAAACCGACCTCTATATATAGTTAGGGTCAGTTGCATGGATTTTATCTTTCGAGATCAGTAATAATAGGTTTGAAATTGTGGGTTTTTCTTTCCCACTGTACCCATTACTAGATATGGTCTAAGATCTCGGATCTATTTAATCATGAAAGTCTCTCTGAATTTTTCGTTTTATACACTAGAATGGGCTGGTGTTTGTTTAAGGCATATCTTGCTTCTGTATAGTATGCCTCCACTAATAAGAATTGTCGCTGCAAGTGCAAGATTGATTATAGCTGATTACATGAATGGCTGATTATAGATATGACTGAAATCACTATTTGTAAGAGTTGGGTGGAAAATGTTGACTAGGGGGACCTCTTTAAGGCTTTTGTATTTGCGTAACATCAGTAATTTTTCTTTACTACTTTGAAGTTTGGACCTAATTGTCTGGCTAATGATCTAAACTAAAACACTTGCAAAAACCATTGCATGTGTTGTAGTCCCACGAAACCAAATGATGACCCCCAATGTAATTATTGTAAGCAGTGCTTGCGTTCATGCCTAAGCAAGAGATGTTTAGTTATACATTGATATTTTTTTAATAGCCAAGCCATGCATGATTACCATGACTTTGTCTCATCTCTGTGTCCTTGTTATGCATGGAAGTGAGGCATTTAACATTCATTGTTCTTGCAGGCATCACTTTTCAGAATGGTCGCTCTTTGTGTTGGTGTCAATGGTGTTGGGGATTTAGTCTGAAGAGAATAGACAACTGGAAGGGATTATCTTGACCTCAACTGATATTCTTCATTTCCTTTCTGAAAAAAATGGAGGATGAAAATGGACTTGAGCTTAGCTTGGGTCTATCTTGTGGTGGATCTGCTGCCAAATTCAAGGGTAAAATCGGTGCTCCCTCGAATACTAAAGCAGAAGAAGGTGATAGAGGCAGCAAACTAGTGGATGATTTTAAGGACTTTCTTCATGGTGGGGCTCAGAAACAAGACTCAAGTAGTAGCTCTCAAAGAAGTGATTCATTGATACCTAAGGAAAACTTCTTTAATGACCTTTCCAAGGCCAATGTTGATGCAGATGCATCAATCAACTTGAACGGGAGAGGAGTCTGGGTTGCCAACAATAACAAGTCTGATGAATTAGAAGAGGAAAAACGGTCAGAGGCTGGAAACAAACGCAAGAGTTTGTTCGACGAGATGAACCATCAAAAGAAGCATGAGAGAGAAACTCATTACACTGATATGCATGACAAGACGAGAACATCACACATTTCCATAACAGAGGATGGCTCAACTGTTGAAAATGAAGACGTGGCAGATTCTGAAGTGGAGGGTTCATCCTCAGTGCTGATTTCCCAACATGATGAGGGATCTAAGCGATTTGTTGGATCCGGTGACTCTTCCGAAGCTCAGAAGGAGGTTCGCCGGTTTGCTGAATCAAGTGTTGTGGACCTAAATGGGCAGAAGAGGTTTAATATTTCAGCTGAAAATAAGCTTGGGAACATGGCATATGGCAGTCCATTCTCGGTGCAATCAGTAAACATGATGAACATGCCTTACTCTCTTCCTATGAAGGAGTCTAGCTCTGTTGGTGCCACCAGCACATCGGGCCATCCGATGCATGGAATGATGCAGGTGATGCCTACTGTGACTAGTGAGCGATCAGGGACTCAACCTGTGAATCCTGGAAACTTGCCAGTGTTGTTTGGCTATTCACCAGTCCAGCTCCCAATGTTGGATAAGGATAATTCTTGGGGTTTGGTTCCTCACACTCAACAATTCCATCCTTCCTATGCTGGCAGAAATCCACCAAACTCAGGTAACTATATTTATGTATTGGAAATTCTAGGTGTCCTTTGTGCATGCTGAAAATGAACAGCTCATGGTTGAATTGCTGATCTTGACCAGTTTACTGTCTGTCACTGCCTTGTACCCTGCCTAATGCGAGGTCCATGACTTGAACTCTGAAAACGGTTCGAACTGGGATTACTTGTTTTTATTTAATGTGTTGAAGGCTTTGTGAACGAGTGACATGGTAATGGAAGGTTGGAGATGAGACTCGTGTCTATGATTCCTGCAAACAGATCTACATCAATGCATGTATTTTTCTTAAGAAACCATGGGAACCGCCTCTAATTTATTCTTCTCTAGCTTTGCCTTACCTTGGTACTTGATTTATATAAAAAAATTATATTTATATATTTTTTTTTGCCTTTCTATGGTTCTTGTACTAGTTTCTGATTCTACTGATCTTTTTAGTGCTGAAACTCATAGTATTGCTTCAGTAGATGAAGAAGACCCCTCTGTTTCTTTCTCACCCTTCTTGTATTGATGCAGCTGGGATGCAAGTAATTTCACATAATTCATCTGACGTAGCACAATATGATGGGAGGATGTTAGAACGTGGCAGAGGCGATGGCAAACAGAATGTCACTGAAGAGGGCTCCTCTTCTCAGGCGGAAGAAGACATGAAAGTAAGCAGCACGAACCTCAGGATAAAAGATGCACCTGACCGCTCAACGGCAGAGGATTTCTCACTTGATTTTTCAGCTATAAAACCAGGTATTGCTGCAGACATAAAATTTGGGGGATCTGGTTCCCGCCCAAATCTGCCATGGGTTTCTACCAAAGGTCCAGGCCCAAACGGCAGGACAATTTCTGGTGTTACTTACAGATACGGGGCAAACCAAATCAGGATAGTTTGTGCTTGCCATAGTTTGCACATGTCCCCCGAAGAGTTTGTTCGTCATGCAAGCGAAGAACCTTCTAATCCCGAAAGTGGCACTGGTATGGCGACGTTTCCAAATGGCAATCCTGCGGCCTCTGCACAGAGCTGATTCTGTACCATGTGTGCAGTATGTTTAACCAAAATAATAAATATCAATACGCGGTCAGGAAAACCTGGCGATGTTTCGGTATCTTTAACTTATCTCTGTACTTGTGTAGTAATAGCCGCCTCCTATCAGTTCCCTCATCTGCTGGAATCTAGTATTTGCAGGTGTATGTAATAATATTCCGTCATTATTCCATTGTGATATTTAAGGCTAAATATTTCAGTTCTACCCTAGTAGTTCTTGAGCAAGGTGTCTTTACTTATAAATTCCTTTTAAACTTAAAGACAATCTTTACAACAATTCATGGAATTTCTGAGTTTTAAGCGTTATGCGTTGGAAAATTTGTAGCAGTGTCTTCTTCATGGGGGAGAACCTGTGCAAAATCCTAAACTAAACAAATATTCGTTGCTTGTGTCAAATAACTACTGGATTTGCTTACTGCCCCACCATCCTCCATGTGCCTTCTTTGGAACACTGGCGGATTTGTTGTGTTTGTGTTTTGTTTCATACAGCTTGGTTTCCCAAATGAGTATATGAACAATTGTATTCTTTGGAAAAAATAATAATAAATAAATAATAAAATGAGGTGCCTGCCTACAACAAATTTACTATGGATGACAGGCCGTTCCCCTTGCTTCTAGGTCTATGACATTAGCAAATGCTATTTTTATGGACATGCTTAAATTAAAAATATTACTTTGAGTCTTTGACAGGGTCAGCAAAGCATTGAAAAATAAAGAAAGCAGCAAGTTGTAATTATGAATGCTACATGTTATTAAAAAAAAATATTTAGTTTCAGTTTTATTGAACAGAGAGCAAAACCAATCTGATTTTTCTTTTTCTTTTCTTTTTTCAATGGAATTGGAGTTTCAACTCAATGAACTGGTCATCAAATTCAAACCAGTTCAAGGTTGCATGTAGAAAACACAAGTGGTTTAGCTGAAATAATTTTCATGCCTAATTGATGTCCTAAGCAGTGAGATCACCAGCCCAATCCTTGACTTTCTGAGCAATGCTAAGCAGCACCTAATGCACGCAGCTTATACGGCTTTGACTTTCATTTGTCTCTCATTAAGAGCCTTGCTGGTTTTGATAAGATCTCTTAATTTAGTCAAATCACAATTAAGCAACTCTCATTTGCCATTAAAAAGCTTGATATTTGATAAGCTAAGCTCTCCAAATTTACTCAAATCACAAAAAAGTTGTCTCATTACTAAAGCTCTGAGAAGACGAAGTACAAACAGAAACAGAAACATAGAGGGGGCAGATTACCTGCGAAAAGCTCATAATGTTCTTTAAGGTTTTACCTTAACATGATTGATGCAATGTGGCAGGTGATGCTTATATTATAATGTAGGATGATTACGCAAGAAAAGCCTACAGCCTACCATAAGAAGCAATATTTGTCCACATCCAATTCCTCCTCTCCCCACGTTGTGTCCACTTCCGAAGTCTAATCCTTAATATATTGCAGTATGAAAATGATTTATCAAATCTGACATACGAGAAGAATCCAACAAAACTGACAAGTCACAAACCAGATTGACAAATACCCTTTGAGGAAGAGACTTTAAAATGTCCACGCATAGCAAACCAATCCTCACCCTTTTCCCCTAAACTTTCTGACTTCTTTACAAACTCGTATCTGCATATATGTATATATATGTACATACAGTTCCTCTTTTCCTTTACAGAATGCTTTTCAAAGATGATTAGAATTCTGGGCCAGTTTCAAAATTTCAACTTTCCAATGTTACATTCAAGCTTGATTGTTTTGCTTCTCAACTGTGTGGTCTTCCATGTTGAAGCACAAATCTCAGGGTCAAATTTTCCTTCTGATGAACATTCTAATTTTGAACCAAGTGTTGCTGTGGTTATTGGTATTCTCGCAATCATGTTCACGTTAACTTTTGTTCTCCTTGTCTATGCTAAGTTCTGCCATAGAAGAGATTATGTTGGTGGCAACAATCACCAAAGAACAGGAGTTATCAGCACAAGCTCTCGATTTTCTGGTATTGACAAGAAAGTGATCGAGGCACTTCCTTATTTCAGATTCTCCTCTCTTAGAGGGTCAAAGGAAGGTCTTGAATGTTCAGTCTGCCTGTCAAAATTCGAAGATATTGAAGTTCTCAGATTGCTGCCCAAATGCAAACATGCTTTTCACATTAGCTGCATTGATCACTGGCTGGAAAAGCACTCAAGCTGTCCTCTGTGCAGGCACAGAGTTAGTTCTGAGGACCTAACGTTCATTACCTACTCAGATAGCATGAGGGTCTTGTGGAATAGCCAATCAGAACATCGACAAGACTCGAACATACACCTCTTTGTTCAGAGAGAGGAAGATCGCCGCAGTTCTTCAAGGTTCAGCATAGGAAGCAGCTTTCGGAAAACTGAAAAGGCTGTTGATAAAGAAGAGGAATTGCTAATCCTAGAAGAAGGTGCTGATATGTCAAAGGAGGATCAGAAAATCCTGCACAAGCACAAACACAAAATTGTTGTGTCTGATCTTGAGTTTAAGAACAGATGGAGCAATGTGAGTTCCTCTGACCTCATGTTCCTAAATTCTGAGATGCTTAACACAATGTCAAGCAATAGATTCTCTTCCGCACATTTAAATCATGAGCCTGCAGCAGCAACGGGAAATGAGGAGATTATGAAGATTAGGGAGGAGATGGAGATGAAAAGATTGTTTGAGACTAAAGTTAGTACAATGAACAAAAATGCTTCAGCTTCAAGTCCAACTTTTCCTTCCACATCAGATTACATAGCAACTTCAGCTCATGCCTCAAGGTCTATGAATCAAGGTGAGAAAAGATCAATGTCAGAAATTACTGCTCTTTCAAGATTTGGGAATTTGGGTTTTAAGAACAGGAATAAGGAGCCTTCTCTGCTTGAAAACAATGTGAAGGAGGAAAGAATGAGGCGGCTTTGGTTGCCGATTGCCCGAAGAACAGTCCAGTGGTTTGCCAACAGAGAGAAAAGGACTCCACAGCCTTTGGATGTACAATATGGATCAATGCTTCCCTAGAATGTTGAATGTTCTTCTCATGGAAGCATTCAAGTTTATGGATTTTAGGCAGTTTGCTTAAAAATTCAAGAGGAACAGACACACACACACTTTGAAAACTGTTTAATTTATGGATTCTTTGGCCAATAGCTATACATGTCAATAGAATTTTCTTATCAAATTCTAAAAACCAACTTCTTGAATCAATCTAATTGTATGTTGTTGCTTGCTTTTGCTTAGTAAGCATATTCCTCTTTGCCAAGAAAGGAACATAGGCCACAGCAAGTCATTACTAAAATTCTAAGACAAAGCAATCCAATTATCAAACTGAGACATAAGGGGGAGAAATTACCTGTGAAAAGCTCATAACCAAAAATTTCAATTTCTTTAACCAAGTTTCACATGGTGTACTTGGTATATATGAAAGCATTAGTTTAATATGGTTTATATTAACATGATTGATGTCATATGGCAGCAGCTGCTAATATTATTATAATGTAGGATGATTACGCAAGAAACGCCTATCGCCTACCATAAGAAGCCATGTATTGTCTACATGCAATAAATCCTCTCTCACCTCTTCATCACTTCTTAAGTATAAATTACCTTACCACGCCGCAGTATAAAAATGATTTATCAAATTGGGATGGAACACACAAGAACAACCCCAGAAGAAATTCCTACCCGAAAAAAAAACCCCAGAAGAAACCCAAAAATACTATTATTTTTATTATTATTTATTGAGGAAGAGAAATAAAAAAGTCCATGCATAGCAAACCCATCCTCACCCTTTTCCCCTGAACTTCAGGTTCTCCCACAAACATATATCTATATATGTATTATAATTTCTTTTTGTCTTTACAGAATGCTTCCTAGGATGATTAAAATTTTGGGTCAGTTCCAAGATTTCAATCTTCCAATGTTACATTCAAGAATGATTGTTTTACTTCTCAATTGTGTAGTCTTCCATGTTGAAGCACAATCCTTAGGCAGCAGCACAGATACTACTTCTGAGGAACAATCTAGTTATCAACCAGGTGTTCATGTGGTTATTGGTGTTCTCTCTATCATGTTTGCACTAACTTTTGCTCTCCTTGTCTATGCTAAACACTGCCATAGAGAAGCTCCTGTTTATGGAAACAATCACACGGGTACAAGACTTATCAGCACAAGCTCTCGATTTTCCGGTATTGACAAGACAGTGATTGAGGCACTTCCTTTTTTCAGATTCTCCTCTCTTAAAGGGTCAAAGGAAGGTCTTGAATGTTCAGTCTGCCTGTCAAAATTCGAAGATACTGAAGTTCTCAGATTGCTGCCCAAATGCAAACATGCTTTTCACATTAGCTGCATTGATCACTGGCTGGAAAAGCACTCAAGCTGTCCTCTGTGCAGACACAAGGTTAGTTCTGAGGACCTAACATTCATTACCTACTCAAATAGCATGAGGTTCTTGTGGAATAACCAATCAGAGCACCGACAAGACTCGAATATAGAGCTCTTTGTTCGGAGAGAGGAAGAGCATCGTGGTTCTTCAAGATTCAGCATAGGAGGCAGCTTTCGAAAATCCGAAAAGGTTGTTGATAAGGAAGAGGAAATGTTAATCCAAGAAGAAGCTGCTGATGAGACAGAGGAGGGTCAGAAAATCCTGCACAAGCACAAACACAAAATTGTTGTATCTGACTTCGAGTTTAAGAACAGATGGAGCAACGTGAGTTCCTCTGACCTCATGTTCCTGAACTCAGAGATGCTTAATACAATGTCAAGCAATAGATTCTCTTCCGCACATTTTATTAATGAGCAGTTTTCAACTGCGGAAACAACAGGGCAAGAGGACATTATGCAGATTAGGGAGGAGATGAGGATGAAAAGATTGTTTGAGAACAAAGTTACTACAATGAACAAAAACAGTACACCTTCAAACCCAATTTTACCTTCTACATCAGATACTTCAGCTGATGCCTCAAGTTCTATGAATCCAGGTGAGAAAAGATCAATGTCAGAAATCACTGCTCTTTCAAGATTTGGGAATTTGGGTTTTAAGAACAGGACCAGGGAGCCTTCTTTGCTTGAAAACAATGTGAAAGAGGAAAGGAGGAGGAGGCTTTGGTTGCCAATTGCCAGAAGAACAGTCCAGTGGTTTGCCAACAGAGAGAAAAGGCCTAAACAGCCTTTAGATGTGTAACATGGATCAATGGAAGCTTAAAGTTTCATAGGTTTTTAGGTGGTTTTTGTTTATAAGTTCAACAGGAACAGACACACACTTTGAATTGAACACTGTTTCATTTATGAATTCCATAGTGAGCATTTTGAATTCTTAAGGATAATATCTTCCTTATCAAATTTCAAATACCAACTTCTTGAATCAATGTAATGATACATTGCTGTTTGCTTGACAGATTTATAAATTTACAGTTCCCACATTTTAAAGCCAATTTATTTACCATATTTTAAAACATAGTTATCTAATTACCTGTAGGAATATGTCATGCATAATAATTTTAAAATAGGAGGATCATGCTCTTTGAAACCATCGAAATAAAACTTTCATCCGTCTGTTATCTTTTTCTTTTTTTATAAGTCAATCACCGGAATCTTGACATAAAAAATTAAATTTTTTTCCAAACCTATCTAAGCCGCTAGCGTAAGAGTTGCACTATTATAATTTATCACCGCTGTGGTATTGACGTAAGAGCTGAGCCTGCTTTATTTGTCTTCAAGGAAACCATTCATGAATTAACTTTGCATGTTTAGGTAAATTAATTATTAGTTTTTTTTTTGGGTCCTTACAAATTACAAGTTGGCTAGATACCCATAATTAATATTTTTTATATATTTTTTTCTGCAATTTGTTTTTAAAAAATAATGGTAGTTGACTCGATCTAGTGTTGTTCTTGTCTAATTCGTTTATTAGTTTAAGATTTATTATGGTTGTTATAGTACTTGGATTAAATTATTATGTGGAGTAGGTTCTCTCTTCTCCATGCTTGTAAAACATATCAAGGAAAGTACAAGCCAACGGGTCTAGCAGAACGGCATCATAGTTGTGTGTATGCGAAATTTCTCTTCTTTCTCGTTTAAACTATCGTTTGTATTGATAATAATAATAATAATAAATTAAGCAAATCTAGCAAAATTTTAAAATTAATTTTTTAAAAAAATATTAAAAGTTAACCCATTTTGAAGTGGGGAAATTTTCTTGATGATTGTTGCAGACCAACATTTGGCAGCTCCTTTCAATTATAAATTGCAGATTTCCTTCACTGCAAAATGTTGGTTCCATGTGGAGCTCCAAGTGGCACTTGCACCATTGAAGCAAGTTCGCGGACAGAGTGGAAAGAAAGATTGCAGCTAAGGGTTTGAAAGTTGGATTTGGTAAGCAAGCAGCATTAGCTCCACACTGAGGGCTTAAGACCACGTTGCTGAGCCTCCTATGAATGTAGGCAAATATAATTTGGTTGACCAAACTAACTAATTATTAGGAATAGGCCTGCACTGAAACCATGCAATAATTGACAAAGAATATGACCCTAGCAATGTCAAAAGCAAATTGAACAAGCAAAGCATCAGAGAAGATGTGAGAGGAAGATATAAATTTTGCTGGAGACCAATCAGTAAGGATTTCCATAAATCAGAGCTCAAGTATTTACAACATAAAAGAAAATGGTACAAGAGAATTTGAATAGTAAATGATAAGAATAACGGATGACAGAAACTCGAGAAGCCACTTGGCTAAGTCAATCAAATTTCTGTAGCTGCTATTACAGAAGTATAGTGGAAGGGTATAATATCTTCAAGGAAGGAGCCCTCATTCATCTACACATGTGTATTTACAGAGGAGGGAGATTCACCAAAATCAAAAGAAAAAGGAAGAGAAAAATCTATGAGCCGACCTCTCCACTGAACTAGTCAAAAGGCTAATTAGCAGCAGCCTGTGATCACACAAGATATATACTCTTCTAATGCTACTATATATAATTGGGTAAAATATAACAGGACCGTAAGTGAGTTTCAGGTTCAGTCTCAGGCTTGTAACTCCTGCATTTCTTTCCTCGATTATTTTGTACGTCCTAGGTGGGTTCTTGTTGTTCAGCAAAGCTGTGAGTCAAATCTCACAGCAGTAAAGAAAGTCCACCTGCGAAATTGTTTACAAAGGTGGAAAATCCTGTATTTTTCATCCTACTACCAGTCATCAAACGATTCAGGATTGTCAAGTTCTTCTGCATTTTGAGATGGAGAAGCTAGAGGAACAGAAGAACAGTCCTCTGAGTGACTTTCCAAATGTTGAGTTATACGAGAGGTGATCTCATGAGGAACAGGAAAACTACAGTCTCTGATCCCTTTCCAATCAATACCGTCAAACCAGGGATGCCTTTTGACAGAATCATAACCTTGGCTTCCCAGTCTTGTGTCTTCATCAACGTCAAGTAACTGAACATATTATTAAAATTAAAAGTAAGCATATGAAATATCCTTATCAGAAAGGGAGAGACAAAGAAATGATTAAATGATTCGTGCAATACCTTAGTGATGAGATCAACAACTTCAGGACTAAAAGTTTGCGGGATACTTAGCTGTCCCTTTGCAATCTTTGCAAATGTATCAAGCTCACTTTCTCTCCATGACCCGAATGGCATTTCACCCTGTAGCATGAAATATATCAAGACTCCCAATGCCCACCTGAAAATTTGCAAACAAATTCAGGACTGCAAAGGGTCTCAAAACAATACTGTGAAGACAATAATAAAATAAAATAGCATAAAATAGAAGAAAGAAAAAAACCACAAATATACAACTCCTAAGCCTTCAATAATTTATGTTGAGCATGTATTCTCGTAAATCTCACAATTACACTGAAGTCTAGCAGCATATATTCTTACAATAACATTTAAGTCTAATATAAATTTTTGTAATTCTATGAATATTTCTATCGAGAATTTCCCTAATTTCCCAAGCTCTCAATGCCTCCATGCTATCTGCTACTGAATAGATTTACTTTTTATACAATAATTTCTCACATTTTCCTCAAAAACTAAATATCCAGTTATCTACATAATATTTAGGTTTAGGATATACAAGGCTTGTACCACCGAAGTTACTGTATTACCAGTCAGCTGGGAAACCATGGCCTTTTCCCTGGACTATCTCTGGAGCCAAAAAGTCTGCCATTCCACAAATTGTATATGTTCTTTGGCCAGATAACTTCTTCCCAAACCTGAAGTCTACTAGCTACAATACAGCAAAAAATAGTAATTAGTGATAATTTAATCAACGTTTTCCCCCTTCCTCTATTTCCAACATCCATTGAGATCCTATGAACACTATTTAGAATGAAAAAGAGAACACCAACCTGTAAATGTCCTGTTTGGTCCAACAATAGAACATCAGGAGACAAGCCTCTGTAGAGAACGTCATTCTGAAAGTCAAATTTCAAAACAAAAACAAAAAAATGAGAGATGTAGAAAAAGAAACATGTTACAGAGACAGTCAGAACAACAGGAGTGAAAAAACAAGTGGAAAGAAAATAAGCTATTTCCAGAAATTGGACCTTGTGGAGATCTTCCAAAGCAGCAACTAGAGAGGCTGCACAAAACTGGGTAGATGGCTCATCAAGGGGAGTGCGAAGTATTGAGGCCAATGGACAAGCAAGGCAAGTATTTAGCAGTAAGCCTGCATGTGTCTGATCAACACAAGTGCACAGAAACTGCGGCACACAGGCTGAAGAGCTCATACTCTTGATTAGATCCTTCTCTTTTAACACTTGTGCTTCCTTTCCTAGCCTCCTGACCTTTTGCTTTGAAAACCTTTTCAAACTAAGAAAATTTCCTGATAGGCAATCAGAATAAAAAAGAAGCATTTCGATCAGGTTACGTATACTGTTCTAAAAATAAATAAATTCTTCTCAAAAGATTGCATCTAATACGGTGTAATCAACTCCATGCTATGTAATATAGATTCGCCCCACTCCATTCAGTATATGTAATCAACTTCTCAAAATATGCAGTATATATAAATTCTCCTCAAAATTTTCTGATATTGGATCTAATATCCACCCCACTCCATGCAATATGTGATCAACTTCTTCTTTTCTTTCTTTTTTGTTTTTTTGCTCTAACAATTGATACTTCAACCATTTCATCTCCCCCTCCTCCCGAGAAACAGAAAAGAGAGGAAAGGCCACTTTAACATGAACAGAAATCATCAAGTAGAAGCCCAAACTATAAATAAAACCAAATATTAAAAATTACATTAAAAAAACCATAATAACAACAAACCAACCTGAATCTCTTAAAAGTACAAGTCCAATCTCGCTGCAGTCAGTGCAATATAAACTTGCTCTCCACTCCTAGACAGGAGAATATATAGTATCAATAAATGAGAAGATAACTCAATTAGGAATTTATCTTTGGGAACATAACCACAAGCAGGGCACTGTACTCCATACCAAATCAGACAGCTCAACTTTAGTAAGAGCAGAAATATCAATATTCTTGACAGATTCCCTTGAAACTTCAGAAGAATAATCACTTGACCTGAATAGTAACAACAATCAACAGCATCAGACATATGAAACAGTCATTAAAAAAAAGAATTTTAAAAATCGTTACATGTCATTAAGAGCTCCAAGGTTAACCGTGGATTTCAAAATGGTAGATTGATTAAAAATTATGAACCGAGATTCTGTAGAATGCAACATACTTCTGATCATCCTGAGAAAGCTTTGTCAAAGGGCCAACAACTGAATCAAACTTTTCCTTTGTTAAAACAGCACAAACGACATCACCCATAGCAACTGCACTAAACAAATCAATATGTTCGCCAAGAAGTACCCATTCACCAAAGTAGCTTCCCTCCGTCTTCTCCACTGAGAGCTCTTTACTGCTCTGAGGATTATCATCCTCTTTTTTATTCTCAGAATTGAGACTAGAGACAACAGGACTACTAACTGAATTTGCATCAAAAGTAATCCTCACTTTTCCCTTCTGTATGATGTACAACCCAACTAGGCCTTCATTCTGCAGATAAATATGAAGTACACATAAGATAAAGGAATACAGAGTAAATGATATTCTTAACAAAAGTAAACGTACCCCACTGACTATTGTCTGCCCTTCTGAGAAAGAAACCTCAGAAAGAGAATCGGCAATATGGCTCAGCTGTAAGATTGTCAACCTTGATAGAAGATCCACTGACCGAAGCAACTTCAAATATGACAAGTTAGAAAACTCTGACATTAAAATTCCGCGGAAGTCTTCTCGTTTCAAAGCCCAAAGAGTTCCACTGGTCACAGCCCGAACAGAGGCCTGGAGTGGTTTGTTATACCTGTAGTATAACATATATCCCAAAATGAAGTAAACAGGAATTAGAAATCACCAATCTATTATGCCCTACAAGAGGACACAAACAGATCAAGAAAAGCCAAAACAAAATGGATCTAACATGTTTCAGGACTATGCTTCCCATTTTCGAAGCAATGACAAATCAAAAGAAAATTTCCAATCCATAGATGTACTTGGTATAAACAGTTCAATTTGTGCATTCCAAGAGTTAAGCTATATAGTCAGCTCACAGAAACTATGATAGTAGAATCATCTGCACCAACAGATAAAAAATAAGGTGGAAATAAATAACTCACATTAGTGCTAGCTCTCCAAAGGATGACAGTTTATCAGCTGTATAGTGCTGCAGAACCCTCGGAACCTCTCCATTCTTTTCTTCCTGCCATGATTGTATAACAGTCAACACAAATACTGTGGGTCCTCATGAATTAATCTCCAAATTAATTCAAGCAGAACAAGGATATATTTAAGACCTGGGTTGCCAACACCTCAAATTCTCCACTGCCGACAACATAAAAGCAGTCACCTTCACCACCCTACAAAATACAACAATTGTTACAGGTAATAAATTCATGCAGATTGCAACATTTTAACTTCTCCATTTTTTACAAGTGCTGTTTTTGCAATGGATCAGCATTGTGAATGAAACCTCAGATAATTAAACCAATATTGCAACCCTATTGACCATTAATTTAAAAATCAAATTTGTTTGAGCAGGGGGTCCCCAGATCACTTAACAAGGTTGTATTTGTTAATTTTCTTCATTTTGTATAAATTCACCATCCTGATGTTGTCAAAGCATTGAATCACACACGAATTGATAGTTTAATAAATATATCCAATCTTTGCATGCAATCCAATAACACATAAGACGAAAAGTAACCTGTCTAACAACAACATCCCCGGGTTGGACCTCAACCCTTTCCATGCAATCCAATAACACATGACACTGAGAATCAGTAAGTTTTCTGAAGAGAAAATGGTCGTGCAAAGCCCGCTCAATTTGTGCCTGTTTAGCACGAACAAAGGTTCAACGTAAGAACTCATGACTATAGAAATTTGTACCATTTCTTGTGTTTCATACAAAATTATGACAAACAGAAAGCAAAAGAGTTACGAAATAAAGTATACTTCTTCCTCCCAAGTCTTTCTGTGGGCTGGAGGTGGAGGAACCCAAATTTGCCCATTTTCTAGAGAATTCTCAATCACACGGAGACGTGCCCTTGATAAATCATGTCTTGTGCGCTGGTTCCTAGAGTTCCAGCCAATAGTCGAAGGAGATTCTGATCCTGTAACCTCTACAACTTGAGGAACAGGTGGTCGTAAAGCAACCGCAGGAATTACTGATTGACCAACAGAAGTCTACAAGAAAAAGTCATCATTAATCGACTACATTTGAGAAATAAATCAGATTTGCATGAAGCCAATGCGCTTTCAACATTAAATACATAAATCCTCTTACATCAGTCAGCCCATTTACGTGCACAACTATCACTGTAATATCATCTGTACGAGTTTCATACTGCAGCCAGAGTTTATAAGATTCTGCTACAATTGCAGCACAAGCATCACGGGGATCCTTAAATTTTGCAACCTGTAAATATAGTAACAGAATCAGGATAACTAGAAAAATAGAAAAGGTGGAAAATCAGGATAACAAAAAACTAAACTAAACTCACTGTGCCCAACAATAAGGTATCACACGAAATTATAAACATTCAATGAAGCAGAGATAAATAACTCTTGACAATTCTACACTTGAATTGCAACAAAGTGAGAGCAGGATACCTTACCATATCAACCACAGCTTGGCTAGAAAGGAACTCAAAAACTCCATCACTAGCAAGAATAAAGAAAGGATGATTTTGTGTAAGCTCTAAAACCACGATTTCAGGGTTGGCAACAACCCCAATTGTCTCAGCAATCGAATCACCAATACTCCTTGTAAAAGCCGTCCCAGGATACATTCCATTTGGCACCCACAGCCTGGGTGGATCACCATCATCACTTTCTTCAGTGCCCCAACACTGCACATCTGGATTCTTCAGCCCTTCAATCTGATCCAATGTAAGAACTCTTGCACCACAAAGCTTAACCCGTTCGAGCTCATCCACTCTAAATGGGGTTTGATCAATTGAAAGGTCCACGGCCACAATATCATTCCCTCTCCTCTCCGCTATAACAGCTCTTGAATCACCCGAATTCGCAATGCATATTGTCCTACCTCGTACCAAAACTGTAATTGCAGTTGTTCCACTCATACTATCATCCAAACTATCAGCGTGCATCTGAGAATTGGTTGCAAGAAACGCAGCATGGCATGCCTCAACAGCATCCACTTGAAACTTACTATTCCTGAGCAAATTCTCACACAACTTTCTTTTCACAAACTGTGAACACTGAGCTCCGAATTCTCCATGACCATCAAAGACCCCAAAGAAATGGTCATCTGGGTTTGTCCCAAATGGACTGTGGATGCAAAAGCTATCTTGGTTTGCCTTATCAAGAGCATCAGGGTAATACCCTCGCTGAGATAAATACGAGTACCGTAATTCGAAGTTCCCTGATGGAATGTTGACAGTTCTTGACCCATTTGGAGGTAGAAACTGGGATGAAACCCTAGAGAGCCTTGTGATGCCCACCTCAGCATCCCCGGCTAAGCTTGATTGGTTGAATTGGTCTCGAAGTTCAGCTACTTCGCCATTGGACGAGGTGGGAGAGAACACTGGGATCTCAGTGTTCCTCGCATTTTGGCTCTCTTTGATTCTGGCTTCTCTTGGAGCGCAAATCTCTCCAATACAAGCCCTCGAATACACGCAACCCATCACTCAAAATTATAAATTGAAACCGACCCAAATGCCAAATTTACCTGAAGATTCATTAGCTTCAAGTTGAAACGAGCTCAATCACTGTGGTTGCTCTGCTTCTTTGAACTCGAAGAACCAAACCCAAGACTTTCAATTCCAATAAACACACTCCTTGTGTTAATTCTCAAGCTCTGAGACAGAGCTGTCGATGTTCATTCTTTTGGAAAATACAGGATAGCAAATGAGATTTGGCTACAACCTTATCTTCTACAGCTGCTCAGAAAATTACAGTTTTAGAGAATGAAAGGAACTGACCCACAAGAATTCTAAAGCTTTTATGATATTCAAACTGTTAGATATGGCACAGCAAATTGGAGAGTGACGTTTTTGATCTACTGTGGCTCATAACCGTTACAGGGGCAGGAAAAAACCGCAATAAAATAACAAAAACACAATAAAAATTAAACTAATATAACAATGGTAAGATTGGTGAAGGAGCAGTAGAGTACCAGTGGATTCAAATAGACTTCTGAATCGTGAAAAATAATTTGAAGGAAGTTAAAAACAGAGAATTGGGTTGCAGATGAAGCCCAGAAGCGTTTCGTTTTGTTTTTTCTTCCTTTTAACAGAGACGGTAGAAATGGCTCAAATGAGAAATGTAGAACTTCCTGAGTGTGGTTTAGGCACAGAGAGAGAGAGAGAGAGAGAGAGAGAGAGAGCAGGTGCTTTGCTTTGGGTTTGGGTTATGAGTTTTGGGATCGGGGAGGCGCGTGGGGACAGAGTGTGGTGGGGGCACGTGATATTGTGGATTAGGCCTTCGTGTCAGTGTTGGTCTGCGCATGTGTACTCTCTCAGCTTTTGTGGACATTGCTCGCGCCACGCGCTGCAAGTCTGTGACGGGTCGTACTCTACTTTCGCCTTTATAGGAAAAATATCAAATATGGCAATTTTGGATCTAAATTCATTTTTTGGGAATTAGTTCTTTTCATCTATAGAAATTCCAGCATTGCTTTAAATTTGCTAAACCTTCATTTTGGTAGATTTTAGGTACTTTGAGAAAAAGTCAACTCCAATGCATTGACTATTTGAGAATTTTAAATCCTTTCCTTAAATTTTGAAAATTTATTCATTTTTCTTGGAAATAGTTTTACTTACCACTCTAATCCAAGATGTATCATCACCACTATTCTTAATACTTGACACGTGTCCATATGTATAATCATGATTAACTTTTTACTTTGTATTTATGAAACCATGAAAATTAAGGAAAAACGAATATAAACGTCTCATGTTATTGTCAATCAGTTAATTTTCAATTATTTGTGTAGGGTTTCTATATCCAAAATTGTTATTAGTTAGTATTTATATTGGGCTTTAGCCCTCCTCTCTACCCAAAAAAGAAACAAATATAAACTAAAAAGATAATGAATTCAAGGTGAGCCTAAAATAATCATATAATTATATAAGTGGTACATGAAAACGACTTCGCAAAATGCATCCCCTTGTCACACTTTATTTTCTTTTCCCATGCAATAATTCAATTCAAGTATGCTTTTACCAAAGTGTGTGTGCATGACTGATCTTCAATACTTGATTGAATGAGAAAGCCACCCACTTCACTCAACAATCACATAATAAACTTTCCCTAGTGGTCCTTCACTTAAAAAGGAGGCATGCCTTTGCACCTTGATTAACTTTTTTTAATTTTTGTTCTTTCCTCTTTTGTATTTTTGTTTTTGTTTCTGGCTAAATGGAAATTCATTCATTATCAACCAAGGGTAACAATTTTGTACCAATAATGCATCTTGTCCACTTGATTTCATGCTAATAATTATTCTAAATCATATGGCACATTATGCTTTTAATCACATTGTGGGTTCAGTTGCAAATTATGTTATTTACATTAACTTCAACGTGTAAGTTTTTTTATCATTTTATGATCCATTTTAATATTCAACCATATGGATTTTTTATTTTTTTATTTTAATTTTATATACAATATATATTGAAAGATGGAAAAATCAAACCTGAGACATCATATGCATAACTAAATACTCGTAACCACAGAGCTACAACCCCCTTTACCCATATGGATGTTTTATTGGTGACCTTGTAAATTACACATTTTAAAAGTTAAATGTCAAACGTCGCCTCTGCTTTTGAGTTCTAACTTTCGAGAGTTGAGCAATGATCAAATTCTTGTGCGTGGGGGGAAATGGAGGTGGAACACCACACCCCACAAGATAAAAAGGTAATGTGCAGCTGTGGCCTCCGGAAGATATTTTGTTTGTTTTTATAAATCTTTTAGAAAGAAATGGATGAATCAGCAGAGCAGGCTTACAAGGAACTTTTAGTAATTGTCATAATAATAATTATTATTATTTCAATGAGAGAAATCCAATAATTGTAAGAAGAAGAAAAAAAAGAGAAATCCAATGATCAAAATATTTCTTTGACTCTCCAAAAATGTCGCTAAATCTCTATTTTTTTAATTTTTGTGTGCGTAAAATCATATCTTAACTTGGTAAAAAAGTTAAGAATTTATGCTATGAAAAAGTTGAATAAAGTGGAATAAAATAAAGCAAGTTTAAGAGAAGAGTTAGGAATTTATCCCCATAAACTTCTCATCAACAAATTCCTTTTTTGTTCAGTAAGATTGAGTAATTAAAATTTATGGAGACTTTTCTTTTCTATTGTTTGGGTTTATGACTCAATGTCCTCCATTTCCATTTATAGAGTAACTATATATGATGTTATCCGCAAGTGACATCAGCTTTAGACATCCCCCACCCCACAATCCCAACCCTAAACTTTATGACCACCGCCAAGAGAAAAGCTTTCATGAAACGAGATAGCACTATTTTGTTATTCACAGTCAATAATGCTATGATACACGTGATAACACTTTCACATGATATAACATTATTGGTTGAAGATAAAAAACTATTACTATCCTGTTACAACTAAGTTTTTATTAGCTCACCCTAATATTGCATGTAAATTGTAATCTAAAGATACATCAATTACTCAATGGGATCGACCTGCACGTCAAATGCCACATAAAGTGAAAGATGAAAAAATTGACCTATATTAAGCATCTTCCTACTTTCAAAGTTTCATTTTCTGCGACTACGGTACACGTCACATATTGCTTTTGTCCTTATACCATTTTTCATGACATAAACATTTGTACGTAGGAGTGCATGCCACGTAAGGAATTTGAAGATTAAAAAGCTAGTGGAGTCAAATACTCAAAATGCAACTTTTAATTCACTTTAGACTTGTAAACGCAGGGGTTTTCCCCTAGATTCTAGATGTTCTTAGACTTTTCTCGAATCTATAATGATATGGTATTCCCTTGGCAAATCTTGTGGGGATTCTCTTTGAGGTGGTGTTGTTTGGTCATGACAAATTTATTGTTGATTGGTATATTGGGGTTATGAAACGACTAAACGGTTCTATCTATATGATTTTTAAGAGTGAGATTAGCGGCGTTTGTTCTTTCTTTTTGTCAACGTTGTTTGGTCAATAAAGTCTCAAAATTGTATGAATTTTTTGTGTTTTTTTCTCTCGTAATTCCAGAAACTTACTTGAGTTTGTTGAGTGTTCTTAAATCTTAATCTCTTTGAAGAATCGTGTGATTAGCAGCCAGTTTTGTCCATCATATCATTGAACTATATTCAAGGAAACTATAGTTGTAGAAAGAGGTTATAGAAAATTTATTTTTAAGAGTGCTTCTCTCTAAATCGTTTCAGTCTTTCGGTTGGCTCAGGTCACTAGGGATAATAAAATTCTCTTTATTCTTTTTTCCTATTGATCTAATAAAATTCTATCGCCTTTTGAATTTTTATTTATTTATTCACTTTAGACTTGAAAAGTTTGATTAAAAACCAAACTCTTATATAATCACACTTGCAAGTTCCCAAAACGGTGGCGTTTTCCCTATAAATGTAGCAATGAGGCTATTATTTAGTGGCCCAACTTGAAAACAAACAGAAGCTCAGACTCGGGCCCACTTCAACCCAAAAAAAGATAAGGGCCCACGGCGGCAAAACGCAAAACGTCGTCCGTCCACCATTGTTGGATTGGATCTCCTAAAATCCAAATCCAAATCCAATCCAATCGAATAAGAAAATTGTAAATTGTAAATTGCAAAAAAAGAGAAAAAAAAGAAGAAAAGAAAAATACTTCTCCTCTCACTTCACTCCACCAGGCAAAGGCAGGCACGAACGAGCCCTTTCCTTCCTCCCTTTATTCTCATTCTCATTCCCTTCCCAAAACAAAAAAAAACAGAAAAAGAAAAAAAGAAAATTTTATATCAGAGCCAGTTGAGCCAGTGACTCACAGCCTCAGAGACAGAGACAGAGACAGAGAGGACAGAGAGAGAAGATAGAGATGGTGGGGATAATACCCATGGCGTCCTCAATCAGACCCTCGCTATCTACGTTGAGGTTCGCTGGGGCTTCTCGCTTGGGCCTTTCTCTCGCTTCCTTCACTCCTCGGAGACTCGCTTGCTTTCACCTCGCTAGTGGTAAATAAAGCCTTTGCCTTGCTGCTACCCTTTTCTCTTAAACCCTAAATCTATTTGCTTTTTAGCTGAATTCATCGATTTTATGCTGAATTGAGATTTTGAGGCTGTTAATTTGGTTGCAATCATGCACAATTGATACTTGTATCGCAGTAATAGTTTGAAATTTTCGTACTTAGTTAAGAATTCATGGTTGAATTTGTGGAAGCAATGTATAAGTTGAATTGAATTAGAACGGGGATTATGTTTGTGATTTACATCAGTTTACGGCGTTGACAATGTGATTGTATTTGTAGTATGAGATGGTTTTGTAATTTTAGACTTGCTTTATGACTTTGAGTTGTCTACCAGCTGTGCCACAGTCACAGTCTTTCGGTCTGAAAGCTTCTAAACTGTTGAGAGGAGATGGTAAAACCATAGGGGTGGCTGCTGGTGGGAATGCCGCGCAAGCAAGCACAACGGCTACCCCGGAAAATGTCCTAGAGTGGGTCAAACAGGACAAGCGGAGGCTGCTCCATGTTGTTTACCGCGTCGGGGATTTGGACAGAACCATAAAGTATGTTTGTTCACTGCAAATGGGAATATCCTGTTGTTCTGATATATTATGGTGTATTTGCATGATGACAATGAGAAAAAACGTAGAATTCAAGCATAGAAATTTGTTGTGCATGCAGATTCTACACAGAGTGCCTGGGAATGAAATTGTTGCGGAAACGTGACATACCAGAGGAAAGATACACCAATGCTTTTCTCGGATATGGGCCAGAGGATTCCCACTTTGTTATTGAACTCACTTACAGTAAGGCATCCAACTAGTTTTCATAAAATATTCCCAAAATCTAAAGCATTGGAACTTACTAAAGACCTGCTGTGAATTTCTTCCATAAGAACATGTCATGCAAAGTAAATTCATACTACTGATGTTCATTTTGATTTAATGGAACTTCCAGATTATGGAGTTGACAAGTATGATATTGGAACTGCATTTGGTCATTTTGGTATTGCTGTTGACGATGTAAGTCACTGTTTTACTGTTATATTTTGTTTTTTAAGCATGCAGTACTCCTTTTATGACAATTTTGTTTTATCATGTGGTTACTAGTTTTGTAGACTGTTCTAGATTGTCTGTTCTTAATGGACACCTTCTATGATTTAACTTATGTGTTCTTGTGGTTAGGTTGCCAAGACTGTGGAACTCATAAAAGCAAAGGGTGGCAAGGTAACACGAGAACCTGGTCCAGTCAAAGGTGGCAATACAGTAATCGCATTTGTTGAAGATCCTGATGGTTATAAGTTTGAACTTTTGGAAAGAGGGCCTACCCCTGAGCCCTTATGTCAAGTTATGCTTCGTGTGGGTGATCTTGATCGTTCCATAACTTTTTACGAGAAGGTGAGAGTTGTTTTGGCACAATATGCTGTTTTCTTACCCTGTGCACTGCTAATATGTTTTGGAAGTCATTTACTTTTAGTTCTCAATCCTTATTTCCATTTCATGACCTAGGCTTTTGGCATGGAGCTTCTTCGCAAAAGAGATAATCCTGAGTACAAGGTAATTTTGCAATTTTTCACCAGATCAATATATTGCCTTATATTTTCTCTACACTGAAGTATTGTAAAATAATTGTTGGAACCAGGATCCAGATTGGAATGCCTGGTTAATTGTTTTGACCCCTATTTCATCCAAATATAGATTTAAATATGATGAGATATCAACATGAGATTCTAGATTGAGGCACGATGAGAGAAGAATATAATATTTTCTAACATATAGTTTTAGAGATTTGAGCTTTTGATCATGTCACCATGGTCCCTACATGTAGGAATAGCTGGTTTAGTGTCTACCTTAATGACAAAACCTTGTGCTCATTACTTCCAGTATACAATATTAGCACAAAAATCCTATACCTTTTGTCTTCTAGTACACTATACCTCAATGACATAATCTTGTGCTTGCTGTACTTCTAGTATACTATAGCAATGCTGGGTTACGGCCCTGAAGACAAAAATGCTGTTCTGGAGTTGACATACAATTATGGGGTCACCGAATACGACAAAGGAAATGCTTATGCTCAGGTAAAACCAGGATTTCCCCCTTCCTCTTCTTTTGACTGTGTTCCCTCTATATGTTGGAAAAAGTTTTGCCTACGCTAGCGTGCATGATTTCTTTCAGTTTTGCATGTTGTTGTGAAAATACTATTTTGTTTTAATCTCTACATGAAAAATGATCTCTGTTCTTGTGCGACCTTTTTTTCTTGACTAATTTTGTAGAGTTGTTTCTTTTTTCTCAACAGATAGCTGTAGGCACAGATGACGTCTATAAAACTGCTGAAGCAATTAAACTCTGTGGGGGCAAGATTACCCGGGAACCTGGGCCCTTACCTGGTATCAACACAAAGATCACTGCTTGCTTGGACCCTGACGGTTGGAAGTCGGTATGGTTCACGCCTTCACGCTAATTGTGTTGAATTGTCTGATTGGCCTTTTATATAGCTCTCAAGATGCATTCAATATTATCCATAAATATCCACCTGTGTAGGGTACTTAAAGTGCGTATAAAGTAAAAAAAATTTTAAAAAAAAGCTGCAAGGCTTATGGGATTTATGTGGAGAACCTGTTTGCTACTTGCATGATGTTTAAATGGACCGAAGTTTAGTTTTGGCATGCCAAAATTGGTTGCTGGGTTGTTACCCCACCTCCCTCGTGATTTACAAGGTCTCATACATCCTTTTTTCATTTTGCAGGTTTTTGTGGACAATGTTGATTTCCTCAAGGAATTGGAGTGAGTTATAAGAGGTGCTTACGATACCCAAGCTTGTGATATTGAAAGTGAAATTTCGGGCCAAGATAATCGATTCTAAGAAGCTGTTCTCTTGAAAGAATGTATTACATCCCATTTTGTAGATAAAATTATAATTAGCTTCGAATAACCATTGTAACAAGTATTTAATATTTATCACACGTTTAGCTTTGCAGTGATTATCAAAAGAAAAAGGAAAACAATAGAACGATGTTTAGCTTTGAATCTTTGTTCTTAATTAGTTTGACTTTATATATTGAATTATTGTTTGGGTCATTCATCTGTTTCTTTGGGATGATATCCACTCAAAACATCTTGGTGTAGCCATATGCGATGTTAGTTTTACTGGAAGACTTCTCAGATCGGTGAGTGAGAGAACCTTTCAGTTAAAAAATTTAAAAATATATAAATCATAGTACAATACAAATGGAAGATGATATTGTGAACTTAAGTTAGACCACTTAGTCAAGACAGTATACGTGTCCCATTGTAAATTAAAAAAAAAGAAAAAAGGGAAAGATGATGTTTATAGGGACTTTACCATATATTTGATATTCGTCAATTAAACTTTAGAAATAGTATTTGATTAAAAAAGAAGAATGCTTAAAATGGTAACCATCGAATATTTTAAACCTATAGCCGAGCGGCTATACTTCTAAAATTTTCATATATTTAAAGCGTATAGCCGAACGGCTATACTCTTTAAATATTGATATAGTTGAACAGTACGGCCGCGCGGCTATACGTTTAAAATATTATAGTATAGCCCGGCTATACTCTTTAAATATTAATATATTTGAAAAGTACAGCCGTGCGGGTATACTTTTAAAATATTAAAACATATTTAAATCGTATAGCCGTCCGGCTATACTGTTTAAATAGTAATATATTTAAAAGTACAGCCGCACGGCTATACATTCAAAATATTCGACTGGCAAAAAGCAATTGAACCCTAACATTTTAAAGCTGTTCATATTAAAACCCTAAACCATCGTAGAAAAGTAACTCAGCTCAGCTGTTCATTCCCTCTTTCTCGTTCAACCAAACCAAAGCTCTGAACTTTTACAGAGCGTCTTCTAATAAATGCCAGAAGATTCCGCCATGTGCAGCAAACAGAAAGAGAAGAAGGGCGGAGAGGAACGCGAACAACAACATGTACAGAACAAAAGTAAGAAGCGCAAGGAGATTTGCCCTTACGGAAACTACAAACACTACTACGGCTATCGAGTAAGTAATCCCCTACCCGCCACTTTTTTCCTTTTTGAATATTCTTATTGTTCTACTTGGTTTTCCAGAAAGCTCTGGCTAGTCAATAACTAAAAATGCGACCTTTTTTGTGTTCTTTTTCTTTTAAGTAGATATGTGGGGTTAGTGTTTGATTGAATTTACGGGCACCCAAGTAGGTGCTTTTGTAAGTTTGATTGAAACATGGCATTTAATTTGAAGTTACTGGGGCTGTGTTCTGGATTTTAAATGCAGTGCATGTTTTAAGCTTCTGGGTCGTTTGATTTAGTTTATGCATATTATTTGGATCTTTTCTGGAAAGTTATCCTGAGCTAAGTCTTGCCCATGATTTATTATTCATTGTGACCCAAAGTATTTGAGATAATCAACTTATAAAAGTCAATCATAAGTTAAAGTTTCGGCCATTCTTCAATTTTATAACAGTCTCAATGCTCTCTCTCTCTCTCTCTACAACAATGTGAAATCTGATTGCCTTCATATGATATTTTAGATTGGTCAAGAACTGGAGGAGGATCCTAGATTGACGGTTTTCAAGAAGGAATGGTTCCAAGGCAAGGATTGTCTCGACATTGGCTGCAATTCTGGAATTATGACCATTCAAATTGGTACTTACTTCTCAGTTAAAATCATATTTGAAATTTTATTTTACAAGTTTTCTGATTATGCTTTATTGTCTCTTCTTCTTTTCCTAAACAAATGAAAATAATCAATGCTTATATAATTCCATAGTCCCAGTCAGGGTACATGTAGTGAATTTCTTGGTTTTGTCTAGTTAGGCCTTTTTGTAGTTGTCGTTGAGATACTTTATTTATGTATGTGGTTCTCACAGTGGTATTAACATGTTTATGTACTTATATACAGCCAAAAAATTCTTCTGCCAGAGCATTCTTGGAGTTGACATTGACGCCAGTAAGATTCTAATCATGATCTCATATATGTTTGTGAAATTACACAGAAGTTGAAATATAAAGCTTTCTTCTTTCTGTTAAATATAGTTCGAATTGTTGATATAATGTATAATGTTTTCTAAGCTCTTGTTGGCATGAGATTTAGGATGTAGAATTATGATATTATCTCTCATGCACAGTATCGCATGCTAACACATACACACACGCATGAACATCCACATATATGTATATGCATGCTATTCATTTTACATATCTCTACAAGTTATTCTTAGCTTACTAGTGCAATATTCCCTAGGTACTAAATTTATGTTGGACTATGCAGTAACATGTCATGTGGGTGCCTGACACCTTGAAATTGAACTTGAACTTGAAAGACATGGTTCAGATGATGTGTCTTTATATGTGATATCTGGCATTTTGGCATAGTTTGAGCTTATAATTTATAAAGACCACAACAGATGCCCATTTGAAAAGAATGAAAACTTCATTGGGTTGGGATGCAGTTTGGCATCCTTCGCTCTGTGCGTGTGATCAGACTCAGCTTTTACACTAATATTTATCTAATTAGCCCAAATCCTAGTCAATTTGGCTACTTAAGTTCAGGCTAATTGGGTTAATATGAAATCTATTAGTAGTATTGATTTTAGTTCTCCAATCTGTAAACAGGTAGAATGTTGATGTCGTGACCGTTTTAGGCATCAGGGGTTTCTTTTTGTGTTTTTTTGTATTGGTAGTCATAGATAATGTAGGTTTCATTATCTTCCAGATCGAATTCAGGATGCATACTGGCACATCAGGAAATTTTTGAAAATGGAGGATGCTAGAAAGGTGCCTGGAAAGGCTTCTAAGTTGGAGGGTGCAAATGGTTCAGAGTGCAGTATCCAAGGTTCATCAAAGGAAGAGATGAAGGAGATCCCAAGGAATTGTTGTGCTGAGGAGAAAAATCTGCTTGACATAGTATCTTTCCAAAGAGAAGATTTTGTTAATACTCGTGATCCACCAAAGAAGCATTATGATACCATTATTTGGTAAGCTCCTCCTTGTTCTTGGCTAATTTAATATAATATGTTTGTTTCAGTCCTATTAGGAAAAGCATGTGGAAACTTGCTATGATGTGTGCAGGCTTTCAACTATATATATAAGATTAAAAGTTGACTTATATTCCTTAAATTTGACTGTAACCTTTCTCATAATTTTTTTTTACTAGAACTTTTCAGTAACTGAACGAGATTACCAAACGAGAACAACATAAAGTATAGATTGCTAATCAGATCACTGTCAGAGACAAACAACTCCAAATTATCTAAGTCATCGGAATATCATTGAGTTTTGAAATTTCAGATTTTTTTTCCTTTTCTTAAGTCTAAGAAGCTGTAACCAGGTGTGTCTATCCATAACCACCGAATAGTAAGACGCTAAGAACAAGAATCTATTGTGAGACAATTGGTGGAATCCCCACTGGCCGTACAAATATTTAGGAAAAGCCATTATCGTTACCCTGGTTTTTTTTAAGTCTGCCTGTAATAATTGAACTCTAGTGAAAGTGACTTGCTTTCCCCTTCTTATAGATCGAAGTTGTAGTGGGTTTCTATTAATATATTTTGGGAGAAAAATTGCGCCATGATGCTTGCCTTTTCATATGCAATTACAAGCTCTCATTTGCTAGTTCAATTTTACTTACCCTTACTTTGTTGCTTGCTTGTAATTTTTATTTCTCTCCTGAAATACAGTTTGAGTGTAACAAAATGGATTCATTTGAATTGGGGTGATGATGGATTGATTACATTATTTACAAAGGTTTGGAGGCTACTTCATCCGGTAATTATTATAACTGTTGCTCTACCATTCATTTCCATTCCGTTCTTCTTTTCTTGTCTGCTATCAACTAACCATGGAATTTTAGTTCAAGATAATCTTCATTTATAGCATTCCCTTGTTACAAGATGGCCTTGGGCAAAAAGTTTGAGGAATTCTTCTTCTTGTGAGCAGGGTGGAATTTTTGTGTTGGAACCTCAACCTTGGAAGTCATATGAAAATAATTACAAAGTTTCTGAGGTAACCTTTTTCTTTGCAGCTCTGAGTTCACAGCTATTTAATCACTACTAAATCAGTTAACAAGTCAGAAAGTTTTTCGATTAAGTACTTTATGACTTGAAATATCATTGCTTTACTAAAATTAGGCATAAAGAATATTTTGTCCCATTGTGCAGACAACCAGAACCAATTATAAAAATCTTAAGTTCCATCCGGAATATTTTCAAGACTTACTTCTGGACAAGGTACGATACAATCTTCTTATAGTTCAAATTCAGGATGAAGTAGCAATAATTTTTTTTGGGCATTTTCCCTATATTTGGTTGAGATCCTGGTATACCTGACATTTAACATACGATTACAGATTGGATTTAAAACAGTGGAGAATGTCACTTCCAGCGTGTCGGGCAGCAAAACTGGATTCAACAGACCAATTTTAGTGTTCCGCAAATGACTTAGCCTAGTAATGCATTTCGAGGAGCAGGGTTGAGTGTTGGTCCGAAAAGGAGGCTTAACTCGGACAATGTTGGCTGCATAGGTGCACTTTTGGTGGGAACCTTGACAATGTAGCCACAGATATGCGTCTCTTACATTGGAAAGAATCAATGGGAACCTTGACACCCTGTGTCAATTTTGTGAAGTGTTGTAAGAATCATACAGGCAAAGGAATGGAATACGTCCTGTCCCAATCTTGTAGTTGCTTCTAATACTGTACATATATACATTATGATGCAATGCAATAGTGGTTACTAAATTTTTGAAGGGTAAGTTAATTTCCCTACTCTACATACAATTCTGCATTGATCTCCGCCTTCCAACCGGCAACCAATATGATTAAGGAAAACAAGGTTTTTACTGCTTAATACTGAAGTTTAAGATGTAATGTTTGTATAATTTAAATACAGAAGAAAAGGTATCCCTATTCATGAACTGTAAAGAAAACGTAACCCACATTAGGTGAATAAATGCTATGCCAGTGTATTTGCTCGTATTTATTTCCCATTTATCATAATTATTCCATTAACCGTTTCTTTTCACCGCCTACTAGTTTAGTCACTGTCTTTCTTTGACCTCGTGTTGTAACGTTTTGAGATAATAATGTGGCTTGCTTTCTAAGAAAGTACCAAAATGACTTGATTTCTTTATAAAAACCAATCTCTTCTTTTATCCATCCCCATGTTTCACTTTGGCCACATGAACCATATGGCTGTTCACAGGGCTGAAAGAAGCAACACTCTCATACAGTCATCGACTGTAGACCCTGACATCATGTCTGATGCCGAAGACGAAGACGATGCGCTGGAGGAAGAGGAAGAGGAAGAGGAAGAGGAAGAGGAAGAGCAGTGTGCTGATGATTTATTCAATGATGAAGGGGTGAGAAAGAAGCTTGAGCTACTGGCTCAGATGGTTGGAGTTGACAGTTCAGAATCAGAAGCTGGGGTTCTGCTTGCAGCAGTTGTAAGGGTTTTCAAGGATTTGAAAGAGTCATTATTCTTCAGTCTTGAGTGCACTGAAACTGATCATAGTTGTGATCATTTCTTTTAGATTCTAGAATTTAGTTGCTCTCTTGTGGATTAAATTAACCACATATTTTTACAAGATTTCTCAACTTTTACTCTCCTCTGTTTGTCTTATTGTGGTTGCTGGCTAAATAGACAATGTCTTTTTCACCCCCAAACTACTGAAACAGCTTCTCCATCAGCAAAGAGCTGGAGCATCCACAACCGACCCGAAATCATCCTCCAGACCCATTCTATTCTAGTGACAACCTCACAGTTGCGTTCAAGGCGGTCTCCGACTTGCAATCAACATTTCAAGAAATTGATGCCCTCCACAAGCTGCCCCAACGTCGTCGTTTTGTGCTAATACTTTCGGCATGAGTATTGAGTGTTTTTCACAACTGACTTCGGCATAACTACTAATAAAATATTAAGAGTTTGATAACGAATTTTTCTTTTTCCTTTTCTTTCCTTATTGATAAAAAAAAAAAAAAAAAAAAAAAAAACAGCTAGCAATAAGAGAGGCGAAACAAAACAATCTGGGACAACACTAATACATTTACCAGAAGACCCATCACAAACGACTGAACTACATTGCATTGCATGTCGAATGTTCCTCAATTTAAAAGCTGTAGGAGATATCTATATATATATGATGGATGAGATGAGATATTTAAGCAACTGCACGGGCATGGCACCACCATCAGCATATATGTAATCTCCTTGATCAATGGATTCTCCTGGCAGATAACAAATAACAATTAGACGGCGTTGGTATAGATGCCATGGATCAAAGACGTTTACTAAAACCAAAATCTTGGGTATGCTGGACAATCAAAGAACATCTATAAGTTAGTAATGTCCCCAGGGCTTCGGCTCCTGGATGGCCACGAGTCCACGACAGTACCTCAAAGTTCAGGAGCGAGAACACCGGCCTTGATCCCCTTGAGCGCATGCTACATGGAATGTAGTAACAGTAAGCTACCAGAGCCACTCCTGAGTGATTTCCAGGGGAAAAGAGTTCATGAGATTCCTTTGGCCAAGAAAGAACCAATAATGCAAATATATACATATTTTCTAATGACATCAATTAAATAAGGAGTTGTTCCTCGGATGTTAGATCAAATATGTTAAATTAAAATGCATAGTGGGTGAAATGAACAATTAAGATAGAAACCTTTATGAGAGAGAGAGAGAGAGAGAGAGATGCATACCTGATTATAGACATCTGGGAGAGGAATAGGTATTGGAGTAATTTGGTAAAGTAGCCTTCATAACTGCCAATAGCACCTTAGTATATCATAAGTACCTCTCACCTGTTTTCTGTGTTTTTCAACTTCTCAGATAAGTTTTTAAAAGGCAGCTGAAAACATGTGAAAGTGTCAGAAACAAATTTTCAGTTCCTTTATCTTAGTTTTCAACAGTTTATAATAAGTTCAAAACTAAAGATAGAAGCTTTTCCAAACATGACCTCTGACCACTTGTCCATTCTGACTTTTAGACACAACAGAAAAACAGTTTTCTAAAAGCCAATCAGGCCATGATGCTTCTTCATTCAAAATATATATATTTAATGTCACAACAGCCACTTTTAGGAATATTAAAATAGAGAAACACTGTCAACAACAATCAAACTGCTGCGAGACAACTTATTATCTAATAACAAGAACGGGGAAAAAAATAGTATACACATCATTCATGGTACAAGAAAAACTTAAATACAAGATTGCTGGGACACTTATGAGATCTATGTACAGCACAGAATCCAAGCTTTGGGTATTCTGTATTTCGTAACCAACACATTTTTAGTCACATTAAGGAAAAAAAAACATAACAAGCTTGCACCAACGAAGGAACTAACTCAATGTCTCCAAAGACGCGTCACCAAGATCTTCATGAATAGATTGCAAATTTGACCATTAAATCACCATACATCAGCAGAGCTTCAAAGATGTGCTAGAATCTTCTGGAGCAAATCTGTTGTTAAAACACAGTGGACCGCACCCAGTCAACAATGATGCTAATATGTCTGGCGAATAGTATTTGCTGCAATTAAGAAAGCAGCCACCCAAATAATGACTCAATTATGGATCCAATGAATTACCATATAGGTCACTTGGCTGAAGAGATGCGCTGCAGTGACTGAATCCAACTACTTGAAGGACCTACTTTACTGCCATGTCCATGACCAGTGTTTGCAGCTTCAGTGGGCAAAATAGGTTTTGTGGAATTCCTTCTTGAGGTGCCAGAAAATGAAGTAGATGGCAGGTATGCTTCATTTGCAATCTATAAAAGGAATTTTTATCCAAGGGTAATGAAAATCTAAAAAGAGTCAAAGGAAGGAATATTAATTATTTACTTGTTCAACAGTAATATGACTTACATTCTTTTCAAGGGGATTATCATAATTCAAATTCCTGCCTGTTGATGGTTTAAATTGCATCCGAACACCAGGACCAGTGGCATTGTTTGATCTAATTCGATCTGTGACCTCAGCTGGATAAGAAGCACTAGCACCTCCTGCCACTTATAATTACAAAGAAAAATGTGATTTCTGTAAATCAACTGATATTTGTTAATACATCAACTCCCTATCTCTCATAAAGTGTAACTAGACCTACATGACGACAAATAAAATTGAACGCTAATAATAAAATTGTGACAAAAATAGGGCCTGCTGTCAAACTCAAATCAGAGAAGTTAGTTATATGAGATATGCAAAAATCCATCAGCAAGATCTAACCTTGATGATTATCTACACGCACTGGCATCGCATGACTGTTGCTTCGTCCAGGAACTGGCTGTAACATGTGGATTTTCAAATTAGAAGTGCAGCGGTAACCCAATCCTGAAATACTTTACAACTAAAAATATCTAAAAAGACCGAACAGCAATGAAACTTACGGACAACTGAGACTGAGTTCTATTGTTTTGTGACTGCTGGTACTTTATGATGGTCCAATCAAATATGAAATCAAATTCATATCCTGCCATTTGGAGAAAAAAACATCCACAGAATATAAAATTCATATCAAAATATAGCTCTAAAATGTTCAGTTAAGCATATGAAATACATACAATTCATATGGCATTCTTTTTCATATTGGACTTTCAGTTAAACGGGAGATCATACAACATATGAAATCATACTGATTTAAAGCTAAGAGGGGCTATGCAATGTAAAAAACTTTAAAATAGATGGAAAAATATATTGAGTTTGAACAGCACTACCTTCACGAGTAAACAAATCACGGAATAGTCGCTTTAAGAATCCATAATCAGGCCGCTGATCAAATGTCTGTGAGTGGCAGTAATGGAAATATGACGCAAACTCCACCGGATGAGATTTGCATAGAACCTATGGAAAACAGCAGTCAGACCAGTTGACACCATATAGAACTTTCAAAGTGCATATAAGTAGTTGGCACACACCTCAATAGGGGTTGATAACTTCTTCTCACAAATTTTGTCATACTTTTGCTTTTTTGTGGCAGCTTTTAAACCCTGCCACGGAAGGCTATAAACAGAAAAGTAATCATTAGGGGAAAAGACAGAAGATGGCATGAATCATTTATTATCAAAAAGGGTTGGAAACAGATTATGTACCTTCCTCTGAGAAAATACAGAAGAACATATCCAAGAGACTCCAAATCATCACGCCGGCTTTGCTCTAAGAACAAGACACCAATAAGGTTAATGAGTATTTATTCCACCGAACTAATAAGGTTTAACATCATGCAGCTTACCAATTCCAAGATGAGTATTGCAGCTTGCATAACGTGCAGTTCCTGTTAAGTTTTTATTCTCCCTGTATGCAGTAAGGGTTAACAGGAAAAATATAAATCAATACAAAATTAAAAGGTTGAATTTTAATATCTCAATTTTTCCTTAAGCTTTTCAGCAGAGAGGGGGAAAATGAGATTGCCATGAACTGGAAATACCTGTAAGGGATGTGACGATTGGTTGTGGAGTCTCGATATCTTTTTGCAAGACCAAAATCAATTATGTAAACCTGACAAGACAAATGCAAGAAGGAGACTGATGACGACGTAAAACCAAGAAATTAAAGTTGAAATACGTTCTTAAAGGAAAAAGGCAAAGAAGATGCAGCACCTGACTTGCTTTTCGACTAAGACCCATGAGGAAGTTATCAGGTTTTATGTCTCTATGCAGAAAACCTTTCGAGTGCACAAACTCTATCCTCGTAATCTTGAATAACAAGATCAAACGAAAGAAATAATTAGTCAATTGGCACGATAGTACACAGAAAAAGTGCAACATCCAATGACATGAAGAAGATAAACTATAAGAATGAAAATCATTTGCCCTTCAAAAAAAGAAAGTTGAAATGTTCTGAAAATGAAAAGGTAGAAAAACAAACTAACTATATGCGCATGCATGAGCTCCACTCCGTAAGCTCCATAATGGTTACCATTTGATCGGCCAACATTAAGACAGTCTTGAGTGAAAACTTTCTCCCACAATACACAAACAAATCCTCAAGACTTGGTCCCAGCAAATCGAGAACTAGCACATTGTCCTCGCCATCTATGCCGGACCATTTTATGTTCGGAATTCCACCTAGTTAAATTAATACAACACGATTAACCCAATAATGACATAAAATTATACATAATTCAAATATATATGAATGAAGCACATACTTCCTCCTTGAAGGATATTGTATAACTTGGCTTCGTAAAGCAGTTGGGGATGCTTTGTTTTACTGTTCTCCTGCACTCACCACAAATTAAAATCAGACTAATTAGTTAATTTCACTAGTAATTAAACTAAAAATATGCTTCTTTGGTAAGAAGGAGTTCACGAAGCTTGAAGAGAATCCGAAAGAAAACTTCAAATTTCTAACAATGGATTTGCATATGCATAATTAAACAGTAATATATACTTAATAAAACTGAAAAATTCAAAATTAAGAAAGAAAAAACAGAGAGAGAGATAAGTAGGAGCTTACAATCTTAACGGCGACGATCTCGAACGTCTCGGTGTGAGTAGCTGCAAAATGAATTTAACAATTACAGAGATCAGTCGCTGTTTGTATGATCAACGGTTCCGATTAAACCACAAACTCACCTAGGAAGATTTCACCGAACGATCCGCTGCCGATCTTGCGGCCGAGCTTGTACTTGCCGCCGACGATCCGCTCCATGCCTGAATTCCACGGATCGGGTCTCTCAAATCATAGAACCGGAGCTATAGGTTCCAATTTTCGATCCGAATCCGAAATCCGAGAAATTGAGAAAGAAAAAAATTATTTTCGAAAATGCTTTTTTCCAAGTTGGAACTAAAAAACTGAAGCCACACACAGGCGTAGGCTGGGCAACAAGAGACAGATAGGACGGTCGTGGGGGGATAAAGAGAGAAACTGGGGGGGTACTTTTGTAACTTTAAAATGGTGGAGACCATTGACTAGTTGACCAAGGAGGGATTTGTGTCGTAATGGATAAAGAGATACGGGGATTGTCGTTTTGTATGAGGATATTATTGTCAATTCGTTGTTTTACCGCCAAATGAATTACGGTAGAAAAGGCGGGTAGATCGGTTAGGTCAGGAACGTGATTCGCGCGCAGGTTTTTCTCCCTGTACGGTGATTATAGACTGTTTTATTTTGTTTTCCAAACATTTGCTTATCTTGATTTTCCATGATTGAGGTGTACGGTGTACAGTGGCTTGCAGCAGGGATTCACCGGACAACTGGAAATGGTCGCTTGCAGGTGATTGATACTTTCGCGCCGTCGCCGTCTTGTTTTAATGACATCTAAATTTGGTCACGTCGAAATCGGCGACACAATCAGCAATAATAGGTGTAGTGGTTTACAGTGCTACCCTTGATAAGAGGCTATATTACGCTTAGGGGGTTTGAAGTGGACTGTCTGCCACGAAAAAGAGAAAATAAAAGCCTTGACAGATATTCATATATTTCGACCACAAAAGAAGACTGATAATATATATATTTTTTTAATGAAAAGAATTATCTAATCTTTTTTGTTTAATACTTGTAATGAGAAAATGATGACTGGTTGGGCGGGGATTTTTCCATCCTAATAGGCTCTTTAAAAGTTTTTGTATAAATTATGCAGTTGTAATGGCTAACTACGTAGTTTTTGTATTTCTATGGTTTTTCTTTATTTTTTTATGGGAACCAAATTCCTACACTAAATTAAATTAGTTCTTTTAGTATAAGCGATTAGGGTATGGAGTTTTACAAACTTATTCATTGGGTGTCCGGGGATTGTGGCGGGATGTGTCCTCAATTGCAAAAGGAATAATTGGCAATTTATCCATAGTTTCAAATAGACAACAGACTGTGGGGTCAATTCGTGAATAAGGCTAACTAGTTAATGTCGTTTTTGTCCTGCTACATTACCAATTTCAAGACGAGTTAGCATGAGTATTATTGGATTCTTGCTTCTTCTTCTTTTTCATGAGAGAAACACAACTTCAGTTTCTAAGTTCTCACGTGTGGTTCCAAAAACAAAATATTGCACAAGGTGCTTGAATAGTTTGCGCCAAAAACATAAACTCCGATCGAGCAAAGCGCGCCCTTTTTCTTCTTCCTCTCCGTCGATTGCCATGGACTCTCTCCACCACCAAAGATTTTGGTTATCAGACCAGGGTTATAGACAGAGAGTACAAGTAAAACTGAGATTCTTTCTTTCTCAGCACTGGAAAGCAAGAAGTGATCATCAGTACACTAGTCTGCGTTATGAAGCAGAAACTCTGAAAATAGGAACACTAATTGATGAAACCAAAAGCAATTTCCTGAACCATCATTCCTAATCAAACGGACCTTATTGCTAATCCAACCTAAACTAATCTCATTGATTTAGTACACCCTTTCATGCTGCGATCCCATATCTACCTACGATTTCTCTTTATTCTTTCGTGAACTTCTCTTGAAGTGATGAAAAAGCAAAGGCGTCCAGATTCTGCATTCCGGAACGCCAAGAATGTAAGAGAATGTTGGCCCCTTCCCACGACACGACGTTCTAGGAAAAATCTCAATTGTTCACCATTAAGGTAATACGAACCATATCCGCATCGTTTGAACAGCATAGGGTACTCGTCACCATCAATATCATACACTGTGACCTTCTGGCTCTGGATGCCTCGTTTACGAAATTCATCAGCCTCCAACAATGGCAAGATGTGGCTTTCCACGTCTTTTTTGCACATGTACAGCGTAGTTCGTGTCACATCACTATATGCCAACTGCTTCTCAAAACGCTTGCTGCACCTTGTGATCTTGTTTTGGAGGCTTGGGGGGACCTCAGGAGGGGCATGGCCTCCTTGTTCTACTTGTTGCGGTTGTTGAGGCAGAGGAGTGTCCTGTGCTGCCATGACTGCATGTTCTTGGGCTGCAGGTTCGTGAAACTGAGGTGAGACTTGGAGGCTCCAACTTTGTTCAAGTTCTTGTTGTTGTTCAGCCATGCCCTGTGCTGCAATGATTTCTTGGGCATGTTGGGGTCCACGTTCTTGTAATTGAGCAAATTCTTGGGGATAAGAAGGGACATACTTGTTAATTCCAGAGGAGGAGCTTTGTGCTAGTTGTGCTGGTGCAGCAACTTCAGTTTCTTGAAACTGACCAAACTCTAGGAGGCCTTGGACTGATTGCGGATAATAAGAAGGGTTAATTCCAGAGGAAGAGCCTTGTTCTAGTTGTTTTGGTGCAGCAACTCCAGTTTCTTGAAACTGACCCAACTCTTGGAGGCCTTGGACTGATTGTTGATAACAAGGGTTAATTCCAGAGGAAGAGCCTTGTTCTAGTAGTTGTTCTGGTGCAGCAACTTGCTGTGGTTCAATTTCTTGAAACAGTGCTGCAAAATATTCATTTTCTTGCTGTGGTTCCATTTCCTGAAAAAGTGCTGCAAAATCTTCATTTTCTTGCTGTGGTTCCATTTCTTGAAAAAGTGCTGCAAAATCTTCATTTTCTGGTGCAGCAACTTGCTGTGGTTGTTCTTGTGGAGCAATGGCTTCAACTTTAGTTTCTTGAAAAACTGATCTGAGATATTCTCGCATTTGTTGATTTGAAAGAATTTCTTCTTGCCTTTGCAATTCTCTTTCCGCATCTTCTGCATGCTCTACATTGGGAACAGCTGCTGGAACTTCATTTGGGGGGTCTTCATTGTGATCATCAGCCATGCCTGATAGACTGATAGTGTTGTTTTCTTTCACAATGGTGCTTCTGATCGCAAGAGAAAAGTGTTTCTTTGGGAGATTAATTTGGTTCAAGAGAAATGGGAAATGGATTTTCTAGACAGTTCAAGAGATTTTTCTTGATCGAACCTTTTTTGCTTGATATTGGAGCCCAAATTACATATTAGTCTCTGGACTAAATCTGTTATAACTAACTAACAACCTGTATAATATACTTTGACTGAAGGAGACTATTACTGACTTGTAAATTTAACCATCTTGCTGGGGTAAAATATATTAATTACAGTAAACATAAGCCAGTTTGAGTTTTAGGCTCTTGGAACATACGTACAAACAATAACGAAACCAAAAGCAATATATCTTTGTCATAATACTCCTAGCAAAATGAACACCTGCAACCTTCATGAATTCCTGCTTCCAAACCAGTCCAAGATCATGACAGAAAGTTTTCCAGCCTCCAATGAGGACATGAATCTTGGTGACCTAAGTCTTGAACACCATTCGGTACTCGTTTCCAGCCATGTCATAAGTTGTTACATGGATGTCTTCGTTAGGGTTTTCACCATCTCTCAATAATGGCTTGATGTGATTTTCGACGTCTCTCAACAATCTTAGTGAATCTTGACAATATTGACAGATTTACTTATTTTCACATGGATGAAGTAGAAGAGTTCAACTAACTGAATTATATTATATTTAATTAATTAATTAATTAACCAAATGGTTTAATTATTTTTTCAACCCAAAAAAAAATTTTACTATTAAGGTAGATTCTTACCAAAGTGTCATGCAATTCGAACAAGGCAGTCAATGTTCATTTTCCACTTACCCGATGGCTTATTTTATTTTGTTTTCTTAAGAATTCCAATTTCACGTCGTCGTTTCGCTTCGCTCGATTTAGTTTTACATACTAACACCATCGAAGTCACAGAGTGGAGACAAAAAGAGAAATCAGATCAAAGCCAATGATCGGAGACGTTGAGAAGATGATCGCGGTGGGCCTCGTTTGGGGCGCCACCAACGCCCTAATGCGCCGCGGCGCTCTCCTCTGGGACCAAGCCCTCAAATCCTCCTCCTCGGCCCAGGCCCAGGCCCAGCCCGGCCGAATTCACCACAAGCTTCTCACTTCCCTCAAGAGCTGGCTCAAGCTCCTCTCGATCTGGCAGTACACAGTCCCCTTCTTCGTTAACCTCTCGGCCTCCGCTACTTTCTTCGCTATACTCAGCCACACCCCAATCTCCTTGGCCGTGCCAGTCACCAATGCGACGACGTTTGCCGCCACTGCCGTCTTTGGGTGGCTCTTGGGGGAACAGACCCACCTCGGCCTCGCTTTGTTCGGTACGGCTTTGATTGTTTTGGGAATTTGGCTTTGTATCACGTAATTGGGATTTCATCTTTTCTGATTGATTAGGTAACACTTCAATTTATGTTTTCTGTTTGTAGAAATTTTATGCGTAGCTAGCTTGTTTTGTTTTGATTATTGATGTTTGAGTGTTTGGCTGCTCAGAAAAGAGGGGGAAAATCAAGAGGAAATTTTTTTCATTTTGTTGAAGAATGATACTTCGTTTTCTCCGAAAATTTATTGATTAAAGTAACTGAAATATAAGCAAAAGAACGAGACAAATGTGAATGAATGGTTAAGAAGAAGAAGAAAAAAAAACACACACACACACACACTTTGTTTGAATTACAGTAGAATAAAACATAATCAAAAAGCTCAAACACAGAAAACCAAATGGAAATTGTTTCAGTTGTGAACTGAAAGAAGAAAACTGGTTAAGGCTGCAGAATCATTCATCTGGTAGAAACGGGATTCGGGTCTCTTTATATAGCTTGATTGCGTAGCCTCAAATCAGAATTGTTGCATAAAACATTCAGGAGGTATCTGTCCATTGAACCTTTTAGTATCTTTGCAGTAGTCATAGATCATGAAGTTATCTCTGACCCACTGCAGCTGGCCCCGCTTAGCACTGCTCAGCTGGCTGTATATAGGGGAGGTCCACCAGTTTGCCGGGGAAGTGGTGCCGCATTGACTAATGCTGATGTCTCCGTTCCACTTGCAGGCTCTTGCCCTGAAGTTTCGGAATCTAGCCGTGAAGGGTGCACTGGTCCAATCTATCTTGACTAGCCCACCTCTAGTTGCCCAGTTATCAGCATTCCATAAGCTTGAGTAAACCCTCATCCCTTGCTTGTTGGGGTAAGCAATCCCCTGGTTTTCATAGTTTCGGAAAACACGAATTGGTAGACTATCAACATACCACCTGAAATCATAGAAGAGAATTTGAGGTTTAGGAATCGTTTGGTTCCATGACTCATGGAACTAGTAGAAATATACTGTGAAATCAGGTTGAATGATTGTGGTAGTGAATCTATCATGTTTTTTCAGGATCTTAAGGGAGATGGGGGAAAAATGAGCCTTTATTGGGGAAAAGCTTTTCAATTCAGAAGAGCAGTATGTATGCATGTGTGTCTCCAGTCAAACAGAAAAGAATGATTTTTCACCCTTTTGAGACTGCAAATGAAGGTGCCTCTACCGTAAGTTAACTTACACAATTTCAGTGGGGTTCCAATGTATGGTGTAGTTGTGGAAATCAGCAGTTGGGTCAAACCAGAGATAAAATTGCTGCTCTTTGCTTCCATTTCCTTGTGTATAGACGTTTGTGTGGACAATGTAAGGTTGTCCAGAAATGTTCCCTAAGAATTCAAAATCTATCTCATCATGTTTGGTTCCTGTTGAGGATAGCTGCACAAATTTGAGTATGGACAATTTGCACATGTTAATTTAATATGTAGGTCCTTGTTTAGTCGTCAATAGGAGGAGAAAATATTTGAACTTTATTTGGAAAAGTATGTGAAAGTGAGTTTTTCAACCCCTCCCCTGCTTGGGATCTTTTCACCCACGTTTCTATATTATCACCTTGAAAATAGCTGATTTGAATTAAGAATAATGAATCTGAGACACAAATTTTTAGGGTTTTTATGAAGTTTGTATCTTGCTCAAGTTAGTAACTTACATAGTAGGCTGTTACAGTCCCTGCGGAATTCCCAGGTACCAACTTAATGAGCATCTCAATGCTTCCGAATAAGAAGCCTCTCTTTGATTGAACAGCAGAACCTGCAAAGCAAAGGCCGAGTATTGTAGTCTGGTTAGAGGAGAAAAACTGACCTCTGTATGACCTTTTGTAGATATTTCATCCGTGTATATATTCTAATGAATAGATGAGCTAAACAAATTTAGTGCAAAACATGTTGAATGCCATATCATGGATGGACTAACAGTTTATGAAACAAACTAATCTGCCTATCCGAAGCTTTATGGATACGCGCTGTATTTCAATCAACCTTTATCCTGCAACATCTTGATGATGCAGATAATCTCTGTTTCCTAGCTTATTTATTTGCTTTGGTTTGAAAAGCTATGCCTCTGATTAAGCGCCTGGATGGTTCTAACCTGAAAATGGATCCAGCACGAGGTTAAGATCCTCGCCACCGTTGCCTTGAATTGTAGCATGCTGGGTACCCCAGGTGATATACATACTCTTGGAAAATTTTGCATCAACCAAATTTTGATGCGACACAATGATGCATAGAGCAATCAGAAAAGCTTGCAAAACTGCCATTTTTAACTTCAGTCACAACTAAACTTTGCTCTCTTGTTTTATAACAATTGAAACGGGAATGTCTTCTTGTTGGTTTATATATAAGTTGCCGCACTACAATAAATATATGCTCTCACCTACGACCTGATCATAGTCTCTGACCTTCCAATTTTTTTAATTTTTAGAAGAAAACATTTAATTTTAAGTATGCTCCAGTTAAATTGTAAATAATTTTATTTGATTAATAATAAGTTAAATGCTGTTTGGTACACGGGGTCGTGGTGTGGTGCCAATGTCATCTGCTGTATTTTTGTAAGAGCAGGAGAGAAAGGGTGTCAAGTTGCAAGTGGGGCTTAGCTGGGACGCGATGTGATTAGGAGAGAGAGAAAGTCGTGCTTGGGACTAATTGTTTGTAGTAGGGTTGGCCAGCTGTGAGATTGCTTAGACGTGCGGGCTTCGTAATCAAATAATATAGGTAAATGCTCTTAATTACTTGATTTATAAGCCTATTTAAAAGACTTATTGACATTTTGTTGGATAATTTTACTTGAAAAAATCAAAGAATGTTGCATAAATCAATATGATACGTATAGAACAATGAATGTATATAATTGAAAGGTTTGCTTGGTGCATATACGTACATAAAACCCAAGAAGCAAGATGGTATGATCAAAGATGATTAATTAATTAATTAATTAATTCATTGATTGCTTGATTGTTGATGATGGACTTGGAGCTAGCTACAGCCCTAATTTAATTAAGAATCTGCACCCAGTGACCCACGCTAGGCACACCCCGATAGACCACAAAAACCAGGTAGTACCCTGGCGGAGCCAACACGTTTGTCGCCGGGGCCACCACCTGAAGCTTGTAAACCCCGGGGCCAGCTTCTGTGAGCTCATTTTTACCCAAAACAAGCAACCTCTGGTTCATCGAGTACCCGTGCGTCGTGAAGGGTGGCGAGTACATGGTGACCTTGATGTCCGCCTTGCCAACGGGGTTGTCTTGGAGCTGGAACTGGAGCGTGAACGGCTGCCCGTACTTCAACTTGGCGTCGGAGTTCTGAGCCATGACGGTGGGCCTGTGGGCTGCCAATGCCGGGTCCAGGTAAGGCGGCGAGAAGTGCTCGACTCTGAGTTCGGTTGGGTACTTGGCCTTGTAGTCGTAGCCTGGGTTGGTGTTGCTGCCTGCTACCAGGATTTTGCCATTGGGGAGCAAGGCCGCCGTTGAGTGGTACATTCTGGCTATTTGGGTCGGGGCTAGGTTCCTGAACCGGGTGCCCGCGTTGTTGTTGGGACTGTAAACCACGGGAGTGAAATTGGGTTGCTCCGCCAGGAACCATGCGGATGCGCCTGTTGAAAAAAAAGGTGGTCAAATTGCTACATTTATTTAACCATGGTATTTATAGCATTCTCAAATAAAATGACTTTTTGTATAAAATCCTAATATTATATTATATTTTGATTATGATTCTTGTCATACATAATTGAACACCTTGTAAATAAATGTGCAAAAAAGCTAGGACGTACCTTGTTGGGCGCCGTTAATAATCAAGAGGTCTCCGGTGGGGAGGTTGAGCATATCTCCCATGACACGGCTAGAGGGCATGACTTCGGTGGCCCACTGTGGATTGGGGTCTGTGATCCTAAGCCTGCCGCAGTCTTGCAAGGCCGGAAGGAAGTTTCCTTTGCCTGCAAGACCATAAGCCTCGGGCTTTGCACCACCGCAGACAATGACCTCAGCCGGGATGAGCGGAGCGTTGTTGGGGACGCTGAGGTCTATCGGCAGCAGCGCCGACATCCCTGATGCTGGGTAGTTTCGTGAACCACCCTTCAACACTGGAAACTCCTTGATGACTCTGTTGGTCTTGGTGCTGAGCAGGACGGAGCGGCTGTTGGCGAGGATGAAGAGGTTGCCGTCGGTGGACAGGTGGACGAAAGGGTAGAGGTTGTTTTCGTCTAAGTCGGTGGTCTCGTCGAGGAGTGGGAAGAAAATGGCTTGTTTGTTGACTTGTCCTTCCGGCGGCACGTACTCAAAGCTGTATGACTTGCGACCACCCGCCAGGAAGAATCTTCCATCGGGTAGGGTCACCTGAGTTGCATACCTATGATCACAAATTAAACAACACATATTTTTAACAAAAGTTTGGAAACCCTAAACCAATTCTTGGTGCTCAACCAATTCTTGATGCTCAAGAAATTAAACACAGAATTGTCCAATATATACCATCTTGGTTCTGCCAACGCGTTTGGGAGATCCCTATAGTCACAATTTTCGCATAAATCGAAGTATCTAACACTTCTTGTTCCATCCATCCAGCCACCAGTGCTGATAAAGCTGCCATCAGCTGTAAGCCCTCCTGATGAGCACCATGGGTCTGTAGTGATCTGTTGAAGATCACCAAGGTCAGCTTTTGCTCATTATTGAAAACAGATTCATAATAAAGATAGAAAATTATCACCAAGGTCAGCTTTTGATCACGAATGTGCGTGGTGTTAAAATGCTCTGTTGTTATATTGTCATACTATGAGTATGGAGCATTGATTGATATGGCATTATAAGATTGGTATCGAACCTTGAGTGGCCTAACAGCATTGGTTTCAACATCATATTCAACCCCATGAGACCAACAATCTGTTTGCTGGACGCCCTTATCATCCTTGAAGGGAAGGCATTCTCCTCTGGGCAATTTGATGTTGGAAATATGAAAGGCTGAGGCATCGTACATCATGAGCTTGTTGTTTGGGAGCAAATTCAAGTGCATGGCTGACACACCTGCGTCCAATTTAACAACTTCCCATGCCCCCACGTATTGGGTTGGGAAGTCAGGCTGTGCAGGTGCATCCACCACTGCTTTGACGGGATTAGGCTTATTGATGGCACCTTCGTCGGGCTTCGGTTGCCCGGGATCAGGCTTATTTCCGGCACCTTCGTCGGTCTTCGGTTGCCCGGGATCAGGCTTATTGCCGGCACCTTCGTCGGTCTTCGGTTGCCCGGGATCAGGCTGATTGCCGGCACCTTCGTCGGCCTTGGGAATCATGTCGCGAGCTTTCCTAGGCTTAGCAACATTTCTTAAGCCGGCTTCAGCAGCCGCGGCGTCAGGATCACCCCCAACGGCAGCGTCAGGATCACCCCAAGCGGCGCCATGGCGATGGCCCCGGAGCCGGTTGTGATGGCCCCAGAGCCCGTCTGGTACGAGGAAAGGGTTGCCAAAAGGAACAGGAAATTGAGGGAAATGGACTAATTGTGCATTAATGCCATTGATGATGAAGAGAAGAGGAAGAAGGCAGAGAAGCTTGGTGTGCAAGTCAGCCATTGAAGAATCTGAATTTCTTCAATGACTCGTTGCCTGCTGGTGTGCTTCTCTAATATATTTTGCTTCCCTGCTTTTCCTCTCCATCTCTCTTTTATAATTTGGAAGTATCGCCACCAATCGGTTTTGGGGTTCTGCAAAAATAGCATTGTGCATCATGCATGGTTGTGAACCCTTGTTTGCAGGAACCCCTAAAGTAGCTAGCGACCAATCAAAGTATATACTGTCTCATATGAACGGGTTGTCACTCTTTTCTCATTTTGAAAACAAAACAACAAATAAACTTCGCACCAGTTCATTTTAGTGGTGTAAATGCCTGTGAAGGAGCCATTTCTAGCAAATTTCAATGGCATCCATACAAGAAAAATTAGATATTTTGGTAATTGCCCCTTAAACCCATCGTAAAGGAAAATTCCAAAATATATCTAATTAATTTCCACCTCACATTGCATTTTAATATTTCGTGTTGATACCTTAATTTAAAGACATGACGTTAAACGGTGCAATAAACAAAAGAAATTAGAAAGGTATAAGAAGAAAAATTAAAAAATTAAGATTCTGCACGTAATTTTGCTCTTTTTGGACCCTGTGATTGTATTTAGACCGTGAATCCTTTAATTAAGATTATACTCTTGCTCTTGATTGTCACATTTGGGTTGGGTTGTGGATTGACTTTTTTGGTTGTACACATCTTATGATATTTTTTTAAATAAAATATATTTAAATTTTTCAACAAAAAAAGGTACAAGAAAAAAAAGAAAAAAAAACTCTATCGATGTGTGTGTATATGTGTGTGAGTGCTATTAGAGAAGGGGACTACCTAGAAAATGAGTGAATGATATTAATCACTTGAGCTACAAGTCTTTCGCTTTAATATGAATATTTTAACATCCATATTTAGACATACATTTCCTCCAACATAGTTAAGGCCACGTGAAACGATTTTGCCGCCATCTTTTGGCCACGTATACAAGGATTTGGCTTCATTTGTCAACCTTCGACATAGTTTGGAGCTGCAAAGAGGGGAAGATGTCGAATTGCATTAGGTTCGGGTTTAGCTAGTGTGACACTATGAGTTTAGTCGGTATGGCATTATGACTTTGTTTGGGTTGCCCGGAGGATGTGGAGTGGTGGTCTTGCTTCTTATTAGTTTGTTTTAGTCTAATAATTTTTAGGAACTTTTTATGAGTTTGTTGTGGTTTGTTTTCTATATTTTATTTATTTTTAGTTTTCAACTTTTGATATATATTTGTCATTTTATGTCGTTGCACTGTAAATTTGCAAGTCCGAACACATGTGCTTATGGTTGATGAATCATGGATTTTAGTCATTTTTGGGTTGTGCATGTTTCTCTCATATCAATTCAACATGTTATTGCGTTTGATCATTGGAGAATATTTACCCATATTCTGCACCATATATAGTTGCTCTATACTTTTGTTTGTTCATCAATAATACCTATCACTTATTCTAAATAATAAAACATAAGAAGATTCTTATTTCTAGAAGCTGCACAGTAATTATACTTGAGGTGGTAATTTTGTAATTGAGAACAAAAAGCTGTCGGGGTCCAGTGAAATAACAAACAGCTCTAGATCTTGTCCTTATATTGAACCAGCCCTTTGCTGAGTATACGTACTGAGAGGATGGCTTTAATCATAATTTGTTGGTGGGTGATTATTTTGTAACTGTATAATTAAGAGTAAGA